GCACCAATGGGTGTCAAGAACGTGGGCAAGAGCACGCAAAAGGTGCACATAGCTAGCAGCCAGCGCGAGTAGCAGCCAGCAGCCAGTAGCCAGCAGCCTACCAAAAATCTAGATTTTTCTAGGATTTCAGACGACACGTTAGGCACTTTTTTGGCGTGGTTCTGGCACTCGCTCGTCCTTCAGAGCCCTGGTGTTTTCCCCCCCGGCAGGTGATTTTTTCGAACCTGTTTTACTGCTAGCAGCCGCCAGCAACAGAATCTATCGAAAAATTGTGTTTTTCTAGGGTGTCAGACGACACGTTAGGCACTTCTATATATCCTGTATATATTTCTATAAGGTTTCAAACGTGACGTTTGGCAGTTTTCTCGTTTATATAGCACCAATGGGTGTCAAGAACATGGGCAAGAGCACGCAAAAGGTGCACATAGCCAGTAGCTAGCAGCCAGCGCCAGTAGCAGCCAACAGCCAGTAGCCAGCAGCCTACCAAAAATCTAGCTTTTTCTAGGATTTCAGACAAGTTTAGGAGCAGGAGCCGCAGCAGCAGGAGGAAAAAGTAGCCAAAATCATCATGTTCTATGGGTTTCAGAAGTTACGTTAGGGCATTTTCGGGGTGCAATTTTGAGGCTTATGGGCAAGAGCACGCAAAAGGGCAGCAGCAGCAGCAGCAGAAGCAGCAGCAGCAGCAGCAGTTGTTTCTTGCTTTGGAAGCTGTTTGATTGCAGCAGCACGACAGCAGCACCACAGCAGCAGCAGCCACCAGCAGCAGCACAGCAGGAGGCAGCAGGCCGCCGCAGGCAGCAGCAGGCAGCAGCAGGAGGCAGCAAGCATAAGTAGGCAGCAGCAGACACAAGCAGACGCAGCAGCAGTAAGCGCAACGGCAGCAGTGCAGCAGCTAGCAGCACGAAAAATTGTGTTCTTCTAGGATGGCACCAATGGGTGTCAAGAACGTGGGCAAGAGCACGCAAAGGTGCACATAGCCAGTAGCTAGCAGCCAGCGCCAGTAGCAGCCAGCAGCCAGTAGCCAGCAGCCTACCAAAAATCTAAATTTTTCTAGGATATCAGACGACACGTTAGGCACTTTTTTGGCGTGGTTCTGGCACTCGCTCGTCCTTCAGAGCCCTGGTGTTTTCCCCCCCGGCAGGTGATTTTTTCGAACCTGTTTTACTGCTAGCAGCCGCCAGCAACAGAATCTATCGAAAAATTGTGTTTTTCCAAGCAGACGCAGCAGCAGTAAGCGCAACGGCAGCAGTGCAGCAGCTCACGAAAAATTGTGTTTTTCTAGGATGGCACCAATGGGTGTCAAGAACGTGGGCAAGAGCACGCAAAAGGTGCACATAGCCAGTAGCTAGCAGCCAGCGCCAGTAGCAGCCAGCAGCCAGTAGCCAGCAGCCTACCAAAAATCTAGATTTTTCTAGGATTTCAGACGACACGTTAGGCACTTTTTTGGCGTGGTTCTGGCACTCGCTCGTCCTTCAGAGCCCTGGTGTTTTCCCCCCCGGCAGGTGATTTTTTCGAACCTGTTTTACTGCTAGCAGCCGCCAGCAACAGAATCTATCGAAAAATTGTGTTTTTCTAGGGTGTCAGACGACACGTTAGGCACTTCTATATATCTTGTATATATTTCTATAAGGTTTCAAACGTGACGTTTGGCAGTTTTCTCGTTTATATAGCACCAATGGGTGTCAAGAACATGGGCAAGAGCACGCAAAAGGTGCACATAGCCAGTAGCTAGCAGCCAGCGCCAGTAGCAGCCAACAGCCAGTAGCCAGCAGCCTACCAAAAATCTAGCTTTTTCTAGGATTTCAGACGACACGTTAGGCACTTTTTTGGCGTGGTTCTGGCACTCGCTCGTCCTTCAGAGCCCTGGTGTTTTCCCCCCCGGCAGGTGATTTTTTCGAACCTGTTTTACTGCTAGCAGCCTCCAGCAACAGAATCTGTCGAAAAATTGTGTTTTTCTAGGATGTCAGACGACACGTTAGGCACTTCTATATATCTTGTATATATTTCTATAGGGTTTCAGACGTCACGTTTGGCAATTTTCTCATTTATATGGCACCAATGGGTGTCAAGAACATGGGCAAGAGCATGCAAAAGGGCAGCAGCAGCAGAAGCAGCAGCAGCAGCAGCAGCAGCAGCAGCAGCAGCAGTTGTTTCTTGCTTTGGAAGCTGTTTGATTGCAGCAGCACGACAGCAGCACCACAGCAGCAGCAGCCACCAGCAGCAGCACCAGCAGCAGGCAGCAGGCGCAGGCAGCAGCAGGCAGCAGCAAGCATCAGTAGGCAGCAGCAGACACAAGCAGACGCAGCAGCAGTACGCGCAACGGCAGCAGTGCAGCAGCTAGCAGCACGAAAAATTGTGTTTTTCAAGGATGGCACTAATGGCTAGCAGCCAGCGCCAGTAGCAGCCAGCAGCCAGTAGCCAGCAGCCTACCAAAAATCTCTAGATTTTTCTAGGATTTCAGACGACATGTTAGGCACTTTTTTGGCGTGGTTCTAGCACTCGCTCGTCCTTCAGAGCCCTGGTGTTTTCCCCCCCGGCAGGTGATTTTTTCGAACCTGTTTTACTGCTAGCAGCCGCCAGCAACAGAATCTATCGAAAAATTGCGTTTTTCCAAGCAGACGCAGCAGCAGTAAGCGCAACGGCAGCAGTGCAGCAGCTAGCAGCACGAAAAATTGTGTTTTTCTAGGATGGCACCAATGGGTGTCAAGAACGTGGGCAAGAGCACGCGGCCAGTAGCTAGCAGCCAGCGCCAGTAGCAGCCAGCAGCCAGTAGCCAGCAGCCTACCAAAAATCTAGATTTTTCTAGGATTTCAGACGACACGTTAGGCACTTTTTGGGCGTGGTTCTGGCACTCGCTCGTCCTTCAGAGCCCTGGTGTTTTCCCCCCCGGCAGGTGATTTTTTCGAACCTGTTTTACTGCTAGCAGCCGCCAGCAACAGAATCTATCGAAAAATTGTGTTTTTCTAGGGTGTCAGACGACACGTTAGGCACTTCTATATATCTTGTATATATTTCTATAGGGTTTCAAACGTGACGTTTGGCAGTTTTCTCGTTTGGTGGTTAAGTACATCCTCCAATCATCATCGACTTGAGATGTCACATCTCAAACAGTGGTGGAAAAGGAAAACCGAAAAGCTCCCATCATGATCATCATGCTTAGCTTCGCAATGTCTTGCCAAGCCATTCTTGGGCTGCGGCATTGGTACTTCTTGCATCTTCTTGTGTTGTTGCTGCAATGTTGGTCAGCAACTAGCAAAGAAGAATCTGTTTTCAAGCTAGGTGTTGCATCTTAACTGCCCAGAATCACGTATGGTGGATCAGCTACATTTGGCTACTTGTTGAACCAGCAAAATCCCTATACCAAGGGCCCAGCTTCTTCAAAAATTGCACCCCGGAATCTACGACTCGCAGGGTGCAATTGATATATTTCTTAGGTTGGTACCAAGATTTCCCTGCTTCAACAAGTAACCAAATGTAGCTAATCCACCATACTTGCTTCCGGGGTCGGCGGCAGGGGCGGCAGCCCTTAATAAGTTTTAGAACAGGCTCACCACTCACCAGAAAAAACAAACTAATACAATCTAGCACGTCTACAAATGAGCAAAGTGTGTCGAAATCGGGTTCAGATTTCCCAATGGCTGAAATTCCCATATTAGTGAATTCAACTAATTCCCAATTCAGATATGAATCACAAGTTTTGATGGGTCTTAATCAGTCGATTTCACATCCAAGATTTCACGGACGCTTTTCAGACGCGTCAACCGGCCTGGCTCCTTGGCAATGCCGCGAGATTCAAGAAGCCTGGCCAAGACACACCGGGAATCTGAAGGAAAACCAACTGGCTGCCACCGCACTTCCAAGAAAGCGAAACGGTCCCGGCTGCGAAAGAATGGCGACACGGTCTACCAGCCTTTGCAGGTGCTTGTCAAATTCCTAAGTCTGGGAAGTCTGGGATAACCTGAGCCTTCTGGAGTGACATCCAAAAGGCCAAGCTGGTTGGTGGTTGAGCCCTACCCCTCTGAAAAATATGAGTCAGTTGGGATTATGACATTCCCAATATATGGAAAAGTAAAAAATGTTCCAAACCACCAACCAGCAACTAAATTAATCTACTGAAATACTGGTTCATTACCCTCTGGTAATCAAATCTGGCAACGGAACATACCCTTCAGATGGAGATTTTCCATTGCCACGTTTGATGGGGGGTAATCATACTATCCAAAAATGCTTGGAACTGGGAATTTACATTCGCATTCACATCATTTGACGTTGTATCCCCATGTCTAGCAGTTCTATCAAGTTAGCCTCCCGTGTCATCAAACATGTATGAAGTATTTACAAATACTTGCCCAAAAAACTACCTTAACATAGATAATATGACATATATATATATATGTGGGATAATGTCATATATCATCATATATCTATATTAATCTATATACCCCAAGAATTAGATCGTAAACACAAAAAAAACACAATCGACTCACAGCAATCTGTGATCCTCACGGGATCCACTTCCAAGTTTCACTGCGGTCGCCGCCCCCAGAGGCCACTGGGTTTCGTTGGGTGTGGAGCTCCTGTGGCTTTCGCAGCCCGAGAAAAAAACGCGTAGCGTGACACCACGGAATCACCAATTTCTGACGGGTTTATAACTCCTGTTTGGGTGTCAACACTCTTGAGCTCATAGGCTGCGAAAAACCTGAAGCTATGGTGTGCTCTTGATACAAAACCACACTGATTTCTGCAAATTTCATCAAATTTATATTATGGAAAGTTATGTCCAGCCGGGAATCGAGCCCAAACAGCGAATGATTATAGAAATTTCAGAATTACTTAACACGCGTCGGGCATATTGGAGTCTCTGGTCTATCTACAACGCCTTGATCAGCCACAGAAATCTTTCACTTCAATAGCAACCATTGACTGACAGCAAGCAGCACGCTGCCATGGATAATTCCCCGTCACAGTAGCATGTTCCATTATAGTCACCCCAAAAAAGATAGAAATGACAGAACTAGTAAAATCGTACTGAATTTGTTTCACATAAAGTCTATAAATAGAATTAAATCCTATACAAATCCCATATACTTCCCTATCTTTTCCATCACTTTACGGCTATGGCCCCACATCCCACACCTTCAGCCACTCCAAAGCGTTGCCAAAGGGATCCAACATCAGGGCGCAGAGGCTTCCAGACCTAGCCACGCCAATCATGGCGCCAGATGGGAAAGAGATTGGCACCAACTTTTCATCCATTTTCATAAAACGAAGATATCCGCTGCTATCAATTGATCATCGATTCAACAGCTGCAATCTTTTCAATATTCACATATATATATATATATATCAGAGATATACCAATTATGGCACCACCAAAAACGAGATATCAATCAAATCAAGGAAAAACCACATCAATCGACATTTATATATAAAATCATTTAGATGTCGGAAAAAATTGGTTGGCTGTGCATAGAATTTCCGTGACATCGTAGCTATTCCTCTCGCACAGAATTTGGTCAACAGTTCAGACACAGGATACCATCATGGTCTGGCTATCCATTTTTTGCGTTAGACACTTTATGTGTTTTTGGTAATCATATGTAATAATATACATATACATACATATTATATATATAAGTTATATATGATTTATATATAACCTCTGACCATCTATCATCTATCCAAATCTATCACCAACGTTGCTGCACCCGTTCCCACGGCTCCACGGCTCCACAGCGTCCCGTCCCTTTCCGTTCTCTTCGAGTGGCGCTTCGGTGGCCACGGTGCCCTGCAACAAATGGCTGTTGGACCAGGCATCGATGGCTTTTTGAACCAAGGTCTGTGGGAAGAAGTTCCGCAGATAGGCACCTGAGCCGGCCGATTTTACAAAGGATGGCAAGGAATCAAAAGAGCAGATCTATGAAAATCATTGAAAATTATTGGGTATGACTATATAGGGCATTGTTATTTAAGCTGTTATTTGCCAATATTATAGGAAGTATATAGTATAGGGTCCGTTGAAACCAAGCACTATTCTTGTTGTGGGAGTCTTATGGGGAGATACAACAAATGCAGAATCCACCACAAGGCTGGACGATCCGGACAAAAATCATGCTGACAGAGCCACTGGTGAAGAGATTCGACGGGGTTGGAACACCACTTTCTTGCAGTACCTCACAATGTCATCGACAAGTTTTCATAACTGCGGCAATTGGTTTGAGCCTACCAACAGTTAGAAACGTTGAGATTCCTTGTATAGGGTTTCCCTTTTTCCTGGAACCTGAATTTAAGTTGTATGATGTTACATGCTTTGGCTGCTTGATAATTTATCAAAGAAATACTTAGAAGCGTTGGATGCTACGCTTGGAGGCGGGTTTCAGTCTAGCCAGGCTTGTTCTGTTTGAAATGCCAATGGCTGGTCCAACAAATCGAAGTTGGAGCCTGCTGCAATTCTTTCATGATCGGCTGTCGCAGTGCATGTCCAAAGGATGCTCCATAGCAACTCAAAACCTCGGCTTCGCCGCCAGAATGGATATGAAGGGGGAATACCCTCTGGTAAACTAACAGAGCAATGGAAAATCACCATTTTTAATGGGAAAATCCACTATAAATGGCCATTTTCAATAGCTATGTTAGTTTACCAGAGGGTACCCCCTTTGACATCGAACATGACCATAACCGGCAATTGGTGGTTGATGCAACAGTCAAGCTTTGGACCTCCATAGGCTACCCTAAATTCGATGGTTTATCATGGTTTTCCCCACTGACGCGCAGATTTTTGAACCTTTCACCCCCGCAAAGGCAGAGTAAATGACGCATACAGTTTTCCACATAGCAGTGGATGTTCATGTTATATATATATATACATTACATAATCATAAGCTGTTCAAAAGAATTCTATACCCATGAATACCCATGAATCTTTTAGGACTCCCACGATCAAGTACGGTAGCATCTTCTGGATATCCATCACTCTTTGAAGAAACAAACTATTAGTCATCTGGGATCATCATCCCATTAGGATGGAAAAGATATGAAACATACTTCAAACTTCAAATCACCATCTAGATCATCATTAGTCAGTTATATATATATATGTATATAGATGTATATATATATATATACGTATATATATATATACATATGTATATATATATACATATATATATATATACATATTTACAGTATATCATATTGTATCCCCATGATTTCCCCATCGATGGTTAGATCCCACGCCGGATGCATCGGATGCAGCTATCGCCCACTGGGCCACTGGGTTTCCCAGACTCCGATGGTCAGAATGGCGCCCCACTGCTCTGGGGATTCCTCAGCGTCCCGAAGCATCGGCACCACCACCTGGCCCCGAGAAAAATGGCAGATTGGCCACGAATTCAGGGGATGAAACATGCATTTTTGTGGGAGAATGTGGGATAGCCTATGCTAAGTCAACCATGAAACAAAGCAAAAGCCTCGATGTTTGCATCTGTCAAAACGAGTCCCCAGTAGTTTTACTGGGAAATATTCATATCTGCCATGGCTAAATCATTGAATTGGGGGATTTGACATCGCCTTGGATCACTGGTCGATGGGATGAGGTTGCCTGTTGCAATGGCTTTGTCTGAAACTAGGGTGACCACAATTCCAATCACTGAGAAAATCAGCATTTTGCCTAGGTGTTAATCCCATTTGAAGGTGTTAATCCCATTGTAAGGTGAAAATCCCATTTTAAGGTGAAAATCCCATTTAAAGGTGTTAATCCCATTTAATCCCCCCATCTTCAGACATGGCCTTTGCATCTGTTAGCATGCGATCAACACCAATGGACAGCTGTTTAAATTGCGAACCTCGCATTCTCGTCGTCTTGGTGCTGCAATCTCCTGCCAGGCATCTAGAATGACCTGCCGTCCCTTGAGAATCAAAGAACATCCGCATCTAGAGAATGCTTCCCAAAGAAACAACATGATAAAACAAGCCATATTTCTGGGTAAATTATAATATTTCACTAACCTGAATTAAGGTCATTTGGGGATGATTTCCCTTACCAACCATGATTCCAGTGAGGTCGCAGTGAGGTCGTTATAATTCACCCAGATATTTACTGTGTACTGTAATGGCTTCAACCATCTTCAACCCACGTGAAAATTAAGCCAATTGATGCCAATTGGAATGATCGGGCCCCACGTAGGATGGAACTTTGGACTGCTCTCATTGGTTTGGCTTTGCAGTTGCACAGCATATTGTGTTGCAACGGTCAAAGACTAGGATGGAAAATAAACAATGCTAGAACACCCAAAGCAATGGCTTGTTCACCAGGATTGGTACTTCCCAATTCCCTTTGTTGGTCAAAATAGCCTTTTTCAATTGACCATTTACATATCGAACATCTTGGCTAAACTGCTGCAATGCCCTTCAGGAAACTAACACAGCCATGAAAAATCACACTATTTTCCATAGCTATGTTAGTTTACCGGTGGTAAAACATGGTAAAACTGCTTTCCAAACCACCTCAGTTTCCACCTCCCAAAATGTGCTTCACTCCCGTCCAGCACACGAGTTGCCCGAGCACTTTGTCGCTGCAGACCCGATTCAGTACGCAGCAGGAGTTGCCGCTTCTGCACAGTCTCGGCATGGGCAGCCTGTCATGGTGAAATCTTAAGCAAGTTTCGTAGCTGTTGTTGGCAGCCTGTCGTAGCTGTTGTTGGTGTATAATACACGTCAACTATTATAGCTCATTCTACACCCACAGCTGTACAATAGTGTTGGTGTGTCGTAGCTGTTGGTGTATAATGAGCTAGTGTTGACTTCCCCGTCTTGTGCGATTCTGTCACACTATTGCTGTGGATCAAAAGCCCGGTAGTCTGTTCAAATGACACCTCGTGGTATCGGCAGGATGCTCTTCATATGGGAAAATCAGATCCAATCAACAGCCAACTATTGCCAACTGTGTGAACTGGTAAAGCAAGTTGGTTTTGTTCAAGAATGAGGTCCAACATTTTTAGTGGTCTGTCTGGTATATTAATTTTCACCATTCAACTCGCGATGTTTGGGTACATAAATACCATCTATCCCATTTATTGTACGAATTATATATAATTGTATATATATATGATATGTATCACGATATGTTGGTTAAATATCTGAACATGTCTGTAAAGTTTCGTAAAGTAGATCTCCCTCATACCAATACTCTGGATAAATGATCATCATTCACAAGCCTGAAAGTTCAGCCCTGCATGGGGTAGTTACATGTGGCATACATTCACCATCATTCCAGTGTAATCGCCACGTCAGGTCGTTGTCTCATCCAGATCAATGCAACAAATTCGATATAGTTGTGGTTAGTCATATCCCATCATATTTGCCAATATTATGATTGTTATAGTCATATAATACCAATAATCCCATCATGATATTAGTCATATCCCCATCATATCCCATCATATCCCCAATATAGCCCCAGTATACCATATGATTTCATCATTCCACGTCAAAAAATCCCAACTGTGTGGAGGTTTTTCATCATAATGTGTTTACATTATCTCTAAAATATACACATGGGATATACATCAATTGTACCCCACGAAAAACCCACTATGCTTAACCCTCTGGTTATGTCAAAATAGCTATTGAAAATGGCCCAGTCGAAATAGTGAGTTTTCCCAGTAAAAATGGTGATTTTCCATAGTTTTTTGTATGTTTACCAGAGGGTACCGTTTGTTTCTTGCAAACAGCTCTCCCAGGGCCGCCGGATCGGTACCTGCAAGCGCTCCAAGGTCTCCTCTGCTCGTTTCAACTCCGCTTCAGCCGCCTTCACGGCACTTGTGACCTGTCGCTTTTGGAAAACCGAGGCACCCACTGTTTGGATCAAAAAAATGTGGAAAACTTCGAGTCAAAACATAGAAATTTAAATGCGTATGAACATGTTTGTACACCTTTGAGAAAACTGTTTGCCATCAAACATGACTGTGAATGGGATCATGTAGATACATAATACATAATTCAAAATAACTTGAGTGAAACTGAAAACAACATATAGTTATCATTGTATATTAGATATCTAGCATGCTTTCTTGCACAGCAGCATCCTTTTCCAGCCATATGTGAGCCAAGTCAGGGCTCGAACTGCCACCCTGGTTTCACACGTTTCACCCGTTTTTGTTTGATCCAAATGACCTCTGACAACACAACTGAAATGGCTTTGTCTGAATATTGGCGACCCCAAATTCCATAAAATTCCAATGGACTATTGTCATCATTACCATATCCCTTCTGGTTATTTAACATACGTACCGGTAATATCTATAGATAAGGGTCCATCTATCTTATCAGATGACTTATGATGATTTATCTACTAAACTTAAGGTGATTTTCCAGTCCGCTACGATAAATTTACTGGAGGGTTAATATGGCCATATGATGCCATATGGGTATGCTCTGGTAAACATACAAAAAACTATGGAAAATCACAATTTTTCATGGATATATAAATCAACTGAGGGTATCCCCAATTTTCAGACACAGATATCGGCCTCGATCAACTGGGTGGACAAATCACCCATGCTCTGACGATCATCTTCCATTCCTCGAAGGTCACGAAAAACTGCCGCTAGCCACTCAAAACCGGGTCAGAAGGATCTTTCAGGAAAGATAATAGTTAATAGTGGCTGAACATGTTTAAAAATGCCTGAAAATATCTAAAAATAAATATATTGTATTTTTAGAATTTATCACATCCACAGTCTTGCTGAGTCTTGCTGCAAACAAGTCGTCCAAAGCTTCAGTTTTTCCACGTGCCAAGGCTCGCATCAAGACGCGGTGGCCTCAAAGCAGACTTGGATTGGATTATTTACAGCAAAACATCTACTTTAACATCTGGGGCAACTAAACATATATAAACATATATAAATTATATAAACATATAGAAGCCATCCAAATATATCCAAATTCAAGACACTCATATCCATCATGGGGATTCATCCAAATCAAAAGGACAATTCATTTTTGTATATCTTTAAACATTCTATCCCGGCTGTAGAACAACCATAGATGGATAGATTGCTTCGCCCATTTCCGACCAAGTCGCATTCCAAGCGCCCACGCAGCCACTGTGAGAGCCGTGAAGCAGCAGGACTCATTGACCACAAACTGGAGGAGTGACCTGAACTGCGTGGTGCCCGAAATGGTTGGTGAATGGTTGGTGACCATGGATTTGACCATGATTTTTGCAGTTTCATTGGTCTTCTGAGGAATAACTATAAGAAACATCCAAAGATGTGGAAATAACCAGTGATTATCGTGACTTACAGCACTCAAGGTTGGCTTTTCCAGGGAATTTGTTTTTTTGTTACTAAAACCCAACCTGCCCTGCAACCATCATTGCAAATCAGCAGCAATCGGGGCTCAGGAGAAAACTCTGCAGAACTTCTGCCAACCATCCTGTACGGATGACAAGCTGACGAGGCAGTCATTATTTTGGCATGTTTGATCAAAGCCTGCGACGTAATTGTGTGTGTGTGTGTTTTTTGTTTTTATTTCATTTTATTTTATTCGTGCTTCAGTTTAACAGTAATGCTAGACAAGTTGCCCATGACACTTTTTTTTTCTGCATTCTTAAGGTTGACCAGGAGGAAACAATCCATGTCTTCGATCATCTTCGATCCATGCGCCATTGCTGCTACGAGCATAATTTCCGAAACATATTAGCATATATACGCAGCAAAATATCTCGATGATGCAGCATTGGATGAATGACATTTGGTGATTCAACATAGCTATAGAACATGTCCCATCTATATCCATTTCATTCCATTTCTAGATCATCTAGCTATCAGCAATGGTGATGTTGCTTCAATTACCAGAGAGTACGATCTTTCACACTCCATTGACCAGGCGCCTGGAAGGGGCTGGGTCCCGTCCCATGAGTTGAAGATCTCCAAACTCTGAGCTTTGGCCAGGGCGTCGGCCCATTCGAAAATCCTGTCGAGGCTGTCGTTGGGCTGTTTTTTGGGGGGTCAAACAAAAAAACATGGTCAAACTTGGCTTGTACAATTGGGATGGTTAAAAAACAACAAATGCTGTGCTTTTTTTAGCAGGTGCATCGATGCTTTGACAAGGCAACGCTACTAATCAAGTTGATGTTTGAGCTATGTCTCCGTATCCCCAAGTGATGGTGAAAAATCACCTACACCTAATCCCAAACACACGTTCATTTGCTTAACACTTGTATCTGGTTTGTGGTTTCAACCCCTCTGAAAAATATTAGTCAGTTGGGAAGTTGGGATTATTATTCCCAATATATGGAAAAATAAAACATGTTCCAAACCACCAACCAGGTATGATTTGGAGGTTTCTTACGATCCGTCATGGTCATCCATGACGACTGGATGAGAACTGGGAGAGCCCATGACTTCGGAAACCCCAAATGGTTCAAGTCTTTGATAAACGGTTCAGGTGCAGAACCCCCCCGGTGGGCATCAGCCATTTGCATCAAAGATACTCCGCCCGGGTTGGAGTTTTGGACACCTGTTCCAGAGGGGCCATGAACACTGACTTTGGCACTGTCGAATCGCAAGTTCACTGATGGCGAGCACTCGAACTGCTGTTATATCACTTGAAATACAGCATAGCTTGCTATTTCCAGCTAGGTGCAGAAAGTCAAGACACAAAACACATCGGAGAAGGGAACGAATATGCGGCGCCCCCTTTGCTAATATTTGGATAAGGGGAATGATGTCAGAATGCCAATGGTTATACGGTTATCCCTTCCTACACACTTTAGATATGGGATATTTGCTTCTGCATCAAGAAATCAAGTGGACCCTCAATAATATGTGCCAAACTCACCAAACTTTTCTCTGGATCAAAGGTATTATGCCCTGCTCCAATCAAAATAGCTGGCTGTTATGGATGTTCACCTCCCTATTGTCTCATAAAGGGATGAAACAATCAAAACCAACAAATATTGAACAAAATGATGAAGACATGTGGGTAGGACGGTAGGACCCACAAATTTGGGGTTTCTTCCCAGCCACCATCATGAAAACCCCATGCCTTCGGCACTCCAACTTGCCCTCCACCCGCCGCGGCACAGGCCGCAGCGAGGGCTGTGCTGGGGACGCGCCGGCGCTTGAAGATGGGAACCTATGGCTACGGGGTGGTACCACCAAAATCGCTGGGATGATATTGGATGATATGGGATGATAGTCCCCCTTAAAAATAGATACGAAAAATGGACACCTGGGAATTGATGGGGAAAACATCATCTCAAGACCTTAGGTCTTGGTTGTATATTTTTGTGAAGAACCATATACAGTAGCTGGGATCCAGGTGTTTTTCGGGTCTAGTATGGCTCATGATCGTCCCGTTTTTTAAAATCCACTTGCAACCTGTAATGGTTTTGATGGATAAATTGCATCTCAGCCAAAGCATGCCACAGCCAATCTATCCAATCAAAAGTGATACATCGCCGTAGGGTCAGATGCGGGGTTCCATAGTCATCGGGGTACTCCAATAGCATGGTTTAGTTCATGGAAAATACATCTATAAATGGATGATGACTATGGGTATCCCCATTTTAGGAAACCTCCATGATACATCATTCTGACGTTCGCTGCCCAAATGAAAATCTATCATTACACTTTAGTTGTAAGGTTTGTCTTTGTTAGATAGGGTTGCCTTCGTTTTTCCAGGTTTTGACCTATATATCATTTCAATACATATCCCTCACATACACCTTTTTGGTGGTCCCCCAAAAAGCTCGCCGAAAAAACAAACACACCTGGGAACTGTCTGATGATTTCTGTTCTCGTAAAATCATCAGCAGTGATGCATCCCCTATCAATGACAGTTGAATTGAAAAATATAATGTACACTATCAATAGAGATCATCATGGGGTTTTCCCCATTTCTCATAGGGCTTAGTGAACTTCACCTCCTTTCAGGTCTGAGTTTCCACACAGAGGCATCTTCACCCTCCTGTGAAATCGGAGAAATATCCAGTGCGGTTTCCATAGGTTCCATGGTTTTGGGGAGAACACCAATTATTTCTATGTTGTACAATGTCTATACAGTATACATCAATATAATATATAATGTCGCCGGTCATACCGAACATGCGTACTACATACATAAACGATGTGTTTTATCAAATTAATATGTACGTATCATAAGTTATCATAATATGTTGTTGTATTATATCAAATCTAACATGAGTATGTCAAAAAAATGTAAACACAATACATACCATATCATATAATCACATACATATGAGTCGTATACTGAATGTGCATTGGTATTTTCTCATAGACCTCAAGCGGTCACATTGAACTCACCACATCATATAGAATAGACTGTGCTGAGTACATGCAACAAATAATGACAAATAGAAGACATATAATATATATTTGTATATATAGTAGACTAGACCTTCCATGTTTCTTTTTAGCGTTGTTGTGTTTGGTCAGTCTTCAAGGCTCTCCCAGCCCCCCTTTTTCGCTCCTCGGCTCCGGAAATGTGCAACAGCACGGCCTTCGCTGCGCCCAGTGCACGTACCAAGGGCGCCGGCAAATGTTGGTACTGCGCCAAGGACTCAAAATGACACCTGGAGCACAGGTGTAAGCCACGGTCAAAAAATGTGATTATCATGAGGTATGGTCATGAGTCCATCATGAACATCACGAATGGGATTCCTTATACATTAATATATTATAATTAATTATGAATCATGATCGATACTGGGATTCCTGATAGTAGTAACTTATAACTATACGTATAAATCATGATGGATACTGTATATGATATATGAACCACCAATAATGGGAGGATGACCATCCTGTGGGGAACAGAATCCATGCTTTCACCATGGCAGCCGAACAAGGTATGGCGAAGGGCGCTTCCGAAGATCCAACAAACTGTGGTACGTCCGAAGCGAAACATAGCGAGACACATAGAGGAAACCAAAACACAAATTAAAGACAGCCATGATTCCTGAAGTTCATAGAAAGGTTATCTCAAAATGGCTTAAATGGGTTGTGCTCCGTCCAAATTGTGGGTTTTACGTCAGATCACCTCCCTGGGCTCGTATCACCACTGAGTTTCATGCCTTTCCAGCTGCTTCAGCTGCCGCAGAGAGCTGGCAGCAGTGTTCAAGGCCTTCTCGAAATCGCTTCCGTGCCTGCAAGGGCAGCTTTCGCGTGAAAAATGGCCAAAAGAAGAGTTTCTGGTATACAGAATGGATGAGAATTGTGAGCTGTGGATTTTTTGGGCTCAAAATCAAGATCCCTCCAAGGTGTTGTAGTTTGCCACTAAACAAAGGTGCCGGCGCCTGTAAGGTGCCGTGAGTTCATGGCCATTTTGGATTGATGGCGACTTTGACAATCACCAAAAAATGGTGGTTTTGAAAAACTTCACATTGAATCGATGTTAGAAAAACTGTCAAATCCACTTTATTTTTGCATATGTTTGCCATATTTGTGGCACAGGTCAGAGAAGTCTAGAGAAGTTCTTGTGACGTAGCATCAACTATGTCATCAACTAATTAATTTACAACGTAGCTGGAAGTTATATAAGAAGTACAAGAGAGACCATCATAGAGTAGCATGAAGTCTAGAGAAGTTCTTGTGACGTAGCATCAATTAATTGATACGCAACGTAGTTGGAAGTTGGAAGTTATGTAAGAAGCACAAGAGAAACCATCATAGCATGGCATGAAGTCTAGAGTTCTTGTGACGTAGCATCAGCTAATTGATATTGATATGCAACGTAGCTGGAAGTTATATGAGAAGTACAAGAGAAACCGAGAAACCATCATAGCGTAGCATGAAGTCTAGAGAAGTTCTTGTGACGTAGCATCAACTATACTTGATATACAACGCAAGTGCAAGGACGTTATTGCCCCAACCCATCCCCCCACCCCCACCCCAAGAGGTAGTAGACAAGTATAGGACACGAATGCACGGCACCGGCGCCGGCACCGAAACAAAACCCTTCGAAGTCTCCACTGATTTTGGTCCCTTTGCAGCGCCTGGCATCCACTGCAGCAATGTGCGACTCCACCAACTTTTTGCGTTCTCGCACCTCTGCGACATGCTGCAGGACATGTACTTTCTCGGTGAAAATGGTCACCATTTTGAACCAAAAAAACACTAAAATCGCTGCGGGCTTCATCACCAAAGATAGGTTCTGATCTCCATGTCATGGTGATCCCATGTCAACTCCACCAAAGTCACCTCCCTGACATGGGTTTGTCTGGAAGTACCCCCTTCCATCGACTGATTTTTATCATCATTCTCACATATTTTCACAAATCAAATTGTAATTTTGTGCGGTATATATTCAATACATTCCCCTAATTTCAAAACACCACCACCTCAAAATTGATGCTTTCCGGTTGTCCGCGACATCCCACGACATGCCAGGGGTCCTTGGTAGGGGTCTCTTAAGGAGTCTCCCGGTCTACCCGAAACGTCCTTCACTAGGCCCAGCCTCGGCCAATGAAGCCGTTGCCTGCGTTTGAAGCTCATGTTCCCGTGCACTGCGCGACAGAAGCCTCCGCGACTCTTCCGCAAGGAGCTTCAGGGACCTCTGCTTGGTGGAGCCAACCCCCCTGGACATAAACATGATCGCCCTGGATTGGAAAGGATTTTTTACAGGAAAACCCAATCATTGGGAAAATCCATTGGTTCCCTGTAGTTTGTCCTTTGGGGATATTCCAAATAGGCTTGAACATGCTTAAACACTATATTTGAGACCTCTGACCAGTCAAGATCTCTGCAGTATCTCCCTTGTTTTGGGGGGACAAACGATACATGAAAAATTCGTAATTGGACATAAATTGGTGGGTTCCGATTCACAATCATACCGTCTTGGGGACCTTCCAGTTGCCAAAATCTCGGGTCTGTGATGGCGGTTGAACTACCCCGCAAGACATATGCTTCTCAGTTGGCACATGTTGGCACCAAAATGGAGGGATCATAGTGAAACCGACACCAGAATGGACATGATCTGTTCTGGTTGGGGGTATACCTACCCCTCTGAAAAATATGAGTCAGTTGGGATGATTATTCCGAATGGAAAAATAAAAAATGTTCCAGGATTCCAAACCACTAATCAGTGTTTATTGCATTAATTGACTATGAAACATTTCCAGGAAATTTTTGAGGGTCTGCTGGAGAGAATTGGCTCCAGTCTGCTGCCACTTCTCCTGTGATAACAAAATGAACCCCAAAAACCAACAAAACCATCGTCTCTTCCCAAAAAATCGACTGATCTCGAGATATTTCACCCACGTTTTACAGATTTTTTCCAGAACCAGTTTGCTATGTGGTCCTTGTCCAATGGCTCCGGGGACTCCTGGAGACCCAGCCCGCAGCTGGGGCAACGGACACGTGCATCGAGCGAAGCTTGGTATCAAGGTCCAGCAAAAATTTCTCCAAGGACTTCAGCCGATTTCGCGCCTTGCTCGTGGCCAAAAAACAACAGCGCAGGGATGTTTTTTTTTTTTCGGTGCTGAATCTGATGATTAAAAAACAATCCCTTTGTTTGGGGGTAATAGAAAACATGGCCCAAAAATCATTGAGTTAATCTGTGTATATCTGAGTATATCTGAGTTATATAGATGATGTTCCACTAGACATGTTGCGATTTTTGGTTGCCATGTCTGCCATGTATGCCATGACAGCTACAGGCAACATCCCAACCAACGTCGGTCCCCAGGTACTGACTCATGCATGGTCCCGCGATGGTTCTGCACGCTGCGTTGGTGGATCGCCAATCGAGCCTCATGCTGTGATGGTCAAGCATAGCGATGGATGCAATGGATAAAAATCTTTGAAAGTGGATGAATTATTCATAGTGAACCTTACATACCTGCCAACAACAAATATTTTTTTTTCGTTGGTTAGTCCCTTTTAACATTGACAGCAAAATATTGAGGTAATTACTAAAGTATCCAACCAAGGTTGCTTCTTTGATCTCCTTTCTTCTTCTCTTCTCTTCTCTGACTCTTCCCATCTCTGCTTTTCATCTGTCCATTTTGTCGGAAGTTTGACTTCTAAACTTCCTTCGATCAATCATATCCCAATATATTCCCCTTGTATCCCCATTCTATCCCCATTCTTGTTGGTGAAGTCACCCATTTCCAATCTATTTGTCAATCAAATTCCTATCTATAGGATGGGTAAACACCATAAAAAACACGCAAAATCAGGGTGAAATCCCTCAGATGCAGTGAATTTCCCGAGATGTTTGTGCCATGTGACAATGGTCTGCACGAACTTGGAGAAACGGCTGGCCGAGCAAAACTCCAGTGCCACATCACGACCCAACTCACAGGCCAAAACGTCACCTCGGGTGGGCTCAGCGGCCCGAGATGGAGAGGGGATGCGCTAAAATCAGGGGGAAATTCATCAGCAAACCATGGGGATTTTTTTATGGAAAAAAAAACCATGGGATTATCATGGGTTATCCCTATAAAAAAAAATCCTCAGTTTCACTGCAAAGAGTTTCCATGGGATTTCACCAAATAGTGGGATTCAATCCAACCATGAAAATATGGGTGGTAATCAACTTTCAGAGGAGAAAACACAGCTGGTTCCTGCAGCTTTCCAACCTCAGCAGAGTTTTTTTGGGGGTTTCCTTACGGGGGATCTCCAAAATGGATGGTTTATTAATGGACAATCCTATATATTAAAATGGATGATTTGGGGTACCATCCATTTTAAGAACCCCCCATAGTCATGTTGCTCCACATCCTCAAGCCATGGAAAATCATGGAAATCTGAAGCCATTGGCGCCAGAATGTCCCGAAATCGCGTCATGGCAGGGTCTGGTCCGAAGTCACACTCTTAGATATGAGGGTATGGGTCAATAATCAGGTAGCTGGCCCACTTGGTTGTGTTTCAAGGACCATAGCAGCCACAGCAATCCTACAGTGTTGCTCCCAGCGGCACAGTCACAACATCCATAGATCCCAACTTAATTTTTGCCATGTCACGGATACGCAGGTGCAACGACTCCACAATCCTCGACACGTCGCGTCGCTTTTCTAGCCAAAGAGGGGGATGGGCCGAAATTGGGGGCCATGGAATCACATGTTTAGTATGTTTTTTTTTTTTAAAGCCTGTATATGTATAATAACCCATGTGTATATTCTTTAAGTATGCCAAACGGCGTGACCGGTCATTCTGCCTTTTTTCCCGGCCATCGGGGTCCCATTCTTCGTCCAAGACTCTTCGCCAACGGAACGAAGAGCTGCTGCTGCCAAGACTGTCCATCACCTGCGCCCGATCCATGGCATCCGATTTTTGCAGCCGTGGTACAGCCGTTTTTCGTGCGCATATAAATGTATAGATAATGGGTAAAAACCAACTAGTGGGATCATAATGGCTTAATAATGTATATTTAATGGAATATATCATGGATATCTGAACAATTTACCATCTGGTTATGACTAACATAGCCATGGAAAATCCCCAAAATAAACGGAGGTATCTAGCTGGGAAAATCATCTATTTCTATGGGCCATGGCTTCCATGGCTATGTTAAATAACCAGAGGGTAAATGTAGTGCAGCATTGTGAGATAACCCTGCACAAGTTGGGACATGGACATAACCCCTCCGAATATTTCTGGCCGCATACCCACATATTTATCCACTTGTGAAGTGGAACTGCACCTCCAAGTACCTTGAATATAGCGTATTTCCAGAAGCAAGGAACCCCCCATCTACAACCCACCTGTCAGAATCAACCAGCATCAACCGTTACACTCCTACCACGACGGTCGTTGCACCTGTCGTTGCTGCCTTGGCAATTTTTTTGATGTTTGCACGAGCTCCTTTGCCAAGAGGCATGTCTCATGTCTCTCACACATGAACATGAGACATCATTGAACAACCAATATAAAAAAAACACAACGAATTCTATACATGCTGCATCATGCTGCTATCCAAATCCCGTAGTTAATGATCATGCCCAGCATAGCCCGTTCTGAGACAAGCTGTGACACGCCCATGTTTCATGGCTGCACTCTGCTGACATCTGCTGACCTGGGCCCCCGAGAAAGTGACCTTGGTGTCAAGCTGCAAACTTGGCCAACTGGCTATGGGTCAAACTGATCTCCAAAGAATGGATGGTACATGATGGTACGAAGAATCACAAGCCATTTGTGGCTCCATGTGGCTCGATTGGTATCCCCAGTTTGACCCATTCCAAGTGATACGAGAACCCACAGGTGGCTGTGAGTCAAGTGATCCAGATCAAGAAAACTGCAGATTTGGTGATTCTTTGATGTAGCAACCATCCAATTCGGATACCTTATGACAACATGGTTAAAAATTAAAAAACACATTAGCAATCAGAATTCAGGATGGTATTACAAAGGTAAATTAACCGTGCATTTTTTATCATCCAATTCGGATACCTTATGACAACATGGTTAAAAATTAAAAAACACATTAGCAATCAGAATTCAGGATGGTATTACAAAGGTAAATTAACCGTGCATTTTTTATCATCCAATTCGGATACCTTATGACAACATGGTTAAAAATTAAAAAACACATTAGCAATCAGAATTCAGGATGGTATTACAAAGGTAAATTAACCGTGCATTTTTTATCATCCATTAGCCACTTTTATTATCACCCTTTCCGGTTCGTTTTGACCCATCGACAGGTTCGGGGCCAAGTGACTCCGATGCATCAGGAGTTTCTTCTGCGCTTTAGGCAATGCACCTGAGTTCTCCCAGATCTCGGGCCAAAAATGGGCCAAAGATGGGTCAACTCCCCCAGCAGGCAGCCAGATAGAGCCATGGCTTATTGGATCCTGTGGGATGGCACAGGCCTAACAGCCGGAAACTCAAACAGAGGCTGATATAATGAGGCAACAATCAACAGCTATGAGAGCATCAGCAACAAAAAACAGATACATATATAGATTTAGCCAACATTAGAGATGTATTATTGTGTAACGAACCACTTTATTCGGGATGGAGTGTGGATATAATGCGATATGCAACCCTGAACATCGTCAACATATGGCTGTATGCTGTATCTGAAAATGGATTCCCAAAAAACACGGTCTATCAATGGTCTATCATTCTTTTCCCCATGAACATTGTCATCTTGGGAATTCCTTTAGTGTTGGACTAACCCACATGGAGATTGTCCCTGAACTCACTCAGAAAAATTGGAGGTAGGGATTCCCAGTTCATGGATTATGGTAATCCCCCCAAAAAAGGGTAGTATAACCCAGTTTTAGAGCAATCAACCAGGATTTTGCTTCAGCATTTTGCTCGCCGTCTTGGGCTGAACAAATGTAGTTCAAGTGACACGATGTATGTATTCATCAGCTGCAACATCTAGGAATTCCAGTTGCAAACTTGACTCAATTGTAGTAAGTCCACTACACTCACCCCAATAAAATATAGAAACGATGTATTTGACCTCCATTCTTTTGAAGGAAAGACAATTAAATTTCTATCTTTTTAGGGGATGTTGTTTTTTTGCGCATTCACCCATTTCGATGTCAATCTGCTGATCTCCAAGCGACCCAAGTCGATTCTGCTGCTCAAGCGCTTTCCCAGATACATGAAGGCGACCTACCACAGTTTGACCACGGCTTTTCGTATGCGGACATGGTCTCCCCGAGTCCAATTTTTTTCATGGTCTATTCTGATATAATCCAATAATTATATTCATAAAAAATCATAAACATATATGATATAGACTCTGATTTATCAAGTTTTATTGTCATGATAATGTTTCATCGTGATTTTCCATGATTTTCCCATATATGATCATGTTTCAGCATGCCCATTGCGTCCCATTGCCAGTGGATGAAAACGCCCTCAGGGCCGCCTGTTGCAAGGACATGGGTGGAAGCACGTTGAAGGTGGCCACCTCAATTCATTCCAAGTAGGACAAAGTGGAATCCCGGAGAATGTGGGGAAAACACATCTATAATATGGGGAAAAAACATGAAACAACATCCTGGAAACATGTTGTCTATCTTTTGAAAAAGGGGTTGCTATGTTTAAATATAAACCAAACAGACTTTTGAAAAAGTGTAAAAAATATGTATAAATATGAATATTAAATTAACATACTCTAGGGTTTTGCAGAAAACTGTATAACACTAAGTTGGGATCTACATAACTCCAAGACCTCTTGGGTTTATATGGGTTGATGGTAGAGATATCGAACTAGTTCCTGGGGGATGAAAAACCAACAAAATCCAACAAACAGGTCACTGGGGCACCACCTGGTACTGGAAGTTTAAGGGTAGCCCCCCACCAATTGAAGCCTTATGAAAGGAATACTCATCACCATCAAGGCCAAGAATAGGGGCTGACGCCCAAAGTCTTGGGGAGTTGACCGATCCGCGAAGCGGGCGAAGCAAAGTAAGTCGGACAGCTGTGACGGTGAATAAAACAACGAGCTTTACACATTCCTTCAGCATCTTTTTTTGGCAGCTCTGTAGCCATCTGATCGTATCTGATCCACAAGATGTTGATGTTCTCCGAGATCCCCAACCAAGGTTTGTCGTAGGAAGCCGCAGCGTGTGAAGAGCTCTTGTAGAGAAGCGGGTGAGCGGCAAATGACCTCGGCAGATCGAGGTCAAGCTTCGGAATTTCCCAGACATCGCTGGTTGGGGGTGGTGGTGTACCTACCCCTCTGAAAAATATGAGTTCGTCAGTTGGGATGATGACATTCCCAACTGAATGGAAAAATAAAAGCCATGTTCCAAACCACCAACCAGATCATCATGCTCTTTTGGCAAAAGCAATAAAGGGCTACATGACACAATCTGCAGGTGAAGAAACATGAAGATTGATTCTCAGAGAAGTTCAAGGATTAACGTCGACACAATTTCTTTCAGCCCAACTAACATACAACTTTGAAAACATCACATCTGGACATAAAAGGAAATATGCAATACTGTATATATATAATATTATATAATATGACTCTAGTAGTTGCTGTGTCTTATCTGGACAAAGTTCCGGACGACCAATCGCTTTTGACCATCCTCCTACAAAAGCGGCTAGAGGTCGGGCTGTCAGAGCAAAGTCTGAGCATGTTGAAGTGGCAAACGGCTAGTATTCGAAGTGGATTTCATGGAAGATATCACCAAACACCATCTTGCACCACTCACCAACTCGCGAGATAACTAGTTTAACTAGTCACTAATTGATCATATTTCCAAAAGAAAATGCGCTGCTTGGTGCTCCAAATCATACCCGAGAAAGGGCTCAAAACTGGGTGTAGCACATTGCCCAAACCACCACCATATTGGAAAAGAAATCATGTTAAACCCCCTGAAAATGATGGTTACATCATGTTACATCACATCTTAGTAGTTTACTTTCTTTGACAAACTATGGTGTAGATGTCCCATTTGATGAGTGATTTACCTATGAAACCAACTCATCGGATCATTCTCAGTTGCTGATCCTATAAATAATCCCAATAAATCCACTTCAATCCACACAAAATCCCCTAGAAATCCGCATAAATCCATAGTAATCCCATTACAGCCCCGAAAAAAAAATGATGGTGAAATCACCTGAAATCCGAAATCCCCATGTTTTTTCTCCATCCTCGGTGCGAAATTTAGGGCTCCTCCACCTCATCTCTCTTGGAGACACACTTCTCATCGGTGGCTTCCAGGCCGCCACCGCCCGGACGAAAGAAACGGCTCTGCTCCCGGGCAAGGTACGCCTCGAGGCACTGGGGGAACCAATGAAAATCAAGGCATGAAACAAGTGGGAAGCGAGTTTATTCTGGATTTTTCAGGTAACCTTACAATTTGGTAATTTGGTACAATATCTGTATCAATATTGGGAAACCATATGAAACAATATTGTTACCACATTTTGTATTTGCCTATTTTGCATGTTTGCCATTTTGGTACTTATCGAAGTGGCCGTCAATACGAAAGCGAACTGTGAACAATTACTAGTACATTTGATCACATCCTTTGCAAACAAGGTTACTTACCTTGCCAACAGCGTTACTTATCAGTGCAGTGAGGTTGATCAATATTTCACCACGAATCGATCTTGAATCCTCCGCCCAAGGGGGGACAAATCGATGAAAAATCGACGATGGGCAGACTGGGCAGTCTTTGAGATTAAGCAACAGAATCCCAACAAAAGGGACAACGAAAGGGACAACTCCAACACCTGCAACTGATGATCCTTCCAGGATCTCAGATTTCCATAGATTTCCCCGCTTCCCAATGCGCGCCTCAGGCGCTTCTGCGGGGAAGTCGTGTTCGCTGACACACAAGACCCGCAGGCCGCCTTCGACCTGCTGAGCCAGTTCCAAGGTAGGATGGAAGAATTGCACGTATTTGACACCACCAACTAGATTGATCATGATTAACGTAGTCCCACTAGTACATCAGTGATTATTGATGTTCACCCAACAAGTGGCATGGTCATGGTGGGAGATACAAGTTGGGAGTTGTCCGGGCAATGCTATTAGATTTCAACCAACAAAAATGATGTGGTTCTTTTAGGTCGAAATAGGTCGATGGATGTTACAGTTTGAAGAGGCTTCCTAAAGTGGACCTATGCCTGTTAACATATCACACATGCTGCCCAGTGAGCTTCTTCACGCAGCAAAAAATATGGAGATACTTTCACTGAGGACTTGTGTAAACAGTACTTACACAAAAAACACCCACTGGAAAGGGAACTGGAAGGCAATGTGGCTCAATCTGATGTGCAAAGTCTTTGGAACTGGCACTCCCCCACATTCAATTGTGTGCTCTTCACTAATCTGCAGTGATGCACCTCTAGCAGTTCTGAATGGGATTACGAATGCTCCCAGCGTTTCTTGACAAAGGCTACATGCCAGTTGCTCTCTGGTAATTCAACGTAGCTATTGAAAATGGCCATAGAAATCGTTGATTTACCCACTAAAAATTGTGATTTTCTACAGCTATGTTAGTTTAGCAGAGGGTAAACTGGGTTGAAAATCCGGTTGGAATTGGTAAGGGCCTCTTCCCAGGTATCCTGGTGATTGTTCTTGCCGTTACCATCAGTATCACCCACTGTCACTTCATACACCTCACCCCATAGCCATTTCAAATCATTCACATTGCCCATGGTGATCAACATACCCATTTTACAATATTTTACCCATTTTAGTGCATATTATTATATTATATATATAATTATATATATATACACACACATATCAATCATATTAAACCACACATTTTAAGCATTTTTAAGCCATGGCTGAGATCCGTTCATTCCCCGCACCTTCTTCTGTTGCGCCTTGAGCTTCTGTGGTTTCCTTCGGGTCTGCCTTGGAAGACTTCGGTGGTTGCTTTTTTGGGCCCATGGAGATGTTGAGGTTTCCATAGGTTTCCTAACAAGGGGCATCCCCAAATCATCCATTTTCATGGGATTTTCCACGATAAACTCCGATAAACCATTCTTTTTTAGGGGGAAAAGTGGAAAGTGTATGTACACATCCTACTTTCCAGGAATCAAACCCGGAAAATCACCGATGATCTTCCCGTCCAAGGATTCCAAAGCACGTCTTCAGTTGTCAAGCCAAGTTGCTGGACAACGGAAGATGATTTGAGAAGTTCCCTCTCCAAGGATTCCTTGGCTCTCATTCATCATGCTTGGTGCTCAACCCATCTCCCAAAGTGGGCCTCAATTTCCTTCACCTTCACCAAGGCTGGATCCAAAAGTGAACGGGGCGAAAATCTCAGCCGCCAAAGATTTTTCGACCTCATCATATTTTCATGATCAACTCATCCAAATCATCTAGAAACTGTTTTTTAAGAAAATGGTAAATGATGATGTAAACTATCTTAGATGATAGAAAATGGATGATCCAAATCATCCAAATCATCTAGAAAATGATGATGTAAATGTATCTTAAGGTGATTTTACATGGGATTTTCCGTGGCCATACCCAGCTCCCTCCACCATCGGCACCACGCTTCAGCCGTGACGTTGGTGCAAAGGTGAAGCTCCCCACGGGAACTTCCTGCGACGTTCTCTAAATTTGAGTATGTAATTGTACATACGGTATCAATATGAAACTATATAACTATAATTAAATAACTATGAATAACTATAAATAATATATGTATATTAGTATATATCTATATAAACTATCTACAATCAGCAGTGCTCTGTCTATTACGGTCCTATGCTCCATTCTTGATACAAATCCGCTGGGGAGATCTGAACACCATCCCCGCGCCTGCCAGGAGTTTGCCAACAAGTCCCAACAAAGGCAAACTGGGCGGTTGCGGCAAGGTATCTATTGGATTTCCTCAAGTAAATCCAGAGATTCATAGGGAAAACACAATGCAAATGTCAACATAGATTGATAGGGAATACACAATGAGCATCTCAATTCAATATATATAGATTCACAGGGAAACCCCAACAAACATTGAGAGAAAACATGTGAAACCATGTGAAGCCCATGATAAATCTATGGGAAAATCCCTTCCTCCAGCTGACCAAGCCATGAGCAACTGCCAACTCGGCCAAGATACTGAGTCCATCCGCCCACCTTGGCTAAACTGAGATCTGGGATGAAAATGAACGTCCCCCAAATGGCATCAGTTTATCATTGTTGTTTCTCATTCAAAATCGCTTTATAATGTATATACATATATATATACATGTATGTATGTATGTATGTATGTATGTATGTATGTATGTATGTATGTATGTGTATACTGTATAGAAGCGTTTGGGGCAACCCATATGGACGAATTCTTTGACATTTCAACAAAGCATGGATCAGTACTAAAGATAATTGACATATTACTGCTTGGGAGTCCTAATTTTGACCCATAGCCATTTGTCAGGTAGGAAACTGAGGGACTCTGCGCAGTCACAGTGTTCAGTAACAATTGATGGACGGGGCATATCCACAATAAAGAATATCACCTGGGGCATGTCTCTGGCCACCAAAACGGAAGCCGGCTGAGCCAAGCAAAGGTGAGAATGACCCCAACTCCAAACACTGTCTGGAAAATTGTGGGAAACCACTGGTATTTGTTTTACAGTCATGTTCTCTATTCAATTGGCCATTTGCGGAGGTATACCAGATGTACAGCACATATTTGGACATATCCACATCATGCAAAAGATAGCCCAGTCAACCTTCCACTTCTCTGGTGCGCTTCCTGCCCATGAAAAACCTGGAAATTCTCCATCGCCCCGATTGAAATCCATCAAATCCATTAAAGAAACATAGAAATCCTCTAAAAATCCTCATCTTTCTCCCCATTTTGGATTTGTCTGGAAGGCTACCCCTCAATGTCATGGTTCATCACTTCATCATCCCTATCCCTAGGTATTTTTTAATAGCCCAGTCAACTGATGCCCGAATCCACCCCGCCAGCCGCGGATCCAAGCAAGTGATCGGATAGCTTGTCAAGACATGACTCAGCCGCAACAAAGTGCACAATGTCTCTTCTTGTAGGAGCCACATCCTTGAACTCTTTTTTCGAGGTGAACTTTCATGGGGATGAAATCTTCACAAAAATCGGAGCATAACCCTTTTATAGAACATTATTGAACCATTATGGAACTTTTGTGGAACAAAATCTATAGAACATTATGGAACCATTTTATGTGGATATTTTGTTTGATATAATGGGATAAGCCTTCAAAAGGCGATGCCCTCTCAAATGATAGCAAGGGTCTATTGGGAATTTCGTAGCCGCCAGTAATGACTGGGGACTCCTCAAGTAGATTGAAAGGTCGTTAGCCATGCTTTTTTCCCATGACTCATGACGTTTCAAACGATCTGGGATTGGGGACTCTCAATCATGAATAATTTCACTATGAATTTAAGTTAATCATGACAACCAATCATGATTATGTACAGACCAAATGATAACATAAGAATAACAACCAACCTCATCCTGCAAATTAACATGGACCGTCAAATAATGCGTTTTGCCTTCTATTGGAAGATTACTTCCGTCTTCCAAATGACCGTTTCTTGGTTCCATGCTGGCTTCTGCCAAATGCATTTTTGGCCGACATGATGTCAAACCAACCCAACTCATCTAATAAAACTTGTTGACAATCTGCTTATCAGACGTTAATCCAACGGAAAATCCAACGGAAAAAAAAAACATAGAGGTCCCATGGCATCTCTCGCCCATCTTTCCATGTCAGCCCCACATGTTGCTGCTGAGCGTCAGGGACGCATCGTTGTCAATGCTCAAAAGCTCCTGCTGCAGGAAGCGAAGCCGAAGCTGGAATGATCCCGCTGTTGTTCGAACCGATGATGGAGAAATATGGAGAAATATGTTTCCAAAATTATTTGACACATCAAGAAAAGAAATCGAAAGAACACTGCAATCAATAACTACATATGTTTCTTAGATATTTTTTTTGGTTATCTCGACATATCATGATGTATCCCATATGTATATATATATAATTATATATCCCTTATCTTCATTGACTTGCCCAAGGGTCCGTGACCAGAGGGTTTTCGCTGAGTCCTTGCACATCACGAGGGAGACGGGATCAGGCGCTGCCTCCATTGATCGCTTGGCGGACGCCGAATGAGACTGCTCTTGAGTCTGCTGAAAATGTAGGATTAACATGGATGAACCCACCCAGTCGTGGTAGTATTATTTTACCGCCATCCATGGGGCAATCTAAACAAACCAAGAATGGATTGGAGTCGGAGTCAAGAATGGCTTGGAGTGGATTCCATATGACTCACCAGCAACCATTGACCTCCACTGCAACAGACCAACATCCACGATCTGGGGATCACCTTCCCGGGAAACAGTCCTCCCAACCATTTAGGGTGAGATAGAAGAGGATGTAACAAGAACTGCTAAGTCTCCGGAACTTTTCGCGAACTAGAGAGTTGATCTGTTCATGTTGTTACATTTGTTTCTGCTTTGCAAAACCTGATCCTTATTTATCCTTTTCATCCTAATTTAATTTCAATTGGCTTCTAACAGTTCTGCCACTCAACGGCAATGGACCTGCTCGGTGTCTTCATTCCGCTGCTTCTTGAACTTCCGGTCGATGGAAAACTCTCCAGATCCATCATCACCTGCTGTTGAGGGGATCCCCAGAAGGTACCCTCTGGTAATTTGTGACATAGCTATTGAAAATGGCCATTGAAATAGTGGATTTACATGGATTTACCCATTAAAAATGGTGGATCTTTCCAGTTCGCTATGTTAATTGGCCATTCTAGTGGATTTACCCATTAAAAATGGTGATTTTCCATAGATTTTTGTTAATTTACCAGAGGCTATTCCTTCAGAAAGAGTCCATTGATTCGAGGGATCAGCCGCAACTCCATGGAGAACACCGAGCAGATCGAGCACCGCACCTTCAGCGGCTTCCTGCGGTGGTTGATCTAATTCGTTCTCCGACTCCTGGCGCTTTGGTCAAAAAATGTCTGATCATGTCTGATCCATTTTCCTATTAAAACCTCCATTTATTTTGGGGATTTTCCATGGCTATGTTAAATAACCAGATGGTATATCAACTGGAAAGGGTACCCTCTGGTAATTTGTGACATAGCGAACTGGAAAATGGCCATGATTAATTGGGTAAATCCACTATTTCGACTGGGCCATTTTCAATAGCTACGTTAAATTACCAGAGGGTAAAATGGCATGGTCATAATCTGGAGAAATGCAGATTCATATTGGAGGTCAACAAATCTCCAAATCATGACTATGATGACTATGCCATTTGAAAAGTAACTGAAACCTTTGCAAAATATCCCAGCTTCCCAACTGCTCTTCTTCTGAATCATTCATGCTCACAATGAATCAAAATTGTGGCCCTGGGGCGGGCTCTGGAGTTCTGGAGTTCTGCATGAGTGGCTGAAGGATTTAACTGCAAAAACACCACATCACACTATCATGCTGAGGAAAAACACATGATTTTGGCCCTTTCTGCAACCCTCCAATCATTCTGTCCTCAGTCATGCCCTCTTCTTCTGACTCCTGAATCCGTGGCGCCAATTTTTGGGTCGTCTTTGAAGCAACCACTCTTTGAACACCATTTGGTGATCAAAAATCTCCAATGTTCATTGGAATTGATGGTCATTTCTGTGGGAATGGACTTAAAAAAATTACCATCAATTCCCAGTAACTGGGGATTTTGCACGTCAAACCTGCGCCACAAATCTAGGGACACCAAACTCTTCCAATGGAAACCAATAGCAGCTGGAACTCCTCGTTGAATATATTAGTTAACAATAATCATCATCACCGATCTACAAGTATATTGGTTCATCATAATCATCATTACTATCTCATCTACGTCTGAAAAAATATGAGCGCTGTCCAAACCCTTCTGTCGTCTTCTCATTAAAAGGAAATCCCATAATGCATTACCCTCTGGTAAACCAACATAGCTATGGAAAATCACCATTTTTAATGGGAAAACTCACTATAAATAGTTTACCAGAGGGTATCATAATCCCCAAAATATGGGGTTGTCTAATCGCCAAACTTATCATCGACCACCAGTGGTTTGGAAGACTGCTCATATGTGCCATTTGGTAAATGATTTATGGTCATCAATCCCATATTGGGAATCCAAACCTACTGAGGCACTATAGTAAATCCCATTGATGGGTGGATGACTATCCCCTTCTATGGGAAAACAAACCATGTTTGATCATGACGCATACGATAAAATCCGAGCTAGGGTTGGTTTGAAATATAATTTCCCATACATATTTTCAACCCTCAACCAATCCTGGTTTGAACAATACCATAATTTGACAGTTTATTAGGACAAAATTATGACTAGGGTGCCCTATTTTCAAACAAACCCATATGAGCCATTAAAACAGTCCCTATCCAATCTCATTACACGAGTTGGCTGATAGGTTTCCCTAATATGGCTTATACCAATCCCCAATAACTCAGGTAGTGGTAGTTTTACTTTCTGCACCAATCAACCGGCATATTTTTATGGTTCATGTGGAAATGGCCATTACAACGGCAAGAGGCCTCAAACAGTGTGGGAGTAGGAAGTCAATGTACCAGATACAAGCTACTGGCAGCTATGGAGCAGTAACAGACCAGGTTAGACTTTATCGCAACTGCAGCAGCAGAAACTTGTTTTGGCACAAGAAGCAATGCTATGTCTAGTCATCAGGACCTCATACCATGTCATACCTCAACCTCATACCAGGATATTGAACAGAATTTCAAAAGATCGTCAAACAAGGACCTTGAAGAGGACCTGACCAGATCATCATGCAAGAATTTCCCATGAGGATCCCGGAAGAACTTTCTTACCAATGCACAGCATCCTCAAGATCTGAATGCAAGGGCCTCGTCAGGAGGGTTTCAACAGGATCTCCACAACAGCTTTTGACAAGAACCTATACAAGATCATGCAAGGACCTCTTAGAGGAATTCACCAGGATCTCTACAAGAGCTTCTCACAAGGACTTCACAAGCGGAGCTGGAATTTGGAAGCGGGTCCATGCACCCCAGAACTTAGGCCTACATTTTGTGTGAGCCTCCGCAACCGGAATGCACATTTTGTCATGCTCACTTGTGAGCCATTTTATGCGAGAAGTTACAACAAAAATGCCGGGGCCCGATGGAGCACCCTGATGTAACCCCGGCCTTAACACCTACCGTAAAAGCCCCGGCCGTGTGGACACACCGGAGCAGCGCCTCGGAGTGAGTCGACGTGGGCATCTCCTCCAATTGACCCTCGTGAGAAGTCACCTGGTGCCGGCGAAGGCCGGGCAAGGGAATTGGACACCTTCGCCATGGAAAACGACCCTTTTATAGATTTGATATATTTTGCTGATTTAATAGCATACAATAGGATATACATATATACACATATTTATACATGCATGCATACATACATGCAGAATCGTACCTTGCATTTACACATATAGCGTAGGTTATAATAGGATAAGGATAAGGATAAGATTGGGATATAAACGGACATATAACCAAATTAACGGGGGATTCCCCCTCCGTTACGGCAGTTCAAAGGGAACTTTTTGTGACAAACCATGAAATTTGGAGTCCCCTCTTTTCAGACAAACCAAATATATATGTAGATGATTTACCTATAAATTGGTTTGTCATAAATACCTATTAGATAGATGGTAAATATACCTATTTGACATACATAAATACATATAATACCAGCCAAACTAATGCACCTATGAAATTTGGCAATTTTCCATGGCTATCTGATTATCTTAGTTTACTGGAGGGTAAGCATTCAAAATCCAGGATTGATGCTGGCTAATATGGGGTTGTTCAACATGGGTGTTCCATCCTTTTCCCAATGTAAATCGGCAATTCTTGTGCTATACGCCATTCTTGAACTTAAAACCACATAAAAAAAATCAATAAATGTATGTATGTATATATATATATATGTATAATATATATATATATACATACATAGTTGGTTGTAAAATCCATTACATTTTCCCCATTATATCCACGGATTTTAGATAGCGCACCACTGTCCGCGAACAAAATCCCAGTGGCATAAGCTGGATTGCCAATACGCTGAAGAACGTCGTCACGTGCTTGTACCTCACCCCACCAGCAACGTTCAGGTGTCGCTTGTCAGTATAGTCATCCTCAAGTAGATAGAATATGGAATGTTCAATATTATTGGATCATGTTAGGGAGCTTTTTTGAATTACCATATTGTATCTACTTCAGGATGACTGGTTTTTTTCCATACCAGGATTGCGATCATTACAATACAATTTTGTGGAAACGTTGTCAGTATGATCCGTCTTACTCTAACTATACTTGGATGAAGGGAATCATTAGCGAAACCTGTCGTAAAAAACATCATCAAATAGAATTTACGGTATCTGGAAGGTGAGACCCCCAAGTTGTAAGTTGGTTTATGTTCACCCCCATGAACTACAGCTGTAGCTCGTTACATCCCCCATCCATAAGCCATCCTGACATGGGGCCTCACCTTCTGTTTGTCTGACCATTTTCTGACATAAATGGAGTCAATTCAAATCAAACACATTAAAACATATGTCAACCTTGGAACTTGGGATGTTCAATATGAATGAGATTATGAGTATGTCATAAACAAAATCAACCAGCTAAGCATGTCCAACCACCTAGCCTTGTACCTAAAACCATCTAAAACCGGACCCAAGCGCACCAAGTTGACTCGTCTCAAGCTCCGGAGCCCCGGTGGGCTCAGCTCGATTTGTCCATCGACGATGGCGGAAAATGCCAAACCTTCGCTGGCTGCGAAGCTTGCAAAGAACCGGGATCTCAATGCCGAGAATGATTTGGCCATATTTGGCCACTAGCATCTGTAGCCATAACGGGCTCCATGGGTTTTTCCAAAAAAACAGGTGTTTTTATGGGCTCCATTGGTAAAAAACCATGTGTTTATATCATTGAAATCATCTGCACCAGGGAAATGAGCCACAGCCGCCATGCCAGCGAGTGACTATCCAGCTCCAAGGTCTGCTGATCTGGGTCCTCCAAGCCGGCCTTGCCTCCGAGGAGCAAACCAAAGTGCGCTTTGCAGCCTTGGACGCCGATGATTCTGGAGATGAACTGGGTGCTATCTGTGATCAAAATCTGGATTCCCCAACATGGCAGTGTGTCAAAACCAATAGTACCCCTGTAGTTCACATCAAAATAGCTGGTAAATGGATGTTCATCCCACTATAGTAATGTATCTATAGGTATTGACCCATACCCACATGATTTATCACAAGATCACCGAAATATCCTAAATCTGATCGTCTCAGTGGTCATTTATGCTTGACCGTTTGACCCATAGCTACTTGCAGCGTTGCACATTCAAGACTCACGATGCGTAAAGCATGTCACCTTCAACTCTATTTGCGAGGCCTTTTAGGCCACTGCAGGGCACCAACACGCACGGCTGAACTGATATACCAAAGTGAGCAAGTCATGCCGTGCGTTTCTCTGTTCTACCCTCTGGTAAACTAACATAACTATGGAAAATCACCATTTTTAATGGGAACATCAACTATAATCTATAAATGGTCATTTTCAATAGCTATTTTGACATAACCAGAGGGCAGGTGGTTTGGATCAGCCATCGGGCCCCTGATTATTCTTGGCTCCAGCAATGCCCAGCGGATCGCTGGATCATTTTCATAGGTCTGGGTATGGTCTCCAAACTATCTGATGGGGTTTCCCTGATTCAGTTTGACAAAAAAATTCCGGTGAATTCTTGGGGAACCCAGTCCAACCTTTAGAATATCCGCATAAATTCATGATGGTTCTTGGGACATGTCTAAATCTTTTGAGTAAAAAATACACATACTGTTGATGGAAAACAAATCCAGCACCAGTTGATAGGCGGCTGATTACCCTTTCCAGTTGATATACCTATCAATAGCCACTATTTCTATGGCCATTTTCAATAGCTATGTTAAATTACCAGAGGGTATCTTCTGGGGATCCCCTCAACAAAAGCAGTTGATAGGTGGTTTATCCCATGATTTATAGGGTTTCAACCATCCAAGGTGCAGGATTTCTTCCATCCACAGTATGTTAAATTTCCACTTCGCATCACTTCGCTATCATTTTTGAAGTGGAAACCTCACCATGATTAGCCTTTCCAGTTGATATACCTATGTTAAATTTCCAGAGGGTCTGCTATGATTTTCCCCAGTTCTCCAAGCAACTCCGTGCCACAGCACCATAGACTCTACGTCGATGGCTGGCAGCTTCCGGCAGCAGAAGAGCGTCCAGGACCTCGATTTTTTTGGTGAAGGCCACAGGGAAACGTTGGATTTGACCTGCAAGAAATGGTGATTCACTAGGATTTAATGGTGATTCACTGGGATTTAATGGTGATTCACTAGGATTTAATGGTGATTTACTGGGATTTAATGGTGATTCACTAGGATTTAATGGTGATTTACTGGGATTTAATGGTGATTCACTAGGATTTAATGGTGATTCACTGGGATTTAATGGTGATTTACTGGGATTTGATGGTGATTTACTGGGATTTGGATGGGATTTAGATGGCTAAGTTGGTAAACATAACATAACTCCAGCAACTTAGGGTTTAGGGTTTTTACAACTATACTTAATGGGATTTATAAACCAACTTATGATGGGTTTATCGATGTTTATCGTGTATCAGTATCCTCTGGTCATCAGACATGGCTAACTGGGAAATCCCCAGCATAACTTGGCAAAATATGGGAGCATCATCGAACTATGTGAGGGATTTTGCATTGCCGGGGTGATTACCAGAGGGTATTTTGGCGATATTCATAAAGCATACCGAGCCGTTGAGCCGTTGGCATTTTCTCACAAACAGAACATTGTGGGGCTCACTGCAATTCTTCTGTGGAATATACTATGCATGTAGGGCAAGAAATGTGGTGCGTGGTTTAAACCCTGCTGAAAACATGTTCGTCAGCTAGGCATTTGCGGGGTCGAACATCAAACATTCGTGCCATGATCAAGTTGGGTGGGAATCGACATCAAATGGGTGTCAACATCCCTGTGAAAATGGATTGACGGACCGTCCCCCAATGTGGGCAATTGACCCAAAGTTTGGACAATGGCACATGTGCTGACAATATCTCTCTGAAATGTTGCTTTATCAGAAATATCTGGCAAAACCTCCAACAATATGATGATCTAGAAATGTCTAGAGCCTAGAACCGAAATTTTTTCCATATGAAAATTGCAAGTTTCATTGGGCTATCCCATGGTATCCACCATTTTTTGGGTATAAATCCACTAGTCACACGAACTTGGTGACATATCCCCATAACAGATCCCCATGAAATACCAGCATTCGAACAGTTTTCCGAGTCGCAGAAGTGCGCATCACAAAGGCCCAAAGATATCCCACATCGAGTTGTGAACGCAGCTCCTGCAATGCAGATATCTCCAGACTCCCAGGCCACTAAGGACTGGATGAAAAGCCTGAAGTCTGAAGCACGCCTCTTTTCAAGCCGGGGGTGTGGAATGTCGCCAGGTGCGGGCAGGAGCGTACGTTTCTAGCCCCGCTTGGTGCCGGCACTCCCATGGTCAAGTCAGACCAACCTGGCACAACCTTGATCAAAAATTCCGGAGAAAGTATACATGTATGTATATGTCAAATCTCAGCGCCTGATGAACGCTGACTGAATCAAAATGTGCAACTGTTCTGGCATTCAGTTTTATGAACTCAACAATCGCATTCAATACCAAGGTCAAAAATTCACTGACTCACATTCAGTGAGAGAAATGGTAATGAAAAGGAAGGCAAGATCCCTCGAGAGGAAAGAAATCGGCACAATAAACTCACACCACATGTTGACATGAAAGAAAGGCTCATCTTGGCAACGGGTGTTGCTTGTAACCCGGTCATTTCCAGCAAGCCACCAATCCCAGCAGTATCCCGGCTCAAAATGCAAAGTGCAGAGATGTATTCACATGCATCACTGATGGGCCAGGGAAGCAAAGATGTTTTGGATGCCAATGACAAGATTGAAGCGAACAGAAACCCCGCCACAAAAGCACAAATCGCCAAACTTCCAGTCACTCGGGTGGGCAAGGCCACTGATAGCCCATGAGAGGAAATTCAGAGCGACGGCGGAGACATGCCCAGCTCATCCCTCACGAAACTGAGTACAGCAGCCGTGCGATCTTTCAATCCACGGGGCACTCCGAGGTTCTCTTTGTGCAAAAAATCACTAGTTTGCTTTCCTGTGAGGCTCTCCGTCATGGAAACAATGTCATCCCAGGACTGAGGGTTGAACTCAGCATCGAAATCTTGAAAAAGCTTCCGCGACAAGCGTTTTTGCAGTGGTTGTAACTCATGATTTGTCCCTTCAGTCACACTCACTGGCGTCACCGAGGCCGCTGCACGTGCCGAAGATCCGGTTGCCACTAAGGACTGGAACTTATTATATGTTAAATGGATGTTAAATGGATACCTCTTGGCAATTGCACGCGACAATAGAATCTTCGAAGATGCCCCATTTCTAAATCCAATTGACTTGTAGAAAGCGATTTATCTGCACTATTTTCAGACATGAAAAAAAAGGAAAGCACATGAGGGTTTCCAATAACCTCCGGTAATGGCTCGAAAATTCAGCATCTCTCCCTCGCCTCCACTGGAACGCGGGAAAAGGCATGGGCCACATCCCAAAAGACACCTCTTTCTGGCTGTTCGCCCATGGGACATGGGAAATGGCAAACTTCATATCATACTTTGGGTTTGCCGAAAAATGGGAACTTGACCCACTATATATGTGTATAGATATATATGTATATATATATATGTATATATATATATGTATATATATATATATACATAATTTATTCAGACACTATCTTGATAGGGAAATCATGATGAAACCAATGGATTTAGGGGTACCCTATATATTTGCATACAATTCCAGATCCATATCAAGAAAATGCGCCCTATCTTGATACGTGCATACATGCTCTGAAGTGTTGACCTATTATCCACAAGCATCCACAAATCCACAAACACAAACAGGTCAAAAAATGTAAAAAGGATGGCTATTTGGGTTTGTCCGAAAATGGAGTATACCCCGAAATAGACAATTTGATTGGTAAACTAATTAGAACCATCATTGTTGGGTGTACCATATTTTCAAACAAAGGCATTTTGCAATTCTGCTGTCTGCAATTTTCAGACTTGTTTGAGGAAGAAAACCACCCAGAAGTAGAATCAAAGACAGAGTGCAGCAATTGATGATCAAATTCTATGATGCAGTAAGCTATACCGACCCAGAATGTCAAATGCAAATGCTGGGGCATAGTATGGACATATATAGACTTACAGTATATGTAAGACAAGAAAGCTACCGCACGAACAACAAATATGGCCAGGAGGGAAGTTCTTTTTCATTTCAATGGTTGGTCAGTTTCATTTTCCAAATAAAGGGCACGAATTACATTGCCAAACTGGGTTGGAAACCTGTAGGCTACGGCAAAACATGGCGACACTTTATTGTGTGACCAACAAACACATCCAAACACTCCCAAGATGTTGATCCAAATGCGGAGGTTTCCATAAAATCCATAGTCATGAGGCTACCTCAATAGCTGGATGGTTTACAAGGGAGAATCCTACTAAAATAGATGATTTGGGGGTACCTCAATTTCAGGAAACCATAAAAATGTGGCTTTGGGTCCAATTGCCGCATCTGCCCAGAGCAAACGTGCAACGACGGCACGTGCCAGTCCATGCAAACGTTGCTTGGTAGCCCAGTCGGTCTCCGCCCAAACTGCCAGAGTGGCCTGATGCCATAGGACTACCCCGATAAACGCTTGGAAAATTTACCAATGATAAAATGAATTAACATAGAATTATATGTAACATATAATTATATGTTATATATGTATATATATATACATATATACATATAATAATAATAATAATTAATAATAATAATTATATATATATATATACAATAATATATATATAATATTTACCTATATAATCGTATATACATTCTTCGACGCGTATAGTTGTTTGCTTCGGGATTTGATTGGATTTACCAATTTACCGATTTCTCAGCATTCGGAAACAAGTCTGGGAATGTTATGAAACTCTAGGTCATCCACAAAAATGATAATCGACTGCATTTGACTAACACACATGGGAATCTTAACCAAATAGTGGCCTAGATCAGATCGTAAATCTAAGACCCATGGGAAGCCTGAATGAACCTGTCCCAAGTCCCAAGCTTTTGAGGGTCATTGCCTGCCCAAACGAGCAGGCTACTTCAACGCTCAGAAATATCACATTCTCAAAGCTTGGTTGGTGGGATAGCGAAGACGAGACACTGAGTGGTTTTAGCTTGGCCAGTAAGGACCAACCAACCCCCAGGTGCTATCTCCATCGCCTGCAGCAGTTGGGCCGCGAGCTTCTGTCCGGGTGTCTCGATCTGTCGGGAGGCTGCAAGGCGGTGGCTGGGAATTGGATATGTTTCCCCAACATGAGTTATTACGTAATGATACGTAATGAATGACGAATACATCCCTATGTGTTTAAATTAGCTTCAAATCATGACTCATACCTAATAGATATGTGTTGAGGATTTGGGATGTCACCACTAGCTACATGACTTATCAAGACTTGCAACGCTTGGATGTGCCACCCAGCTATAATCCGTCGATCCTCAGTCTAAACCTGGATCATTCCGCATGTGTTTTCTGAAAATGACGGGGAAAGCCTCAATTCCAATGGATTCTTATATAAAATGATCCCCACTAAAATCACCATTTGGATCCATTTGGAGGGTACACCCCATATCCCCATTCTCAAAAAACAGATCATTTCAACCTGACGCAATTTGGGAGGAAGGAACGCTGTACAGGATCAGACATGATCAGACGATCCGCACGAGCCCTCCGGCACCTCCACGTTGGGATGTAGTTTGATCCGCGAAAAGGTCGCCGTGAGGTTTTGCAGAACCTGCAGCAATGGTAGTGGCTAAGGGCAGAAAGAGCTGTTGGGGTAGCTAGCTCTGAAAGTGTACCATGAAATCAAGATAGTAAAAAAATCAGCTCAAGTGGTTGCATCCCTATAGAAAAAATCCTCTTGAAATTCCCTATCAACCCAGTAGTTCAAAACTCTGGGCTCCTGAGATGTGTAATAAACATTAATAAGTATAATATTAATAAGCCATTTAGCTAACTTGAGGCTCGAGATGGCTTGAAGGAACATTCCAGTACAACTCAAGGTTTCCAGATTTTGTGGTATGTTGTCTGTACAAACATCATCAAACATCAATTTCTGGAGCAGTTACACCACCGTTGAACCCACTCAACTGTTGGAAACATAATTAGGGTCCCAGCAAACTTGCATGGTTCAGCTATGGCCCAAATAACATCAATCTATGGTCTGCGTACCAGCCGATTTTCAAGCCCGAAGCATGTCATGTAGACTGCAGAAAATCACTTGCGCGGGTGCGAGAAAATGTCTTGAGGCTTGGCTACCAGTGTGTAATACGGTAAAGCCAATACCAGAAGCCACCCCGCAAACCATTTGGGTCTCATTTTTTCATGTTTTTTACATCATCCATCTCATAGTCTTTTTTGGCATAGCCAATATTTATCAATATTTCATAAACCCATGAGAGTGGTAACTATATGGCCGGGCTAAGCGGCTAAGTCCGTCGCCTCGTTGGGAAGTCCCACAGAGAGGTTCAACGTCAAAATGGTGGAGAAGATATTCTGGATCGATGCCTCCGAAGGTATCCTGAGGCTCTCGTTTGGGGGGCTGGAAACACGAGGTGGTGCAACCATGTGCAACCCGGAATCATGTTATAGTAAAGCAACCCTTTAGACCACCCCCGAAAAGGGCGAAAATTGGGGATGATTTACGATTGCTATAGTTAACATCGGAGTAATTATAGAATTGGATGTTACATCTTGGATTGCTGGGTGGTGTCAGGTTGAATTATACAAAAGAAAGGAAAATGGGTTTACCCTACAGTTTCCCTCAAATCCATTCTGGAATGCCTGATAGATTATAGAAATTTATTGCAGCGCCCAGACACCGATACAAACTGGTTGAGGGACCATCGTCTATTTGAGAAGTGTTATTATTGTTCCTCTGTCATTCCATGGCACCGACTGGTTCATAGGGTTTCTGATAATTAATGGATTATGAGAATCCCCCCAATATTTTTGTTGTGCTGCAACCCCCTGTGATCACCCAATTGGGGTTGAACAGCCACTGCTCAGACTTGCTTGATCTCCACATATCTCCCCACAGGGGATCGGATGGGCGTATCAAACTACCGCAGCTGAAAGGCTCCATGAAGGCCAAAAAGAAGTGTCGAGTAAAGCGTTTGCCTCAGCGGAGCAGCCATGAATGACATGGCACTTCAGTGCTTCAGTGTCAAATTCAGGGCGACATTTGTTTTTTTCGGCTATAGATGGCTATAGGCTATGGGTAAAGAATATGGTCAAAAAGTTGCAAACTATTGATGAAGATCATGACAAATCCATAAACTATGGCTGCTAGAGCTGTTAGAGCTGGTTTTTTTCATGGGGGTCAGTGAAAACATGTGAAAACCCTGGTACCCTTCTCTTCACCATCTTCACCCCCATAGCTGGGAATTTATGGATGTTCCTCAAAAAAATCCAACTTCATAGGTTTGTTTCATCCCCAGATGGTTTCCATCCACATTTCATCCACCAAGGTGCACAGCTCCAAGTTCTGGGAGTTGGGTGCCAACAGGGACGGCAAGAAGGAGGTATCTCGAATGGCAACGAAGTGGCCATCGCGATAAAATCCTGGTGCCACGAAAGGCGGCCCGTTTTTCGAACGCATATCACGTATGGAGTACAGTAGATTATCCATGATTTTTGTGTATAATCTGTATAATATATATATATAACTTATATAACTATTATGTAATACTATGTAATACTATGTATGTATGTATGTATGTATGTATTAATGTAATGTAATGTAATGTAATGTAATGTAATGTAATGTATGTATGTATGTATGTGTATATATATAGTCATTAAACTATTATAATCTATTATATAATTGTTGGTCAAACTCATGTGATTGCTAAAATTCTGAACATACACCCACATAAAATGACATATGGCTTTGTTTATCCATGTCTATCACTGTCTCTCCATTTCTGATGTGAGTTTTCAATAGACTCTCCCGACTCTCCCCGGCCGCATATTGTCGTCCTTGGGATTCCAAAGCAAAACGAATCCATTCGCCCAGCTCTGATTGGCCGCAGGAACCTGCCGGAGCAATCCAGTTGGCACAATGCCCTTAGTTTCTGTATGTCACAGCACATGTGAGAGCACGAACATCTCGGATTTGTGAAAATTTGGTTTAGGACCCTACAGTCATCCTTCCAACAGGCGAACTGTAACAAGTCTCATATCCGACATGAATCCTCCAAGTGGGGCCAAGACTGCATCTTTTTTCCCTGGCAACGCCATTTCACGAAGAGCGGGACGACTGGGAACGCGAAGTCACAACATTGGTACGGGTCAAAATTGAAGGGCCACAGCTGTGAAGATATCAACATCATTTATAACATCATTTAACTCGATCGAAGTGTACCCCAATTCGGACCCATCACCGCAGTCAACGGAACTATGGAATGTGGTCGGATGGGGAAGTCCACATCTGTAGGCTGCGGAACCAGACTCACCATCCGGGAAACAGACATAAACAGACCATGGTGGAGTGCATGTTCAAAATTCTAGGCACTAATCCATCAAGTGGTCATCAAAAAAGGCAGAATTTTCCGCAGAAATCCGCCTTCCGTAGTTGGAGTATCCCATATTGTTGGGAGTCCCCGGAACGCGAAGCTCAGAGGCAAACAGCCTTTTTGTGCACAAAAAAAATGACGAATCTTCCATACCATCCATGCATGGAATGTGTCCCCAACATGTTCGGCCAAATGTTGGTGATATCCATGGAACATACATGTTGATGGAATATATATATATCCCCAACATATCCATTTAAGTGTTGATGTATTTGTCCCCAACATGAATTGCACTTAAACATCACTATATATCCATGGAGGACATGGCGATAGAAACCCTTCAGTTTGCAGTTGAACTCTGAGCCAGGCTGGCTTCAAGGAGGGAATATTGGGCTGAATTGAACGCCGTTACCCAGCTTTCAGCAAGCGGAACACTGTAAACGTTGGAAGTGTGGAGCGAAACTTTTCAATCCAATAAAAACATATAAACACATATGTTGGCAATGTTTGGCAACTTCCCAACGTGATCACTTGAAATTTTAAAAAATGGTAGTTGAATTTCACCATTTTTTCAGCTTGGCACCTGCCAAGTGCTCGGAGTTTTGGCAGGGTATCCAGAGGAAACACCGAACGGTTCGTGGGAAAAACCCCGAAGCTATGAGATTGAACATCTGTAGTTCCTATTCATGTTCAGTATTTCGAGTATTCCCGAAAGATATAAATGAGATATTCCCAGTTCCATTCAAGTTATAATGAAATCAAGGAAATCCTCTGGACTTTTCTCCCAAGAAATTGGCCCGTCAGCATCTCGCGCCGTTTCGAGATACCTGGTCGCAAACAGAGTTTCGACACCTTGTTTGCACTGGCTGTTTGAGAAAAACATATGGATTTAATATGACTTAATAGGTTTCTTAAGTGATGTATTTGTTTCTTACATTTTTTCCGGGTATCACTATAAACCCTCCCAACACTACTATGATATACTATGATCATGTATCAACTCAAACTTTCATCCTGCGCCAGAAGCACCAATCATCCCGAACCAGTTGGGAGCACTATATATCCTACGACACAATACCATCCTCTGGACACGCCTGAGCCCCACATGGCTTTGTCTGGAGGCGTATCTCATAATCTGGGCATTGATAATCATTGTCTAATTTCACCAGCCTGAATCTTGCGGCCATTTGGGGATGATTTCCCTATACATTCACCATGATTCCAGGGTTCGGTCGCGACGTGAGGTCGTGATCAAATTTACCCAGATAGCTGGCCACATCAGTTGAAACTCGGCCATGGCAGTCTTGTGGTGCTGAAAAAAACATGGGAACATGAAACCACATTCCTCTCAGGACAGGTTTTATGAGTCGGGACTGTTGAAGAAGAACTGTTTTTCAGGTACCCATCTTCATTTTTTTCGATTCATCAAGCAGAAAAGAATACAGTATCTGGAATTCAGATTGTGAGCCACATCCACAGTATGACTGCCAATCAAGAATTGTTTTTTTTCGTATGTCCCGAATGGGTTTGTCCTCAAAATGGAGGATAGGCATATATGATCATATAAGAATCATATATGGCCAAGTCGAACCTCTTTCATGGTACCCTCTGGTAATTTAACGGTTTGCTATTGAAAATGGCCATAGAAATAGTGGATTTTCCCATTAAAAATGGTGATTTTCCATAGTTTTTTGTATGTTTACCAGGCCGGGTAACCATTTGGATGATCTTTGGGGATTCCCCATCGCCTTGCTCGTCGCCCTCTTTCTCTCTTCGCAGGAGATCAATCCTCAGCTTTCGTCCCAGTGGGCTGCAACATCCCATGCCCTGAGACCAACAGGAAACGACTGGCTGCCACGCCTAAGTCATGCCGTGGTTTAATGAAGGCATTTACCATTGTAAACGCTGTACCCAAGAAGTCATGCCTAAGTCATGCCTAAATGCTTTTCTGCACGGAACGCTGTCTTCAATAAAAGTGCAAAACTCTCCATGATCTGGGTCTGTGCAAAACTCTCCAAGACAGTTTGGAACTTGACCCTCAAATCCTGTTGAGGGGATCCCATCAACAAAATGGATCTAGATGGCCATGCAGTTCATGATGTTGGGCCGATTCCCCAAATCTTGGGCTACGGTTGGGCCACGGTTTGCCAAGGCTCCACTCTTCAAAGCACTGCGGTGACTTTTGCACCCGGAGAAGGAACCGTGGAAACGTGGCTCGGTGTGACATTTCCTCTCCTGAGTTGTGACCATCTCAGTTGGGTCAACTCGAGTTGAGCCGGTTGAAGCTAATTAAAACATATTGCACAACCAAAAGGATTGTTAAAACATGTTAAAACCCGATAAAAATAATGGGATAAACCACCATTTTCAACTGGTGCAGGAGTTCTTCCATCCAAAGTATTTCAAACTTGTCTTCTGAGAGCGCAACAGGAAGGACCCGACCCTGTCTTCTGGCCAAATATTGAGAGATGCTATGGCAGAAAGACTTTTCGGAGATGCAACCATAGGAACTGGGTGATCTTTTCTTTGAGCGCACATTCAGCTGCAACACCAGCGCAATGTAGTAACAGTCAAGAAACATCAAGAAATTACTCCTGACAACTTTGACACTTGCCTCCTGGAATGGTATCTGAAAGCAACTAACAAATACTTCGAACAATTTTCACATGGATATCATATACCCTCTGGTAATTTAACATAGCTATTGAACATGGCCCATTTATTAGTTGATTTAGCTATTAAAGATGGTGATTTTCCATAGTTTTTGTGTGTTTCCCAGAGGGTACTATGCCCCAACCATGATCCCCATCGAGAACAAGCCTGGAACCTCAATCCAGCGATAACCATGCTGCTGTTTCCATAGTCATGGGGAATCCCCAATAGCTGGATGGTTGATTTCATGGAAAATCCGATCTATAAATGGATGATAAGAATGACTAACCCCCATTTTCTATCATTTTCTGCTACTGGTATGTCTGTCTGGTTGTTTGAATTCCAGTGGCTGCTTGCTGGTGTGCTGTGCCCTCCACGTTTCGCTTCGTGGGAAACTTGTCGCCCTTGGGTGCCGTCCAGTCTGGTCATTGGATCGAGGGGCGCGACACAGCTACACCAGTCGAGCGGGCAGAAACGCTGCGGAAACACATCGCTGCACTGGGTGTTTTGAAGATGGGCCACGGATTGTTCATCAATCATCAAGTACACTAATGATAATCATTGTAATGATGATAATGGTGATTGTCGTCGTCATCATCATCATCACCACTTCTCCGCCTGATTGTCTTTTTTTTGAAACCTTAGGAAAAGGATCTACTGATCTTCAGAGATTATCTTCAAACATCATGTTTTCCAAGTTGCAGGCCAAACCAACCAGCCAAACGCAGTGGATGTTCAAATATAACCTTGCATGATAATCCATCAATCCATTGAGTTGCATATTAATTTCTTGTATTCATATACAATGAGTAAAACATCTATAATATGGGGCGTTCCACAAATGGGAGATCCCCAATAGCTGGATGGTTTATTTCATGGAAAATCCACCCAAAAAATGGATGATGTAGGCGTACCCCTATTTTAGGACACCTTCACATCTTGAAACCTAAGATCTAGTCTTTACCCAATATGTACCTTTAGTTGTTCCCCCAACTATCACATATTATCACATATGGTCACCATGTTTTGGATATGGTAAATATTAGGGTGGGTCCATTTCAATGGGGTATACCCCCAGTTGTAGCCATATACTGAGGTGCCCTTCCCGGTTTAAATCTACCCTCACTCTTCCGAAAAAAAAAAACAACGCGCCTGGGCCTCGGTACTGCTGTCCCACCTCAGCTGATAAGGTGTGATAATCTATGCAATCCATGCAAAATCAAGGACAATCAAAGAATAACATAATATATTAATATATATATACAATATACACATGTATACTTAGCTGTATTTATATGCATATATAATGTGTATATCTATATATATTTACCTAGACCCTCCAAGTAGCCAGAAAAGATGGCGTTTTACCTCATTAATTTAGTACCTTTACCTTTTTTTTGGGGGGTGTTTTTGGAGGGTCTAGGAATCCACTATTGAGAATGGAATGGGCTTGGAAAATCTTGGACCCAGCAATTGGAAGGTGTAAGACTCCATGCTTTATGAGTTCGTTGGTCCTCCATTTGGACATCAATCAAATGTTAAAGACCCTTGAATCCCAAATGGTTTGGTCATTTTTGGTATTGTGAACCATCGCATGTTCGTGGATAAGTTTAAACTATGGGCATATATAAGTATCACTATTGCAATATTAAGAAGTAACTATTGGGATCCAGGGTAAGAAGAGTAAGTAGTTAATTCCAATGATCTTTTGTAAGTTGGTTGACCAAGCCATTTCCTCTGATCATTTCCCAGCTGTCAAGTTCCTCATTGTCATGTTTTCTTTGGCGGTTCACTCCTTCGTCTTTACCACTCGACATTTACCACGATTTGCCAACATGGGGGTTTCCAGCAATGGGGGATCCCCAAATTTCAGTCGTTTTTTTGATGAGAAAGTCTGACATTGAAATGGATGATTTAGGGGTACCCCCATTTTAGGAAACCTCCATATCTTGAAGCCTAAGATCTAATCTTTACCCAATATGACCTTTAGTTGTTCCCCTAACTATCACATATTATCACATATGGTCACCATGTTTTGGATATGGTGGGTCTGAAAATGGGGTATACCCCCAGTTGTAGCCATTTCAATGCAATTTAATAAAGGACACATTTGGAAAAATGATGATCAACTAATGGATTTTCCATGGGATTTTCCACGATGTTCCCACATTGTTCAGACTTAAATCCCAACAAATGCCATGCTCAAAGACCATGGTTTTTATGCGGTACGGTCATCCTGGAAAAACTTAGACCATCCAAGTACCAATCAAAATTGGTAAATGTCCCACAATGATGGGTATTGTGGTCTCCTTTCTCTGAAGTAATCACCATTTTTCATGGTTAAGTCCCTGGTGATTTACCATCTTTTTGGTAGGTAAATCCTCAAACTCAATGGGCAATGGCTTCCACCATCCATCTTTGATTCCCCATCTTCCATGGTTGTATAAATCTCCATATTCCATGGTCAAATCATGTCAAATCCAACATTTCCCCAGCATGGGCACCAGATTTCCCCAGATTTCTCCGCTGGGGGGCCTGAAGCCGCCAAGAACTGGCGGCGATGGTACTGAGGTGAAGGTCCTGAGATTCATCTGGTGGGGGTTCCTAAGTCATGGGGCTACCCCCAAATGATCCAGTTAAGTGGGGATGGGTCAATACCTATTAATACCATTTTTAATGGGATGAACATCCATTTACCAGCTATTTTGATGTTCACCAGGGGTACAAGGTTTTGACACACTGCCAAGTAGATCCAGTCGTCATGGATGACCATGACGGATCTTTTAATTGAAACACAGTGACACCGATGTGACCTGGGAATCACCCCAGGTGGAAATGGTGAGTCGTGTTTCAGGCGGAATATGGCTCGATGACAAAAATAATTCACGCTGGAAATCCATGGCGAATCTCTATCATTAGGAATTGCTATCATAAAACCGTGGGAACATAACTAACCATCACTGTCACTCACCATTCTTCCCAAGGCACGAGGCCAAAAATCATGGGCGTTTCGGGGGGTGGGGGGCACGTTGAAAAGATCGAATTTATTATGTACTTGGACCCTCCAAGTACAAAACTTGGTCAAAGTCGCAAGTCCTAGTGGGAACATTGATGTATATTGCCAGATTCTTCTTGTATGGTCTAAGAATTATTCACGACTTCTTAATGACATGTTGATGGCAACTCACTTAGTCCTTTTGACATGGCAAAGTTACCAGAATTATCATGAATTATCTGTGTAAAGGACTATGTACTGCAAGGGATTTTTTCACAAAAAATATGCTGGCTCACATGGCGCACTTCCCCCATTCAGGGTAGCTGAGTTGGCTGCTGACAACAGAGTTTATGGATAGTGCAAGACAACATGGAAGCAAGCCGGTAAGTAGCAGAAAGCACATATTAAGATACAAATACAAGATATAGTCTACACACATAAGACAATCGAATCTAAAAAGCTGGGATATCACCAATGATGGTGGCTGTCGACAATCGTTATCATTCATGGATCTGAAGCTCCGCCTAAACTGGCTTTGTCTTTATCGGAGCATCATGTTCCCTGGTAAAGCCATTTGGATCCATCTGGGAAATTATCATCACTGAGAACGACACACACACACACAAGCCAGGGAACATCTCGTAACTCAATGGCTTGAGAAAAAATCTAATTTTGGAGTATCCCCCACTTTGGGAGAAAGCCAATCGGGAAGTATTTCCCACATTTCCCACCCCATTCCAGGAAATTTGGGCGCTTGGCCAGGCTTTGCGTTCCTATTCTTGCCAAGGTGCATCGATAAACACCACCAAGCGCTTATCATTGCCGGGTTCAAGTCCGGTACTTCCCTGGCGATCTTTCCATCAAGGATGATCCAAAGATAGCCAAAGCGATCATATCGTATATGGGGATTTCCATAAATGGTGGTACCCCAATAGCCGGATGGTTTGTAATGGAAAATCCTATAAACATGGATGATTTAGGGGTATCACCATTTTAGGTAACCTCCATGTATATGTATATATATATATGATATATATGTACAGTAATTGAATCTGCCCCAAATATGGCCAATAGCCACAGAGGGCCAATGATATCTTGATCTAAGGATCGAATAACTTTTCGAACTACTCCTACTGATGGACGAAGGTGGGCTGAAATTCTCCATCTCCACCATCCAAGCAGGTTTCAGGTCCAAACTGTATAGGAAACTCCTCTGGAAATCGAACCACTTTCTGGGCTTCGGGGCTGGTAATTCTGCATTGTGCAGCGCTCCTTTTCACTTGCAAGACATTTGGTCTGGCTTCGCCGGTTCTGGGAGCGCAGACACTAAAGCAAAGGGTTCAAGGGTTCGTGCAGATGAACCGAGCTGAACCTAGCATCTACAAGAAGTCGGAGCCTCCCTTCACCATGTTCATTGAATCAGTGTGCCAAACTGATCTATCTGACCTGTGTTTTTCCTGCAATCCCTTCCCCGTAATATTAATTTCTCCCTACATGGCTCAAAATTAAAGACCTGGGGGACCACAGACTCTAGTTAATGTTTGGATATATTTAGTATGAACCATCAAATTTTGAGAGTACCCAGTTTCACCAACAAGGCTTTCAGGGTTTCTAATATTACGGGGGAGGGATTCAACATCTGTCAGGGAGCACCGAGCTATGTTGGAGCCCTGCTGAAGCGCCAAGGCGCCAAGCAGTTTGGCACGACGACCGCTCATAGCTGGACGTCTAAAGACTGCACGAAAGTTTCTTTAAAAAACCATGAATATTTGGATGGTAGGACTTTAGAAGGGTTTTCGTCCTTCTATGTCTGATCCTTCATGTCTGCAAGCTCTATTTCACAGGGGATCAACAAAGAACCAAAATGCGCGTTCTTCACGCCATTGCAAATAAAGAACGCCGGTCTCGCAAGGAGGTCTGCATCATTCAGAGAAGTCACAACTCATGAATTTGGAGATGATATGGTAACGAATATGCGTCAAAATCTATGGTATACAAAGTTTATCCATTCCTTCTGTCAATCTATTTCTATCATTTGTTTCGTAAACATCTTGCAGAAAACTCACACTCCGCCAGCTAGCGCACCGAAATCTGCGCTGTGGCTGCGAGAACTGAACGCATATAGTTTGCGACAGAGTTCAAACAACTCTTGGGCTGGTCAGTGGACTCACTGTCAAGCAGGGACTCGAAGCGTTTTTTCTTGATCTTGCTGGTCAAGATCTGCCTTGTGGAACAACTCTGAAAAAGTCAACAAAAACATACAAACCCAGGTTACAATAAACATGTAACACCCTCCGGTGTCATCAAACATGGGTTGCTGGACAATCCAATAGATGATGTTTCCATCAAAAAAAACCGTTTAATTACATATATATATATATCACATTAATTGGCAATGAACACTAATGATGTTTGATTCCCCAGAGGCTCTAAATTCAGATTTCTCAGCCCAAGCTTCGGTTTTCGGTGCACGGTCCACATAAAATGCTGCATTGCAGCCTCACCAGCGTCATGAACAAGTCGATTGGGGGCTCCAGCTCCGTCTTCGGGAAGTCCTTGCGAGGTTGGATCGATGGATCGATCAATCGATAGAATAGAATTAGAATTAGAATTAGATTAGAATTAGAATTAGCATTAGAATGAGAATAGAATGAGAATGAGAATAGAATTAGAATAGAATTAGAATTAGAATAGAATTAGAATTAGAACTAGAATTAGATTAGAATTAGAAGTAGAATTAGCATTAGAATGAGAATAGAATGAGAATGAGAACAGAATTAAAATAGAATTAGAATTAGAATAGAATTAGAATTAGAATAGAATTAGAATAGAACTAGAATTAGATTAGAATGAGAATAGAATTAGAATAGAATTAGAATTAGAATAGAATTAGAATTAGAATAGAATTAGAATTAGAATGAGAATAGAATTAGAATAGAATTAGAATTAGAATAGAATTAGAATTAAATGAGAGTAGAAATAGAATAGAATTAGAATGAAAATTAAAATTAGAATGAGAATAGAATTAGAATAGAACTAGAATTAGAATAGAATTAGAATAGAATTAGAATTAGAATAGAATGAGAATAGAATTAGAATAGAATTAGAATTAGAATGAGAATGAGAATAGAATTAGAATTAGAATAGAATTAGAATTAGAATGAGAGTAGAATTAGAATAGAATTAGAATGAGAATTAGAATTAGAATGAGAATAGAATTAGAATAGAATTAGAACTAGAATAGAATTAGAATTGGAATAGAATTAGAATAGAGTTAGAATTAGAATTGGAATGAGAATAGAATTAGATTAGAATGAGAATAGAATTAGAATAGAATTAGAATTAGAATAGAATTAGAATAGAATTAGAATCAGAATGAGAATAGAATGAGAATAGAATTAGAATTAGAATAGAATTAGAATAGAATTAGAATTAGAAGTAGAATTAGAATGAGAATAGAATTAGAATAGAATTTGAATAGAATTAGAATGAGAATTAGAATGAGAATTAGAATAGACTTAGAATAGAATTAGAATAGATTTAGAATAGATTTAGAATAGAATTAGAATGAGAATAGATTTGAATTAGAATAGATTTGAATTAGAATAGAATAGAATTAGAATAGAATTAGAATAGAATTAGAATAGAATTAGAATAGAATTTGAATGAGAATAGATTTGAATTAGAATAGAATAGAATTGGAATAGAATAGAATAAGAATAGAGATTAGATAGATATTAGAGATTCGATTAGATTCGATTAGATTCGATTCGATCGATTAGATCGATTAGATAGATTAGTTAGATTAGATAGATTAGAAAGACTAGATAGAAAAGATAGAACATATAGAAAAGATAGATAAGATAGAAAGGATAGAACATATAGAAAAGATAGAACAGATAGAACAGATAGAAAATATAGAGAAGATAGAAAAGATAGAAAAGATAGAATAGATAGAATAGATATATTAGATAGAATGGATAGAATAGATAGACTTAGATAGAATAGATCGAATAGATAGATAGAATAGATAGAACAGATAGAATAGAATAAAATAGAATAGAATAGACTAGAATAGAATAGACTAGAATAGAATAGATAGATACGTAGGTAGGTAGGTAGATAGGTATATAGGTAGATAGGTAGATAGGTAGATAGGTAGATAAGGTAGATAAGGTAGGTAGATAGATAGGTAGGTAGATAGATAGGTAGATAGATAGGTAGGTAGGTAGGTAGGTAGAGTAAAACGTGCTGGTATACATTACTTATCATGCAAATATTTTATATGATATCATATATATATATAGTGTATATACATATAGGTAACATAATTGTATTTTCAGCAATTATATATTTACACACTCCAAGATTTCCAAACTCAAATACAACCAGCTACCTATTTGCATAGAAAAACAGGCCCTGCAGGCCCCTGCAGCTCGTTGGCTCAATGCCAAAGCTCCTGGATATCCGTAGGTGTAGAAGGACGGTCTCGAAGGAAATTTGCTCTCCTGACTGACCATCATCTTGATGATGAATGCATCCTGGCTGTCCGAGTTCTATGGGGCCAAGGCACGAAATCCACAACGTGCTTTGGAGATATTTAGATCCAAGATATGTATATGTAGATATTTAGGTCCCATAAGCACTCGAAAAGTGATTCCCTACTGATACTGATGGTGGGCGATCTCTGATGTACAATATCATTTTGCTGGAATCATTTGATCTCATTTAGGGATGGGTAAAAATTGGTCAGCGAATTTAGTACCCCAACGCCATGAGCAACTACAGTTTCGGGATGTTTTTTTTTGATCGGGGATTGTTGATGGCTTCAAATTGACTCACATATTGTAAACACGTTCATCCTCATGTTACATGGCTTAACCACCTTGGCTTTACATGGCTTTACCCCATTGTAGCCATGTTAACCATTGTGGGAACCCCATGCTGAGTGCTATGATTCATACGGGGATTTCCTAAAATAGGGGTACCCCTATTTTCATCCAACATTAAATTACTTTAATAGTGAAACCTATGATAGACTATGTGGCTTGGGAATCCTCCATTTCAGGAAAAAATATAGCTCTTGAAAATAGCCATTGATAGTTGATTAATGTTGATTTACCCATTGAAAATTGCTACTGTCAATAGCAAACTGTTAAATTACCAGAGGGAAGCAATTTTCTACCTAGGGAACCTTGATCCTACGAATGTGTAGGACATGAACTGAAAAAAAACCGGCTTTTCCCACCTGCTTGATGAATACCTCGGGTTTTCCCCCAAAACCCAGGTTTTTCAAGAAACACTTTGCAGAAGGACCGGAAAAGCCTCTTAGTTGGAATTGCGCCGTCCAAAATCAGCAAAACGTCAAGTGGGGGCTCAAAAGATCAAGACTATGGAAGCCTCATCGCATGGAATGATCAATAAAAGAAATCATCAGTTCTTATACCCTTTGGATGCCTTTGGACATGTGTCCCATGGACGGGCGCGATCCTATACATAAGCTGTGAGACATTGTTTACCAACGAAATTCAGGAAACATAGTCCGTGGGAAACCAATTGAGTGGGTTGTTGTATAGTTCCATTGTTTGCCTTCAAATCCTTCTGACTCACAGCCCATTAGGAAATTGTGACTGTGTGGAAAAACATCCTTTCAAGGTCTCTAAGGGGGACATATTCCAAATTATTCACCCTTCCACGCATTTCAACTTTGAACGTGAACTTAAAGGGGGAAATTCCAGGATTTAGGGGTCCCAATGCCAAATTTGTTTTCCATGATGGGAAATTATGTTTTTTTGATGGTGGAATTTAGAACCGGTAGAAAAAGCCGTTGTAAAGCGTAGAAATACTGTCCTGATCCGTAAAACACCGGGTTTCCAAAAAAAAAACCTCAGGTTTTCAAACTCGCAGGAAACCCGTAGAAAACGCGTAGAAACCCGGAGAAAAAAGGTGCTTTTGGGTCTGTTTTTGAAGGCAACTCCAATGGGCCAAACAATACATGTTTCACTTCAATTCTTGCAACGGTGCCGGAAAACCATTGTATCATGGCTGTCAACGGGAAAAAAGTTGGTCGATGCTTGCTTTTTGTAGGTCAATGTCAATTGGCATAAGAAAAAGCTGGGCTTCTGGGTTTGTTGAAGTCTTTCTTTTGCATGAAGCATTTTACAACATTGTATGTATACTCATCTTGAGATGTGAGAGGCATTTGGCCGAAAGGAGGTATAGGACGCCTTTGCTCAAAAAAACATCCCTCCCATAAGCTGTGTTACTGTTGAGTCAGAAGCTCCTACTTATGCCATGACATGATGCATTTGTTCTTATAACGCTGTGGTATGCTTTGTATAATAAATGTATCTGATATACACTAGTTCTTGTGTGATATGTTGATTTTGTATGATTTTGTGTGTCTTTGAGGCACATTATCTACGAACATTGCTGAGCTATCTTGGAAGCTGGTTGGATGAATTTCTGTTACACATACACACATGCTATCACCAAAATGCTCCAAAATCAAAATCCCGGGTTTTCCCAAAAAACCCGGAACTATTTTTGATGTCCTATAGTCCTATGATAGAGGTTTTTATAGCTTTCGGGTTCTCTTTTGGTATCCATGTTCCATCATGTTCCGCACCTCCAAGGTCGACTGACTGACCTCGTCCGGCTCAGGCCATGGCCATGGATCCTCCGCCAGGATGACCTCTGGCTGCACGTTGGGTGCGCCAAAGGGGTCACCGAACTCGGCGAAGTGCACCCGGTGCCCACCTGAAGAGAAACAAACTGGAGGATTTTTCATGATTTTTCATGATTTTTCTGTGATCTTTGCCAACTTTGCCAACTTTGCCAACCTGAAATTCACGTCACGTTGGCAGGTCATGGAATCTCCTGGTTTTCACAGCAATGGCTGGGATGTAACCCCCATATGGATAGACCAGGTTTTGATCCATCCTATCTGAACAACAACTCCGAAATTACATGGGTGAAAAAATGGTGATATGTTGAACTTCTCAAAGTTTGAGACATGATTGAACATATTGAACATGATTGAACATTGAAACGTATCAAGATTTGGTAATTCCATGTTATTCCTCTATGATCCACATCTGTTGCTGGTCCCCATCAGGGTTGCTCCTGAAGAACCCCGGATACAATGGCTTGAAGTTTACAACAAATCCCAGGTCAAAGCGAGCAACCCTGACAAATGATTAAATCCCACTACATTCCATTACATCTCACTAAATATATCATGTAATATTATATACATCCCATTAAATCCCAATACATCACCATGAAATTGTTGCTTAAATCCTCAAAAATCCGATGCTTTTTCCTGGTTAAATCAATTGAAACCTGCCTTTGGCGTTGGCAACCTTCGACGGAATCTCCTGAGCGTCCTGCCACATCTCCACCGATTCCGACTGGCTCACTGGGCGGGTGATTTGAGCCGTATGCTGAGGACAGGCTGATAGAAACAAAGAAAAATCGTGATTGTTGCCCTCTGGCAATCGAACATGGCAATGAACACTTACAAATATATATATATATACATATATATATATATATTATATAAATATTGGCATACATGTAAAAAATATATATATATCATAATATATATAATATACAATATATATATATAATGATATAATACGTGATTTAGGGGTAACAGTGCCATCTTGGATTACCGTTCCGGTAGTGGACGTTGGTTTTCTGGTATGTGATTCCCTTGAAACATGACATATTCAAACGTGATCATTTGCTGCTTGAATTGGAAAGAAACACTGGTTTTGTCCAAAACTGGGGTAAAGATTCAGTTGACTTTCTGTATCATCTTACAGGGTGGGGCCCCCAAGATAGCTAAGTTGCCTTATAAGTGGCTTAACTATGGTTTATGGTAGATAATCTACATGATATAACTATAGTTAAGGGATCTTATATAATGGGGTTTATAACTTAAAACCTGGGGGCCCCATCCTGTACTGATAACTGTCTAAATATGTTAGACATTTTGAGTCAACCCCAGGGTCCATGTGACCTGTGCAACGTGACCAGTTCGGCACATATGAATCCTGGTCCTTAGAAGCCTCCAAGTGCCTATGAACATTGATAAAGGGGAACACATGTTAATATATATATAATATACAACTATTTACATACATATATGTATATGTATATATATATATATAAATATGATATATGATATATGATATATGATATATGTATGTATGTATGTATGTATGTATGTAATGTAATGTAATGTAATGTAATGTAATGTAATGTAATGTAATGTAATGTAATGTAATGTATGTATGTATGTATACACGTATATATAGTGGACCAAATTTCAAGGGAAATAAGGAAAGTCTAGGTATAATAAATCATGGTTATTTCCCATGAAATCACTTGGTTTCATGGTTACTGTAACCCTCTTTTTTTATTTTGAAATACTTAATTATGGCAAATCACCTCATAATTAGAGGTAAATCAGAGCGTAGCCAAAATTTACAGCATCCACATCCATCCACCATTTTCGGTGGATCCCATTTTTGTTGTCATGGTGAAATCTTGGTGGAAATCGCCCTGGTTTTCCCTGGTGGTTTTTGGTCCACAGCAAGGCCTCTCCACGCCTCGGAGAGGTTCATGGTCAAGGCCTGCTGCAGCTCCATGGGTTCCAGCTCAGGACAGTTGCGCAGCATGCCCACCTCGAATTCACCGAAAGATGGACAGTTTCATCAGGGGCTATGAGGGCTATGGAAGATCGGATAGAACTCATAGAATTCATCTGGAAATTCCAGATTCAACAGATTCGAGCGGAATTTTTCGGTGAAGATTCCAGCTGTTTGGCACCGAATCTGAGGGCAGCGGCTGTTGATGAAGAGCTACAGCCGTTCAAATATCCTCAGTGGGCAAATAAATATGAACGGGTAAATAATCAACGGGAATTCAAATCCTAAAATGGAAGTACTGTACCATATCAGGCCATATTTTGTGGGGATATTCCCTTCCATAGGCCTTATATAGGCCTTATATGGTAGGTACCTCCAATTTAGGTTCCTGAAATGGTCATTGATATAAACCAAATCTACTGGCGGAACTATGAAAACGAAGGTCACCATACAACTGAAAATGCTCTCTTTGGCGTCGTACCGAGAAGCAGGGGTCATGCAGAGTGAATCATCTTTGAACCGTCAGTGATGCTGGGGAATGCGGGTGTGTCCAAGAATAGGGTACCTCAAACTCCAATGGTTTGTAGTCATATTCTGCATTAATCCAGCAATTTTGGGGCACCCCAAAATTAGCAAATCTGGTCCATGTGTCAATGCCGAAATTCCCTGACACCAAAATAGCTGGTAGTCTAGAAATTGATGGTCCCGTATTTGACTATGTGGTGAGCATTGCATCATTCCTTCACAACTTTGGCAGGGATTTAGCTAACTGCTTCGATGTAAATTTTATTCAGATCTTAGGGGGTTCAATTGTTGGTTGATATATTAATTACATTTACCCTCTGGTAAACTAACATAACTATGGAAAATCACCATTTTCAATGGGTAAATCCACTATAAATGGCCATATTCAGTAGCTATGTTAAATTACCAGAGGGTAATTACAGTAGTTTTTTAAGGGCCATACATCAAGGCACTTGAGATGGACAAAAATCGGCAATCCAGTTTGGGAGGCTTTGGCAAAGAAACTTGAGGGAACGAACCTGATACCCAAATAATCCCAAATATATGCAGGTTTCCTAAAATTGGGGTACCCCCACATCATCCAGTCGTCATGAATGACCATTTTAGTATTGAAATGAACATGGTGACTTGTGGAAACCCCGAGACTTAAGAAACCCATAGGGATGGATCTTAAAGATTGATCAAAAAAAAATCGCCCTGGACCGATGTTCAACCCGAAGTTCTCAGAGCTAGAATTGACACTGTACTTTCTACTCATGTTCAGTATACTTAGACTCCAAGTACCTGTGAAAATTGGTAAAAGTCCCAAGTCATAATGGGAATAATGGGCAATTCTTCGTACTTTTTCATCCTTATTTCCGAATGAAAATCATCAGACCACCATTGATCCCCATCAAATCACCATGCTTTTTGGCTTTGAACCCAACTTTCACCCAAAGAACCATGGTGAAATCCCAACCATTCGTGGGATTGATCCAAAAAATCCATGATCCATGGGCTGTCTTAAAATAGGCTACCCCAATTCCGATTAAATCACCAATAATATCATATATCCTCATATTTCGCTATGGTCATTTAGAGGCTATATATAGTAGGCTATCAAACAAAGCCATATGGAGGTCAAAATCCTGTACCACTGGTTGACACCAAAATAGCTGGCTGGTTGGTGGTTTTAACCATCTTGAAAAATATGAAAGTCAATGGGAAGGATTGTCCCATATAATGGAAAATAAAAGTCATGTTTGAAACCACCAACCAGCTGGTAAATGGATGTTCATCCCCCTTTTTCAATGGTAGATTCACAGCCATCTTCACGGCGAGGCCAGGCCAAGTTATCCAAGTTGCTCAGGAGCGCCGACTTGCCACTGCCTGCTGTGCCGGCCAGCAGTACTGGAGCATTGATGGACAGAAGCCGATGCAAACGCAGTTGGAAGGCCACCTTGGGTGACTCTTGAAAAAGGGGGAGAATGGCATATGGTGAGAAAACTCCGAACATTTCAGGTTTTTTTTTGGCAATGTGAATCTATTCTTCATGGTGAAAATGATTGAATCTTAGGGATCTATGGCAATGTTCCATGGCCAAAATGATTGGTCTTCAAAGATTAGCCATCCAGCTGCAGCTCTTCGGATGCTTTCTCAGTTTTAAGTTTGTAATTCACGAATTACCATACAATTTTGTAGCACTAATCTAGCATATGTACCATATCTAATATCTATACCATTTACCATGTTACCATACTATTTTTTTACTGTATCTACTATATGAAAAAATGGTAATAGTATGGATTGACAATAAATAGTATTATTAATCCCTGGAATCCTACAACAATGGATCAAGGCGAGGCACGAACTCTTCAGTGGCCACACCTCAGAGCTTTCACAACGAACCTGGCTAATCTATGCATATATACATATATATGTATCTATATGTGCATATATACATATGGATATATGTATATGTATGTATACGTATATATATATATAGAATATATATATATATGTATATTTATATTTATATTTATATGTGCGTGCATACACGTGCATTCTGAAATACTATAAACATCAAACCCAAAGCTGATGGCAGGATACTGTAAGCTTGTTTGTTTCAATGTTTTTTTTTTTCACGGGTTTTGCCGGATATGAATCATGCATAGTCGTGAGGTTCTGCCATGACTGAAAGGCTGCAAGCCAAGACCAGGACCTGTGCTGAAAGTTCTAAAGTAAACCTCAAAATACAATACTACAAGGTGGTGCCCCATAGTTAGCTTGTTTGGTTTATAACTCCAACAAGTAGGGTTTATGGTAGGTATATCTATAGTTAATGGGGTTTATAAACCAACTTATAACTGAGGGGCACAACCCTGTTGGTATACCAATAGATATCAATAATTAGATAATCTTGGATATTATACACTGACTGAAATGGACTGAATGGACGAATATGAGATCTCGCGTTGGTGGCAGGAGGGTTGATTCTGACACCATCTGGGTGCACAATTTCCGGAGCCCTGTTGTCGCCAAAATGGTTGTTAGGTCAATGTCGCAGGTAAAATCCACTAGATATTTTCATCATATTTCATCCACCTTCCGGAAAACCAATTAAAATCACTGATCATTTCTAGAAACCAAAAATTTAACAGCCATTCCAATCCATGTTAGTAAAAAAACTCAACAGCCCAGTGGACGAGGCGCAAATGTGATGGGCTTCCACCAGGGGCTCCGTCACGATTTGCCCCACCGCTTGGAACTGACCACTCTTGGAGTCCTCAACGAAAACGGCGAAGGTTGACATGGCACGACATAGCTGGTGAGGAATCATATGTAGGTGTCCTAAAGAGTACCCCTGTTATCATCCATTTATACACCGATTTTCCATTATTAACCAACCATTTTTGGGTACCCCCATTTTATCTTATAATTAGTTGTTTTTTCCATTCTAACTATTATCGGAGGTGTCGTTATTTCAAGTTTATTACTTTAATGATTTTCAATGTTTATCTTGATTACTATTATACTATATTATTGCTACGTTTGTATTCTCATAACATCACGACTCAGATTCCACCGAGCATCAAAGTAGAGGTCATAGAGTGACGGGAAGCTGGCGGCATGCACTGGGTCCAAGACATTCTCCCGAATATACCGCTCAAATCGAGGCCTGCGGCGCTCCGTCGTCGTCACTGTGGTGATTTCTTTCCGGTATCCAACCAGCGGTAGGTTCTACCCTCGGGGTAACTTGGGTAGAGAAATCCCAAATCTTCATGACAGTTTCTCAACGGGAAAATGATGAATAAATCTAATGACGATTTTACTGAAAATCATGCGAATCAGTTTATGATACCACTCGCTCCACATGCTCGTGTTCGTTTCATTTGGTCAATCAATTGCTCCACCCCTGAAAACAATTTCGACTATACATATTCAAAATATTCATACAACTATACACATATACAATATTGTCTATTTGCACATAAACCCATGTGTATGTATGTATACAGTATACATAAGATTACATAAAATTGATGATATAATATGTTATGATATGATATCATATTTAAGTAATACAGCATAACATAACACAATATTCTATGATATTTTATGATATTATATCATATGATAATATATTTTAATATATTACCATCCGGTTATTTAACATAGCCATGGATAATCCCTTATAAATGGAGGTATTAATGGGAAAATCATCTATGAATGGGCCATTTTCCATGGCTATGTTAAATAACCAGAGGGTATATGATATTGTTTAAACATGTTTAAAGATTCATTTTCAAGGCTTCCCGCGTTGTTTCGATGGACATCCCAAGTCGCTCATCGCCTCTGAGAGGTGAAGAGGGACGCGCCAAAGGCGGAGATGGAAGCCATGCCGATCAGCAGTCGAACCTGTCGTTCCAAGGCCTCTTCACCTGCCGTGGGGTGGTTCCCCTGCCAAGGATAACAAAGGTTGGGTATATTTGAAAAGGGATATAAACTGATATAAAGGGATCTGCTAGACATGATGATTCAATTTCAACTTGAGAGCTCATTTGGTAGAGTCTTGGAACATTTGGAAATAGATCACAGCATCTTGGATCCATTCCAATCTCTGAAACCTGGTCCCTGATGTTCCTCACCCCGCTAGAAATTCACGCTGCGATCCACACCTTCTTCGGTCGCCGCAATCAGCTGCTTCTCTACCACCGGATCCACTAGGAAGGAGGTGAAGAGGGACAGGAAGCAGCTGGTCCTGCTTCAAACTTCACCGGGATGGATGGGGATATGGACAACATATGGAGAAAAAAAGGGTGTTTCTTGGGGGGATGATCTATGATCATACCCTGATTGAAAAAAATGGTGAGAGGCAAAAGGTGCAAAAAGAACCCCGGGGGAAAAGAAAGAAGACCCCTGTTGGCATGCTTAAAACAAAATCATCTCAAGAATTTCAACATAATATGTATAACGTAACCATGCCATTCTTGAGTGATTGGAGGGTTCCGTCTGATCCCACTTCAACATCTTTGGGTACTTGGTGGTTTAGGGCTGACAAGTTCTGTTTCTTTGGTGCTGTAGCAAGGTCTTTTCATACGTCGGAAGTTCTGTCAATGACCAAGGACAGCATAGTAAACGAGGGACAATTCACACAATCAAGTTCCACAAGTTCAACACTAGCTGTGAAAAATGACCAGAACATGATCCACTCTCCACAAGTCATTGGGTTTCAGGTACCGGTACTCAAAGATGACAACGCCAAGGTGCTGGTGGCGATAGTCCAAAGCTTCGCCTCCCGTGTCAGTGTCAACAATGGTGATTCACTGGGATTTGATGGGATGTACAAAGCCAAGTTGGTAAGTTGGTAAATATAAGTCCAACAACTAGGGTTTATTATGTTTATTATTGGGAAGAAAAGTGAGTATGTTTATGTCATGGGGATTATAAACCAACTTTTAACTCTGTGTTCGCACGACCCTGATTGGTTCATTTTTTCCTGTGAAGACAAAGTTTACAACCAGCCAACCACTTAAATATATATGTGTCACAGATACTCAAATTGATAAAGAAAAGACATTGGCGAGTTCATGTGTCAACCCCAAACTGCTGTGATGAACTTCAACCAGGCACCTTCGGTGGCTGCTGCGGAAATCTCCGAAGGATTGAAGTGAAAGTAGTAGAGGACAAAGGCCAAAATGCTGTCCTTAGCAGCAATATATACTGGTTGGTGGTATACCTACCCCTCTGAAAAATATGAAAGATTATGAAAGTCAGTTGGGATGATTATTCCCAATATATGGGAAAATAATCCAGTCATGTTCCAAACCACCAACCTCCCCAAACGGTTGGCCTTGGAGGATGGGTCAAAGATGGTCATATTTCGGGGATGAGCATCCACAAAGGTCAACCAGCAAAGTGTCCACCATTTTTTTTTACGCAGGGCCCCATATGAATATAAAGATATGTGGCCGACAAATTTGGCCTGGGCCTTTTCGGCCACTTAAATGCCGCAGCGTTCATCCAAGGGTCCATCAAATGCATCAACAATTCCTTCGTGAGGTTCATAAAGTGCGCATACTCTGGGCGGCTGAGGACAAACCTGCGCCGGGAAGCCACATGTGTACGGGTGACACATCCAGGAAACGGGTGGACCATGTGATATACAAACTCTTCGGGTGACACATGTAAGTGTTGTGGCCAACAATGGTGTCAACACAAACTCTTGGACTAGCAACACACATGGACATGCAACACCCCAAATTAGCCCGGAGTCCGCTTCCGAACCAATTGCAAGGAAACATGCCGCGCATCCGCAGCGTATGGTGTGCTATATACGGCAATACCACTGCACCTGTATCAAACCTTCATGTCTGAGGACTTTGTCTTCTATCTGAAATCATACAAGTATAGGATCCTGACAAATTTCAAGAACTGAAACTTCAACGTCTCACTTTGATGTAAATTTGCTTGGATTTTTTTGGGAGGGCATCACCACAGGTGATTTTCACATCAACAAACCCTGTGGGTCTGTCCAGTGGGGGTAGTTCGGTGGGGAAACCACCGCATTTTCAGAATAATCCACATCTTATTACCCTCCAGCAATTTCAAACAACAAGATGGAAAACCCAGCATTCATAGATCCTTCTCTACGGTTTTTCCCCATGGGTTTTGTATGTGATTTTACAGTGATCCAAGCGAAAAACAAAACAAACATATAACACCGTAGATGCCACAAATAACTCATCGCCAGAACATGCCAGAACATGCCAGAACCTATTGTTCTCAAAAAATATTGAACATGTTCAACATGTTCTGCCACATATGACACCTCATAGAACACCTATTCAACTGACATCAGGCAATCAAACATAGCTGGAAAATCCTCCGTTTAGTTCACAGATGTTCCCACAAACCTCCATTCCATAGGATTTTTCCCATTACCCCATTGTCATCTCAGATGTTCCCATACATTTGTCAATATTTGTCATGCGTCCCAATACTAAATCCCACTCTCAGCCGGATTTTCCATGATTTTTCAGGATTTTCGATGATTTTCCATGACTTTCCCCAGTTTTCAATGGCCATTTCCGGTGACTTCACTCGCCCACCGCGGCCGCGGCCTGTGGGTCCAGGCCATGGCGCGATCCTTCCAGGTCGGACCGCGTTCCGTGTCGATATAGGTCACCGCCAAGCCGGAGGCCTCAGCGTAGCGCCGTGGCGAAAAAAGGGAACTGCAGATGTCGTCGTGTATAGTAGCTAATTATATACTTTTCGCTGCTATATAACTATATATACGATATATATATATTATATATATATATTATATATAAATAATAATGTATTATATATATATATGTTCGCTGCAACCACTAGGTTTGCCCGCGGCCAATCCCGCATATGCTTTGACATGCTCAAATCCCTTCGCAGGGTTTAAGTTTTTTTACTTTCCAAACCAACAAACACCAAACCCCTAAAACCTAAAACCCTAAACCCTAAATTAAAACCCTAGATCCTGAAAACTCAAAGTCAAAATCTCTGCGTATAGCCAGTGTTTTCATTCCTCCTCTGGTGATAAGTATATCATACTGTTTGCATGTGTTGTTTGAGTGTGGGCGAACCAGGGGGTTGCGGGGAACCTGTTAAACCACCAGAACATACCTAGTAAATCCCATGAAATCCTCATTAAATCCCCTTCAATCGCCATGAGAATGAGTATTTTTCCGCCCGGGCGCCGTTGCTGGTGACAGCTGTGCCAGATTGTCGGTTTCCACCTCGTGGCAGAGGATACAGGAGATTTCCTACTCCAGTGGCTCCAATGTCAAACTGGGGCGCCCCACAATCATGCGAAAGGCTCGAGCTTTCGACAACAAGGGTCTGTTGCCAGCCATGGTCAGTGGCATGGCACTCGAAACTGCCTGCTGCCGAACCGTGAAAACGAGTCCAGAGGTTATTGTACACAGACATAATATGCAGGTATGGAATATTTATCAACATTGGGGCCATTTTTTGGATTAATGTTGGTGAATATTCCGTACATGGAGCATATAGGGTATAGGGTATGTTATTCCATGTTCATAGAGGTTTTTCATGGTTTTCCGCCAATCAGACCCAAGATATGATTTTGTCAGTGGGAATCACCATCTGCGGCCGAAACCCACCAACCAACTGCTTAACATGTAAAAAGGTATGGAGTAAGTGGATAATGGGGATATAATTACTTTGATGGGATATAGTTGGGATTAGATGTGGCTGAAACCACCAAGCAAGTGAATCTGGGCACGGAAAGTGGTGCTGAAGGTCCTGTCCTACCGCAGCATCGGCAAAGTTGAAATTCAACCGTTGCTCAAAACACAAGATCCTTGGGAATCTGATGATATAGCATGATAATATATATATATGGGTGTGTCTGAAAATAGTGTACCCCTAAACCCAATGGTTAATGATCATTATCCCTATTAAATGGCTATAATTGGGAATATACCCTATTTTCAGACAAACCCATATATGATATTCATATGGTATATCAAATTGATGTACTTATGTACCTCATGGTAGTGGATGTGGTACGGACTATCGAAACGTAAAGGGACCTCAAATCATCCTCTCAAACTACGAGCTCTCGAAAATCACCATCAAAATAGTAGGTAAATCATCACACTAATGGCCCATGTTCTATAGCAAACTGTTGAATTACAAGAGGGTAGACATATGGTAGACTTGAAACATGCCGTTAAATCTCATTAAAAAAGTATTCAAATCCGCTAAAATCACCATTCAATCCCTTAACTTCCTGCTAAAAATCCCATGGAAATCACCATCCACAAGCACATCGGAGTGAATCCAAGCCTCAAAGAGCTCAGGATTCACTGGACCGTCCAAGGTCAGCCAGATGCAATCCTCCCTGCAGCAGGCAGCAGGTTACATGTTTTTTCGTGTGTCTGAAAATAGTGGACCTCACTACATCATACTACATCCACAGCTAAACATCATCATTTTCCAAACTACACTGGCCATTTTGGGGAAGTACTGAACAAACATTAAATACCATTTGGTTATTTAACATAGCCATCGAAAATCCCTTATAAATGGAGGTTTCTAGCTGGGAAAATCATCTATAAATGGGCCATTTTCCATGGCTATGTTAAATAACCAGAGGGTATATATATATTAAATTAGTATAAATTAGTATCATTAGTACTATTGTCTCATCCTTCCACCAAGAATCCTCTCGTCGCTTGCCGTGGTAATCCTCCCAGCGGACATCACAGGAGTTTTTTTTTCCGGAGGATCCAGGGCAGTGCTACCATGACAGAAGCCATTCACAGGGTGGTTGCAGAAACGCTTTATAGAATATACATAAACATATTGGGTGTGTGCTAAAAATATATACTTCGAGTGATTCCCACCCTGACCACTTGTTCTGGCATAGTCTGTTGGTGCCCACAGTGACGACAAGCTGGCGGAAGGAGGACGGAAGCAGGAACAGGTAGGGAAAAGAACACCAAAAACAGTGAAATATGGTGACCAAACAGTCAATACCCTCTGGTAATTTAACATAACTATGGAAAATCACCATTTTTCATGGGAAAATTCACTATAAATGGCCATTTCCCATAGCTATGTTAAATTACCAGAGGGTATCCTTGCATTCATCATTGTGACACCTGTTGCATTTAACATCAACGGTTTAACATGGTTTAATTATGGATACTGTAGATTCGCAAGCAGCAAAAAATAATCCAAACTAGTCCACTAGATGATCGAACTAGCCATTTATTTTCAACGACGGTTCAGCTACCATTGAGTAGGGGATATATATATATGTTTTGTATATATGTTTTGTATCACTGGGTCTGAGAAGCTTTGTAATATCATGTAATATCTAGCCCCATCAAATGTATTTACAGATGTGACGTTTCTTTGTCATCCAGGCACGTTTAGGGAGTCCCACGGATTCGATGAACAAATGCTACATAGTCACGGTTTCCTCCCAAGAAAGAGTCCAACCATTTTGGATTCATATGTTACCCTCTGGTAAATAAACATAGACCCTGGCAGATAGGGGTTGGAAGATTAGTTTCCATTAAACATTGGTGATTTTCAGGGTCTATGTTTATTTACCAGAGGGTAAATATTCAGATGAACCATTGTGAACCCCATTTAACCACGGATGACCATCCCGTTTCAAACCGTATTTGATGGGGCCACCATGGCATGGGCTCCTCTTGGACTCCGTTTCGGCGGCTCTGGCAACCACCATCAAAGTCCCTTCCACGTTGTGGGCCAGTGTATTAATGCCTCAGTGGAAAGTCGCAACCGATAGTACCATTCGCGCACATGTACATATACATATGATTATATATTGTAGTTATTGGGCGCTGTAAACCAACAAACAGCACTGGGGAATGTAACACGGGGTAAATTAACACACATCACTGGCGGGCATCACCTTGTATAATGGTTGATGAATGGAGATCAATGCTGGTGGATTATAGAAATACAATATATATATATACATATCTGGGTAAATTATAATATTTCACTGGCCTGAATTGAGGCCTTTTCTTTCCGCTTCATCAATAGGTCTGCCCCAGCCGGATTCGGCGAAAGCAGCGCTACCTGAGATGTGAAAAGGTATCCTGATGTAGATGGGAGGTGGACGAGGTGAAGGAGATTGCAAAGTTTATGTCTGAAGTTGTTTTCATGCCTTGCGATCCAACTTTAACCGTTGGCACACCTGTTTCCAATCGCGAATCACAAGATCAGAAGTTCTCGCCCCCAGCCAATCGCACTGGAGTGGGTCATCAAAGTGGCTGGTGTGTCTGATGTGGCTTTCGATATATTTGCAAACAGTCTCCTGCCGTGGGAAACAGAACCTCGGAGAGATACCTGATGAGCACTGCGCAAAGCCTTGCAAATATAACGAGTTGTTCAGCCCCCTTTGACAAGGTGGTAAGAAATCTGAACCTGTCCAAATTATTGCCTGTGACCACATACTTGAAAACGTATGTGCAAGATCCGCATGTGTTATATGATGGTGTTGCACGTCATCTGCATCCTCTGTGAAAAGAAGCGTTTCATGGTCCACATCATCGCGTCTCACAATAGGCAAGACCTTGCCTATACACGAAGAAAAACTCAAAGAAGCTCGAGCCAGGAAACACCTGCAGTGGGCATGTACACTGGAGGTTCTCTGGCCCATCTGCACTGTGAAAGCCAATCCATAAATTGATTGGCCAAAGTGGAGCCCCAAGAAAAAAGGTGGGCCCAAGCAGTAATGTCAGGCCGACCACACTGAATTGCATCGTCCGGATTCCAAGTCTGCAGAAACCGTAACAACTCTTGGCGCTGGCTGGCATGTGCATGTTGCTGTGCATTGTGGCGGTTATCATTTGCAGCATCCCATTTGACTCGGGCTATTTGCAACTCCAAAGCACGCGTACAAAACTGCTTAAGCATGGCACGGTCTGAATGAACAGAAAGCTGCTTATCTTTAAGGCTGGCACACCAAGAAGGATTCAAGTGGAGGCAAGCTGCAATTGCAGTCTGGTCCGCAATCATATTTCCGTAGGCATGATACCTATCAAGAGAGTCGAAGATGGCAGAAATATCTCTATGAGACCGAATCTTACAAAATTCAACAGCATCGTCCCTGCGCAAACTGTGCCAAAGCTGCATCAGGAGATCAGAATTGTTGAGTTGCTGTAAAACATCTGCTGAACTTGCCAAGCGACATCTATTGACCGAGTTGATAACATATGCACTATCTGTGTGAATGCAAAGCTTACCAGGGAGTGACAAGGCATGTATCACCGCTGACAACTCTGCACGGTTAATGGTCTGTAGCCCCTTTAGACGAGCTGTGAAAATGGTCTGCAAAGTGGCTGGTGGTCGGCCCGTGGCGAGGGCTGCATTAGCATGCTGTCTGCGTTCCAAATCCGTATGGCATCGGTTTCAGAAAATATCGTTTGAGGAGGTACTCGCAAGGGAAAAAACACACGCCAATTGAATTCAGGCGGCGGTTCAAAATAGTGATGCTAGCCTAAGGTAATAGTTCTTGGCCAATAACTGACTATGGCAGAATCAGGCCGGAACTCCACCACATAATTCCCTTACTAGCCATGATTCCAGTGAGGTCGCAATGAGGTCGATATAATTTACCCAGATATATGATGATACCCAATATATTGGATATATGTGAATAGTATATCCCTACAATCATCAAACAGCATATATGTTTTACTGTAACACTGCGTCAGTTTCTAACTAGGCTGACTGCATGTCTGTTTTTTAACACTGCAGGCCATTTCCCCATTAGTCTGATCCGAAAGTCGTAAATTGCCACTGAATGGGGTATAACATAGTACAACGATGTATAACATTACTCATTACTATTCGTTATATCATTGAACCATCCGTCACTACCACCATTCCTACTGGGTAATACCTTCCAATCACCTTTCGAGTTATGTAGTTTGCCAACTTAATTAGCTAGCATAAAAGATCATGAATCGACTATCAACCCCCAATTCTGTGTTATCTATTAATATCTATCAACTATTGTCAAGTCTGTTAAGTATCCCCATAAAGCTATCAACTAGCTATGCAACTATCAACTAGCATCAACTAGCTATAATCCTGCTATAAACTCCCCTTGAACAACCTTTAACATCATCCTTTGACAGCGTCACCCACCACACTGAGCTACGCAGTAGCTTCACGCGTGGGAAGAGCGGACCCCCAAGGTCGTCCGGGAACTCCTCGGCTGCCTCTAACCTCGCTTGAAAACATGGAGAGTTTGAGTGGTGATTGACATGGTGATTTAATGGTGATTTACTGGGATTTAATGGAATTTAATGGTGATTTAATGCGGATGTTAATGGGATTTTAATGGGATACTGATGGAAATTCGATTGGATGTCATGGTGATTTTATGGTGATCTATTGAGTTTTAAATTTATTCAAGGTGATTCAATGGGATTTGATGGACATTGTCATCTAGTGGGATATTAATGGGATACTACTGGTGATTTGATGGGATTTCGTGTGGATTTTGTGGTGATTTAACGATCATTTAATGGTGTTTAATGATGGTTTAACGGAATCAATGTGATTGATTCAATTGGGATTTAATAGGGATTTAAATCACACGTATTTTATTGAATTTTAGTGAGACGTTGATGGCATTTGTTGATGGAATAATCATGGGAAAACAAACTTCAGGGCATGTTTCTTCGGATAAACATCACGATGGATGGTTTAGCGACCAAAAATATAGCAAGTCGTTCTGTAGAAATATTTGCATTGATCAATTTTCCCCGTATGAAGTCTCAATTTGTTCAGCAAAACTACAGTAAGTACCCTCTGGTAATTTAACATAGCTATTGAACATGGTCCATTTATAGTGAGTGTTCCCATTGAAAATGGTGATTTTCCATAGTTGTGTTAGTTTACCAGAGGGTACTGTACATGTTGTATGAAGGTTCCCCACCCTTTGGTCAACTCATTTTCCAGTCGAGGAACAAGGTCATGATGCAATCAGTCTTCCCTGCACCTGCGTCACCGACGACAGCCTCAGAGATGAGCAAAACAGTGTGGTGAACTCACTTCGAGCCATAAACGATCAAACATTGTTAGTATATGTTACTGTAGTATATGTTGTAGTTAAATATCATCCCAATATATGATATTCATATATGATAGTATATGTGTCTCCTTTAGATATTTGGAGCTATCTATTCTCAAATCGGTGGTAAAGCCAATAGTAAATCATCCTAAATTTGCCTGGAATGGATGGAGTGAAACGTAGAAACCATCCTGGAAATGACCGGCGTCCCAGGGGCAACATCTCGATCGTTCAGCAGAGCTTGTGTGGTGGCGATGCACTTCTGCACCACCATGGGGTTGTAGAAATCAAAGGAGAACTTTTGACCTTAGACCCAAATGGATTGTGATAATTCATGATAATTCCCAATATATTGATGATAGTATCATCATGTATAATCCGCAGCAAAACCTCCGAACTACTCTCCAGAAAAATCCCCGAACTATGCCGAACTAAATCCGATGAACCAACAGGGTTGGATCCAACTGGATCTGGAAGTCAGGCAATGCCTGGACACCCACCATCAGGGAGAAACATATGGGGGGGTTCCGATTTCATGGGGGTATCCCAAATCATCCAAAGCTCATTTTAGTATTGAAACCCCTAGTGTTTTTGGGGATCCCCCCATTTTGAGATCCCTCCGACGATCCCAGAGAGTAAAAAATCAAGTGGAACCCAAGATGCGAAGAGTGTCTGCAATTCGAATGTAGAAACGCGTCGACAAGTCTTTCTTCGCAAGCCTCTGCGCCATCAAAGTGTCATTGAAGAAATTCCTGAGGTCATCAAGACACCAAAGTCGGCTGGGATACTGGAGATTCCTGGAATGTCAGCTGTCATCTTCCGAACTTCAAGACTTGTTGAGGATCCAGGCAACTCCAAGTGGAGAACATCCATATGGAGGTTTCCGAAGTCATGTGGGTACCCCAAAATCATCATCCACTTTTTTTGAGGATTTTCCATTATAATCCCTTCCTCCTAATACTAAACGTCCCCCAAATACTAAAAACAGGCGTCCATCTCCAATTTCAGAAAATTTCAGATTGGCCAATTTGATCCCCTTTAGAAAACAATTTAAAAATCAACCTACCATTTGTGGGTTTCCCCCCTAATGCTAAAAACTAGTTCACCCAGGGGTGTTTATTATTAGGGTCCGTCCGTTTTTGTTTTTTGTTTTCTATATTAAGGTTTTTATTCTAGTATTAGGGAGAAGCTTCGAAATCCAATTTTTGGCAATATTTTAATAATTGATTTTGAGATCGGAGAAAATAGTTTTTATTATTAAGGGTTTTAATTTAATATTAGGGAGAAGCTTCGAAATCCAATTTTTGGCAATATTTTAATTGCGTTATATAAAGAAATTTAATTGATTTTGAAATCGGAAAAAATAGTTTTTATTATTAAGGGTTTTAATTTAATATTAGGGAGAAGCTTCGAAATCCAATTTTTGGCAATATTTTAATTGCGTTATATAAAGAAATTTAATTGATTTTGAAACCGGAAAAAATAGTTTTTATTAGGTTTTAATTTAATATTAGGGAGAAGCTTCGAAATCCAATTTTTGGCAATATTTTAATTGCGTTATATAAAGAAATTTAATTGATTTTGAAATCGGAAAAAATAGTTTTTATTATTAAGGGTTTAATTTTATTAATAGGGTTCCCTAATAATAAATACCCCCCTAATACTAAAAACTACCTGCCGTGTTTAGTAATAGGGGGGGGGGCGGCGTTTAGTATTGGGAGGAAGGGATTATACATATAATAAACCACCATTCATTACATATATAAACATATATAAACCACTGTTTTGCGACATTTTTCCGGTGAAAACCAGGGGGGGTTGCGACCCAAGCAGCTGTCGCAAGGCATGTTGCTGCGCTTCAAAGCATGAGGAATGGCCGAAGCTCATCACCTGGTGCTGAAGCTCGAGAGTTCATAGAAACATGAAGGTTGATATATGTATAGAATATATAATATATATTTTGTGTATATATATATATATGTATATATATATATATGTGTATGTATGTATGTATGTATGCATGCATGCATGCATGCATGCATGCATGCATGCATATATTTATCTTTGCAATAAACATGTATATACACATAACTATGTATATATGGACGTATGTATATAATTGTATATATGTATCACATATATTCTGTGATCATCAGACTTGAGATCATCATCCCATTTCCTGAAGAATATCTTGAAGCAAGCCACTGGCCGAAATTCTCTGATAATGGTGGAACTATATGGATCCATATATAGATTTATAAAACCCATTTATCATATAAATCCATACAAATCCATATATTTATGGAAGATTTATATAGATTTATTTGATCATGATCTTCCACTGCTATTGATGTAGTTGGATATTTGAAACCACCCAGTGTTGAGCGTTGGCTTCGAGGCACCGTGCATCGCCACAACATCTCTCTCTCAGGACCAGCATCCAGTTGAGCGCCAATGGCACACCTTTGCTCATAGGCATTTCTACATTGTGTAAATTTGTATGTGTATATTATCTATGACCAATTATATATATATCATTATGTTATCATATCAGGATAAATCATTTAATACACATAGAATATCTATGTGTATACATATATAATTATATACGTATGTGAAACTAATCATTGCTTACTATGGTTTATCAACCATCTATCATTGGTGGTCAGCTTTGAAGGGGTTGGCTGAATACCGCATGAATATGAGTGAATACGCAAGATTGAATACGTATTTATGTAGGTGCATATGTATACGTATATGTATATATTCTATACCGTGTGTACCAATGACATACATACGTTACATCCCATGGTGCTTTTGTACATGTGTTTCAATGGATTGGTTTTAGAGAACATCTTAACCGAAAACCAAAGATTTTCCCACTAAATATGGGGTTTCCCTGTAAAATTTCCCTTAAACCAATCCAATGAGTGTTAGATCCTTATCTATCACCAAACTTATGTTGGTGGACCAAAGAGATCCTCTCAAGACCAAGGCACAGCCAGGCTTCACAAAGAATCTGTTCATCCAAGGTCTTCGTTCGAGCTTCCAAATCATGACTGCTGTGTGCCTGAACCAAAAGCTCTTACAGGCGCAAAAGAAGGGGGGTTCTAGCCATAAAACCTCTATGATTATGTGCATTTAACTGACTTCCAACAAATACAGGCATGTGTGTATATATATATAGTAATAATAGTAATAAAAATAAATAAATATATATATATATGTATATATATATCATACATATATACGTAACTACATAATGATTGCAGCTCATGGGCAAACTTCAATTCTACTGGTCTTAAAGCAAATTGTTTGCTTCCTGGATCTGTTGGGCTGCCATTCTACCTTGACAATCAACGTGATAAGTGGAAAGTCACCTATTAGAACCTATTGAACAATGGAAAACCTTAGTGTTAGTCACCTATTGAAGAATGGAGAAAACATCAAAGTTAGTGTTGACTAGACTTTGTGAAACCTGGACCTTCCCTTTAAAAATTGACTAACCAATCTCTGCCTTCCCATCAGTTCCCCATCGGCCCACCCCCCGGTCCATCGCCCAGCGACGCGTTTGAAGGAAGCGGCAAAGGTGCAAATGGAGCGGATCTCACCAATGCTGATGTGAGGGTGTCCTGGGCAGCAGCGGCACCCAAGAATAGATGGACTGGAAATCCCACTTTTTAAGGAAACATGTAAACAGGGGATCCCTGTTTAGAACAAACATATTAGGATGCCCCATATAGCAACCCCCAAAGAGATAGAAAACATTAGAAAACTCTTTCCAGGATGTTAGTTCAATGATGTGTCCTCCACGATTTCCAGGTGTCCAATTTGTTCCTATATAGGAACAAATTGGGCATATATCTTTGTGGGGGGGTGCTGTAGTTCGAACCAGCAAAAATGTGGGGACTGAACCAACAAATATGGGGATATAAAAACCAACCATGATGTGGGGATATACTTGACGCGATGTAATGGGAGTAGCTGGTATGGCATGATGCAACCAACAATATGATATAATAACCAGCAACACTGCGAGGATTTAAGCATCAATCCTGAGGGATTTGATCTATCCAATTCGGTTTTTGTTCTAATATGTTAACCAACAAAATATATACAAACATGCATATATAGCTGCCGTGTATAAAAACGAACCCACAACAAAGGGCTATGATGATATATATATAATGGGATCCAAAGAGACATAACGGAAAATTATAAACAAACATGTATGACTTTTCAAGATTAGTCCAAAAGCTGGTGGGAAATTGTCTACATAAGAGGGTTTATGGGTATGTCTTGGTCAAGTCACTAGAAGTGCCAGTGGGATAGCTTGGGATCTTAAGAGGAAGGAAATTGGTCCATGGCTGCTTGAGGGAAGTGTCACAATTATATAATGACTGCATACATTACTATTGTGTTTACCGTTATCATTATATATATATACACTATCAGTTTTCTATAGCGTCATTATTCTATTGCCAGTGTCATTGTGTATTGGTATTATTGTTATTAGTGCTATTATTACTAGTGTTGTTTATTATTGCTGTCTTGGTTCATCATTATTGCCATATATCATGATTACATTATTATAATATGTTACACTATCGTTATATTTGTATATATATATACACAACATGAAAAATGAAGGAACTTACCACACATCTTTGCATCACTACAGCTGCAACAGTCAAATCAAACTTTTGAATGTCATGCAATGCAAATAAAGGCCATGGGCAATGGCACATACAGAGAGGTACCCTCCGGTAATTTAACATAGCTAGTGAAAATTGCCATTTATAGTTGATTTACCCATTAATAATGGTGATTTTCTATAGCTACGTTAGTTTACCGGAGGGTAAAGGATATCAAATCAATATATCCCACCTACTGAGGGACAGAGGATGTTATGTGGCTGGGAAATCCCCTAATGGAGGCTTTCATGGGAAATTCCATGGACATATACTTTTGGGAGATGGTGCATACCCTCTGGTGAACTAACATAGCAATGGAAAATGGCCCATTTATAGTTGATTTACCCATTAAAAATGGTGATTTTCAATAGCTATGTTAAATTACCAGAGGGTAAATCATCTACTTTTTGGGAGAGGTTCCATAAATCATCTATTTTTTGGGGGAGATTGTCCATTGCTATGTTTGATTACCGGAGGGCGTACTGTCACCCTGCTCCATGTTTGAAAGCTCACACATATTTGAAATGTCATCAAAATGTTACAAAAACTACTGAACAATATCATGCGATATAATCTGGGAACAGTATAAAAAGTAATAATATATACTTAATTTATATGAAATATGTTTAATATGTATATATCCCGAACCAGATTCACGGCCATTTCAGGATCATTTCCCCTAGTAACCATCATCTATAGCGAAGTCAAGAGAGGTCTTGACGTTCTTGGAACATTTGGAAACAAGGTGCGACCCTTTCGGAGTGACGTCGAAGCTTCAGCACCACTGAAGGTGTTAAATGCTGAAATTGCACGGGTCCTTCGTCAAAATTCATCAAAATTCAACACCAGCAGGGTGAATGTTTTCTTGGCTCGGCTTCAAGGCCATTTTCTGAGGAAAAACAAAAAGCTGCCAATGCTGGCGCCAAGCAAACACTGATCAATTCGTTTCCATGGTTTGGATGGTTGGTGGTTTCATTTTCAAATGATCCTAGCAGGACTCTCTCAAAAAATTAGTATCTAAGGTAGCCAAGCGACAGCATTCGAGCAGCATCCATGTCCAATATGCCGATGCGAATCAAGCCTGCATGGATGTATAGCCTCGGTGATGGTCAAAATCAGTTGTCTTAATCCAAAACATTTACTTCATCAACTTCCATCAACAAATTGTGCGCAACTTGTTGGATTAGCACCAAATCCCCATTTATAATGTTATAATGTTAGACTTCCCATCAAACCACCACTTTTGTTGGTTCAATCCCAATTAATTATAGTTTGTTTCATGCGTTTTAAAGGTCTTTTCATCACCAGAACCCAACCAACTTTCAGCTTTCATCAGTTTTCCCACCACAGTTATAGCCCTTAACATTCTGAGATGTTCTACTAGCCAGAAGCCAGGATTGTGGATTTCAATTGCTCACACATGCTCTGTGGCTCACAAAATCTCATAACCTTAACAGGTTTGGTTTTTAATACCATACCCAAATGCTCCATGTATGGAATATTTACCTACATTTGGGTCATTTTTTCAGTAAATGAATATTCCATACATGGAGCATCTAGGATATTTTCCAAGCAGGATCCCATGTCCCACACCGCGCCACGTGAGGTCCGCCGGTGGAAACGACAAATTCCGCAGTGGCCGGCCGTGCAGCGCGCCCGGGCCCTTGGCAACGGCCCAAAGTGCCACGGCAGGGTGAATGCTCCTGGAGAAGCAGCAAGTCATGGCTAGTTTCGTGTGGAACATATGGGAGAAATATATGTATGTATGTATGTATGTAGGTAGGTAGGTAGGCAGGTAGGTAGGCAGGTAGGTAGGTAAGTAGGTATGTAGGTATGTAGGTATGTATATGTATATGTATATGTATATGTATATATATATATATGTATATGTATATGTATATGTGTATGTGTATGTGTATGTGTATGTATATGTGTATGTGTATGTGTATGTATATGTATGTGTATGTGTATGTGTATGTGTATGTGTATGTGTATGTATGTATATGTGTATTTGTATGTATATGTATGCACATGTATGTACATGTATGTACATGTATGTACATGTATGTACATGTATGCACATGTAGGAACATGTATGTACATGTATGTACATGTATGTACATGTAGGTACATGTATGCACATATATACATACATATATACATACATATATATATATATACATGCACATTGACATACATATATATATATAGACATACATATATATAGACATACCTCTATATATATATAGATACATATATAGATACAGACATATACATACATATACATACATATAAATACATATACATACATCTACGTACATGTATCTAAATGTGTGTGCATATGTATGTATATATGTATGCGTGTATGTATGTGTATATGTATGTGTATATGTATGTTTATTTGTATGTGTATATGTATGTGTATTTGTATGTGTATATGTATGTGTTTATGTGTGTGTGTATTTGAATATGTGTATACGTATATACGTATGTGTGTTTGTATTTGTAAATGTATGTGTTTATGTGTGTATATGTATGTATATGCATGTATATATTTATATATATGCATGTATATTCATGTATATTCATGTATATCTATGTATTTGTATGTGTATGTATGTGTATATGTATATGTATATGCATATGTATATATGTATATGTATATGTATGTACATGTATGTAAACTGATCATGTTCTTCTTTTCAAATGTAACAACCACTATAATTGGTACTGCATATTGTAATATTTTGGGGTGGGCATGAAATTGACAATGTCATGGCAAGATCGAATGGGATGTCTATTTTTTTGCTGTTGTATAGAATAAGTAATGGAATATGCCGTTGCACCAAGTATGCAACAGCTTGACCCTGAACACCAATTTCCGAAAGTAGTCTTCCAACCCTATGGCATGGTCCATGGTTAGAGAGAGGGTAGCTCGGAAGGTCAAAAAATGTTCTGGCAAACTGCAGCACAGCATGACTAGCGGCATGACTCAAAAGGCACATGGCAGGCTTTTGCAGAGACACCGGGTCCTTGGAATTCCGCCCACAATTTGTGCCTGCACCCAGCACTGCATGCTTATATCAACGCGTGGAAACTTCAAGAGTCCCACATCTTTTCATACCACCAGCAACTACCGACATTTGCCAAGTCCAAAAACATGATAACACGGATTTACACAACCGTGTGTTTTTGACATCCATGTCCCAAAATGCCTCACGTTTTGTCATTTTTTCAATGACCAATTTCTACATCAGACGACGAAAAGTTTCAAGAGCCTTTTTTTTCATCTCGCATGTGGTCGTCATGTCCCACTTAGACATGTTGTGGCGATGATCCACTGATAGATTCTATCCAGAGCCTAGCACTGATGGTTGGGCCAGTGCGGTTCTTCATCTGACTGGGGCAATTTTTTTGAGGTGGTTCCGACAGCGATCAGTTTGTTGGGTTTCTGCAACTTTCGTCTTTGTGCAAGCGTGCAAGAAGGTTACATCAACGTAGCACTGCGTAGATGTGCAAGCGTGCAAGAACGTTACATCAACGTAACACTGCGTAGATGTGCAAGCGTGCAAGAACGTTACATCAACGTAGCACTGCGTAGATGTGCAAGCGTACATGGACGTTATTAGCCCACCCCACCCCACCCTACCCCACCCACCCCCACCTATACTATCTATGTGCGGTGACACCAAAAATCTCAACGCCTACACGGTTGTAGAAATACGTGTCACCAAAAGATAACAATGGGATTAGTAGTGGGATAATTATGCTGAATAGTGGGATAATTATTGGTAATTAAAACAAAAACTGAAAACGAAAAAACATAATGAACCAACCCCTCAAACACTTGGCCTATGGGCCAATGGGTTCCAGATTGAAACCATCCAACTTTGCTAATCCCCACCTTCACTTCAAACTCCAGGGCGCTTTCAGCACCTCCTGAAGCGGAAAAAAACTGTCAGCATCCTTGGAGGTTTCGCTTGGGGCTTGCCACTTGCACTGCTTTGTTGATGTTGGGAGATTGAATGTGGTTGGAGGTTAAATTGCATGGAGGTTGAGCTCGTGATACAGGTTGAACATCTGCAATCTGGAGGTTGAATGGTTTTGATATGCGTGGACTACTTAGATGCCGTGGAATTCAGCTGAGGAGGCCTCTGGAGGCTATCCTCTTCACATGATCTGTGAAGAAAAATGTCGACACAACAGGTGCTACCGTGAAGGCATTGGTTTTGGTCCGTGAAACATCCACAGAAAACAACAGAATGTGATGGTTTTTCGAACCATTTTTTCCCCATCAAAAAACACCATTTGAGGTTGACAAACAACTCATTTTCAGACATACCCTCTGGTAAACTAACATAACTATGGAAAATCACCATTTTTAATGGGAAAAGTCACTATAAATGGCCATTTTCAATAGCTATGTTAAATTACCAGAGGGTAACCCACCAAGTGATATCAAGGGCACCATCTGCCATCCCCCCGAGGCCCCCGAGGTCCCAAGGGTCCCAAGCTCCAGCCCGGGCCTATCGTCTGTTTGGCTGGACAGGAATGTGAACGTCGCAGACTTCCCACCTCTATCTCCATATCTACCTGCGGAAGGACATCTGAAAACACCCAAAAAGATCTGCCTTTTCAGGTGCTGAAACACTTCGAGTGATTTTCACACAAACCACTCAGCCGAACGGTTTCACAAAGTATAGACGGAGCGGATGATAGCAGAAAATCTACTTGCGATAGAAGCAGTATCGATCGCATTTTCGCCATGTCAGATCCTTTCTGAACGCTATCGACGCCTATCCCGCTATCCTATGCGGTTTAGCAAAGGAGTAGCATGCTATATTATTAATATTATTCAGTGAATAAAATATATTTATATAATATGATAATGTATAGTGATATATATATATACTGTGTATATATATATATATAATGTATATCTATCATTCACTGAATCGCATAGCGAGCACTTGGATGCCAACCCTTAGAGCCTTGGTATTTGGATCTGACCGTCCCAGTGTCCCAGTTTCAAGCTACGTCAGCTACGTCATTGGGCATCATCATCCGAAGTATGCTTTAACATGGTTGAACATAGATAGCAATATGTGTATATAAATATATTTGTATATATATATATAAATATTTGTGTATGTACGATACTTTTTCATATTTTACAAATAACCAACTGGATCATCATTAGCTATATATAAATAATTATATATATATCAATAGCTATATACCAATGATATCCCCATTTTACATGATTACATGGTGAAAAAAACCAGGCTTTCGTGGTGAATTTCCTCCAGCTTCACCCAGAACCTGGCCTCGCGGCGCGCCTGCGTCGGCGTTTTCACATGGCAAGTCTTGGAACCTCCAAATAAAAAATAACTATACAAATCATATATACATATATACACATATGTATATATATATATGTATATATATGAGAGATAGAGAATGATGAAGAATGATAGAAAAATCATGGACAATCATAGATATTCTCTATATATATATATATGTTATACTATCATGGCTGGCTGCGCGTTGAACAAGAGCCACCTCGAAACTGAAACTCGTGGCCAGTCCGCGATCGCTCCTGGGGCCATGTTTGACGAATGGGCTTTTTTTTTGACACCCAGATGAGCCTGTGATACCCTCTGGTTATGTCAAAATAGCTATTGAAAATTGCCATTTATAGTGGATTTTCCCACTGAAAATGGTGATTTTCCATAGTTATGTTAAATTACCAGAGGGTAACACCAGTGATAGAACTCCTGTGGGTAATTCACAATGCCATTTTTACGCACCATCCCGGAAAAACACAATTTTAGTAGGTATAAACTTACCATTCCCAGTCATAGGTGGTGCAGTCATAAATGGCATTGTTTTAGCCACAAAACATATTACAAAAAGCTTTCAACATCTGTCAACGAGGGATGTGGATAGCATCAGTCTCCTTGAGATCAATAACTTGGAGGTATCGAAGGTGCAAGGCACGTTATGCACCTGCAACTTGGGGCGGACCAAAGGACTGGAAGCCGCGGAAGCGCGTTGGTTGGTCCATGGATAACCCGTTTTGGGCTGGTTCCCTTACTAACCTTGCTAAAGCCATGGAATCATGAAGGGTGGGGTGGTTGCAACATCGTTTTCACCTTTTGTCCTAACCGGACTATATGATACCTGCTAAGGTATGGTGCACATGCTCACTTTTAGAGAAAAGTCAAGTCTCTCAAACGCAGCATGACGGAGCATGACAGCACTATCCTCACATAGAGAAAAGACATCCTCTCGAAACGCTCCTTATATGGACATACAATATATACATATATATTATATATATAATATTATAATATTATAAATATTATAGTACATTATTACAATCTCATCTAGCACAAGAAATGAACAAAAACTCGGCGAGTCCCTGGAACCCCCCATCCCATGCCCAGCGAAAACCTTCATGGAGCCCGGAGGAAGCTTGGCAAAGTGGAGTCCCCTAAGAAGCCAAGAATCCGAAAAGGAATGCGCCCATCCAATACCCAGATCCTCCATGGTGCTAGAATATTTACCTACAAAACTGGCTCATTTTTGGGGTAAATGTTGGTAAAATATTCCAGCACCATGGAGCATCTGGGATATGAAGTAACCCAATGGAAACCAATAAAAAACCAATACTCCGACATATTCCGATATATATATATAATATTGTATAATCATGGGAAATTGATCACTATTAGTTTCAACATGTTACAACCCAGAATTCAATGGAAGCCATGGTTGAGTATTGGATCTGTTCGTCCTGGGGGCCCGTGATGCGGCGCATTCATCCCAGGAATATGAACCCACAAAAAGTTGCTATCCAAGCTGCATGCAAACAAGCATCGCTTTCATCAGCAAAATATTGAAAAATCAGGGGAAACCAGCAATAGAACTTGTAAAAATCAAGAGCCTCCCTTTCTATTAATCAAAAAACCAACTTGGACCATGGACCCAGTGGGCACGGTTGTTTTGAGGCTTGAGCCCAGTGTTGGAGGATGAGCGATCTAAGTTCCTTGGAACCACAGGTACCACAAGTGATAGATGCGGGATGATGTCATGGTGTGTCAAGACTTGGAGACACGCCAATACCTCAACAGGGCATGTTTATTCATGTTTATTCATGTTTATTCTGGATATCTGGTACTAGACATCTAGTTAATCTAGTTCAACAACCCTATTTTCTGGACTTTCTTTAGGCTGTGAGTAAGTTATAGCCATGCAATTTCCATCCTTTGGTTGGTTTTTAGGGAGCGAGAGAAATGGAAAATGCTTCCAAGGCACAAAAAGTCCAGTGACAAAAGTGGATCTTCCATCCTTGGTCCAAAAATCCAACCAGGCTGCGGATGAGAAAATGGAAAACAGTGAGCTTAAGCTGAACTTAAGAACAAATTCTGTATTGCAATACAGGCGGATATGATATAAAATATAAGATTTACTACTATATTAGATAATATTACATAATCTGTATAAACGTGCATAATACAATCCTCAGCATGATGTACCAATTTCGGCTGCCACAAGTGGTCTACATGTGGTCTCCAAGTGGCCTTTTCTCACGGAAGACTTCCAGCGACTGTGACAACTGCTGGAAGAACTTGGAAAGGAACTTCAGGTAGGCCTCGCAGCGGGACCAGGGGTTGCTCCAAACACCCCCAGGGCTGGGAGGACAGAACCGGTAAATATAGGTATATGACCCATGGAACGTCCCCAAAAGTGGCTATCATTGATGAAATTCTTGGAGCGACCCAGTGGGATGGAGCCAGAGGGGAAGAACTTGGAGCCAGAAACTCGAGAAATTGGGTTTGTATCAACAATGTTCTAAAGCTGATGACATGCTGGTTTGATAATGTTTGATATACACCGCTCTTATCCGCTCTTGATGTTTTCGTTGCTGTGCGATATTCAATATGCGAACATGTATGCTTGAATACAACAAGCTGCATCAAACAGAGGTGTAAATGTGATCCTAATGGATATCTAATTTTGCTTGCAAACAACGTTCTTGGCCCTTTTCGGCCCTCTCTTTCCCTGACATGTACAGTGGAGCCCCACTGAATGCAGGAGGATTTGGTAAGCAAATGGGCGCAACTCTGCATCGGAACATGAGGTCCGAGGTGATGGAATCCGGTTAAGTGGCTGGAACGACATGGAGATATTCGCTTGTCAGTTGCTTCACCCTGTCTCATCTTGACCTCGCTGGTGGATTCTGAATGCCTCTGAGCCACTATCATCCTCCGATCGCAAAAATCATCCAAAGTCTGACCAGCACACTGAAGCTCTCAAACATCTTCAGAATTCTTTAGACATGTTGCAATATTATCATAATTACCATCAGATCTCTTCCCGCGCAGCTTTGCCCAAGAATGATTGCAGCCAATGCCACCACTTCAGAGGCATCCACCAAGCCCTTGGATCGCCAGCCGAACCAGAGGTCCACTTGTCATGGCCCTGCACGAAGCATGTCCTGCCGGATTCATCGTCCAACTCTGGCAGGGCCGAACATTTGTACAGATCCCACAAGGAAAGCTTGCAGAGGTCACCAGCTTTTCGGTCCAGCTCTTTCTTCGCACACCTCGACCGGATCATGGGAAGCACCGCAGGGTGCGCCAGCAAATCCAGGCCGCCCTGGCCCAGTTGACACCTGACCGCATGGGCTGCCGCGATGCCAGACAAATAGGCACCAGCCACGGTGCCCACGTGGTGCGACACGTAGTCCCCCGCGAAGAAGAGGCGCTGCTCCCAGGCCGCCTTCCCGGCCAGGCGGGCGGAAGCGCGACCCTGGGAAAAACGGTGCCAAAATGGTAGGCCCCAGGGGCGGGAGACGAAGGATTTTCGGGGACTGAGCTGCAAAGCAAACATCTTTTCAAGGCGGGAGATGAGAAAATCGATGATCTGCTGATCTGACAACTTGGCAAGTTTCATGGCCAAGCGTCCATCTGCTTCTGCCACCAGGACTGGAACAGAAGCTGACAAGGGAGAAGTAAATTCAATGGAACAAAGGTCGATGTTTTTCAGAAAAGAATCAGGATCATCTGAGGTGAAATTTGATTCCACTGGCAATTTTGACTCCTCAGTATGCCAGCAATCTGCGATAAAATCCATGAAAAACTCAACCTCTGAGGGCCAAAAAGGGGTCTCAAATTCAATTGCTGCACGAATTGCATGGCCCAATCCAAGTTCCTGCCAAGCCTTTTCTTTCCATCTTGGAAGAGGTTCAATTTTGAGACGACCTTCTCTTAGCTCTCCAAGAGGAACTGCAACAACTGCAATTTTGGCAGACAGCGTCCATTGCTCACCTCCCTGCATCCCTTCCACTAGTACCCGTGTTCCATCGAGTTTGACGGAGCTGGCTGTATGGCTCAATCGCAGTTGGGGCTGCAACATCTGGGGCCCTGCCAGCTTGTTTGAAGAGTTCCAGAGCATGCTTTTCACAACACACTCCATACCCTCCAGGATTCTCCAATCGCTGCCAACTCCATCAACATTGTCGTACTCGCAGTGCTTTGCTGCCGACAGTTCATGAAGTGGTGCTGTCCAATCCTCTACGACCTCCCCGAACAGGATGGCTGCAAAAGCAGCTTGTTGCTCTGGGGTCAAATTGAATTTCTCATGGCGGAAAAGTTGCTGCAGCACCAGCAATAGACTTGCATTCGCAGCGTTGGCATCTTTGAACTGCTCGTAGTCACGCTCTATCTTGTCCAGTAAGCCAAACATGTCCAGAATGACACTCCTTGGTAAGGCCTTTCCTCGGTGATACACATCCATGTTCAGATTCTGTGTTCTCACCAAACTGCAGTTGCCTTGTTTGGCAAGGTATGTCAGTGGATTGGCTGTGCCATAGTGAATCCAAGCGGGTCCCAGGTCCACCCCAACCTTCGCATCGCGATATCTCAGTGTCATGATTCGACCCCCCAAGCGATTCGCCTTCTCCAACAGGGCCACCGAAAGGTTGGAGCTCTGCAAGTGTTGCACCGTTGCGAGCCCTGATGGGCCAGCACCCAGGACCACCACATCGACAGTGGCCACATCGGTCACACAGAGAGCCAGGTTGAAACAGCTGGTGATCCAAGTAAGGAGAATGAAGTCCATGGTTCTAATTTGAACCCGCGGCTGATGCTTATGACTGTGCTAAGCTCCTGCGTTCCTGAACATTGGTTGACCTGGGAACATCAGAACATGTCTGCAATATCGTTCCATCACTCACTTTTTTTGGTAATAGCCAGTATAATAGTTGTGATTTTGAACCCAATTTCCACGTGTTTTTTCGACCAAAACCACCCAATCATAGCACCTCTCTCGACTGAGGCTCCAAGTCCTCGATGCCGTGCAGGATCACCTGGGCACGGTGACCATGAAGCATCCCAAAGATCACCATCAATGGGTGGTACCCTCTGGTAATTTAACGTAGCTATTGAAAATCACCATTTATAGTGGATTTTCCCATTAAAAATGGTGATTTTCCATAGTTATGTTAGTTTACCAGAGGGTAAGGTATCATGCCCAAATATGCCCACATGGTAGGTTTATTCTCATGAACATGATAAAAAGAAGAAGAAGAAAAAGAACAATAGTGGCAACAATCATACTAGTGATAATGATGATAATAGCAATGATCAATAATAACTTAAGAAATTAGAAGAAGCTGCATTGAAGAAGCTCTATCAAATTAGAAGAAGCTCTATATATATATTTCCCTTCTGAAAGGTTCACTTGGGGAAAATCCTGTGTTTTGATCACCTGAAAAGTTCTTCCACCAAATGGCATCAAATGATCATTTTTCCGTTTCAACCCAGCTATGTATAGTATATCCTAGACATTTCCCTCCAAATGTCTCTGCTGGTTCAGCAACATCATCCTCACCCCAGCATGCTTCTTGGGTGGATCATTTGACCCCCTGTCACCCGGATGCATTGCAATAGACCCCACAAAAAAATCCCATCATTTTGCTAATAGTCTACCAACTTCAGTTGAATCAGTTCTACTTGACTAGCAGTGATTAGCAAATGATCAAATGACAGTGTGGCCGTTTGCAGGCGCAACTTGTCTTATTCATAGAATGCCTAAGAACAGCCAGGTACTTCACCTACCACAAGCTCCTGTCATGCAAGCACTAAGCACATTGGAGATGATTTTGGACAAACAAAAAATGGCTATCGAACATTGTGACCTATTCACTACATGTTCTGTTTCCCTATATTTCGTCCATAAACCATCATAAACCCCAATCAGGGACGTGAACCACATATTCTCACCAGCATTTTGCTTCGTGTATTTGATATATTCGCTCTCCATCTGTTTCTGAGAGATACCACATCTAACCACAGCAGCGAAGCGCCGGGGCACCCAGTGCCCCAACAAGCCAGCACCGGTGCAGAAGCGGAACTGCCCAGGCTCTAAGATGGAGCACCTCGAGGTCATCTGTGGATGTGTCTTAGTCGATACCTAAATACTACATTGTTTTTTTTTTAATGTTATATGATATGTTGTATAATATGTATTAATTATTAATATGTATATTTAACATTTATAACTATATATAATTTTATATAACATTGATGTATTATCTTGATGATATGTATATATATATAATGTACATACATATATTGATGTATTGCATTGTGTTAGACACAATTTCCATGTCATCTATCACTCATGATGTTTCAAATCTTTTAACTAAGCCATTTACTACCGTTGACCGACCCCGTTGAAAAACGGGGTTGCTCAAGATGACTCGACCAATGACTGGATCATTCTGATGCTCATCCCATAATGACAATGGACCTTCACAAACATTCAGAGGTAGCTTCATCTGTCATAGGAGTTGGGAAAAACCCTCCAAGCAAAATACCAGGAACCTAAAATGGAATATTATCAGAAACCATCTACAGTAAAGCAGACCACCAAATTTCGTTCTTTGGGAGTTTGTTCCCTTAAACCAGCGCGCTGATTTCGGATCAGCCGATCAGCCCATCGGCCCATCCAACACACCAAGGTACTGATGGCATGCGATGCCACAGCATGCCGCAAAAGCACGGGTCACTGTGCCTCGGAGGATGTCCGGACGGACGACCGTCCGCTGAAGATGGCAATGCTGATTTTGTTTGAGATCGATGATGTTGTTTGAGATGATGTCAAACAATATATGACATGAGATCTTGGCAATGCCAATTATGTTTACATCATATAACTATCATATATATATATCATATATATATATATATATCATACACATATATATATATATCATATATATATATATCATATATATATATATCATATATATATATTATATATAAAGAGTGCGCCTGCCCTTCCTTTTTTATACCCACTCCGCAGCAGGTTTGTTAGAAAATAAACAAAAGAGAATAACGCAAAACACATCAAAAATAGAGGGGGTGCCAGGCCAAACCCAAAGCACCCCTCGCATAACCTTCCGAGCGAGGTGAGCCAAACCAAACCACCTTCACACAGTCAGGTTATTAGTTCCTCTTCGGATCATTTTGGCTTGGATCTTTTGGACTGCTTCATTGAGGATCCTTTCTTAGATCCTTTTTTGGGTCCTTTCTTGGATCCTTTAGCACGGCTCTTAGGGGAAAAGCCAGGGGGGGAAGGGAGCTAAGAGCCAAACACTTCAGGGATAAATCAGGAAGTAAGGACACTCTTTATCCCCGGGGGCGTGGAGACAAAGAGTGCGCCTGCCCTTCCTTTTTTATACCCACTCCGCAGCAGGTTTGTTAGAAAATAAACAAAAGAGAATAACGCAAAACACATCAAAAATAGAGGGGGTGCCAGGCCAAACCCAAAGCACCCCTCGCATAACCTTCCGAGCGAGGTGAGCCAAACCAAACCACCTTCACACAGTCAGGTTATTAGTTCCTCTTCGGACCATTTTGGCTTGGATCTTTTGGACTGCTTCATTGAGGATCCTTTCTTAGATCCTTTTTTGGGTCCTTTCTTGGATCCTTTAGCACGGCTCTTTCCAAGGCCCCCTGTCCTTTCTGGAACAGAAGGCTCAAGTGTTGAAAGTGTGAGGCGCGTGCGTTGTTTGGAAAAAACAAGGAGAAAAGGGGCTAGGGAAGGGAGGGTAGTTGGGAGTGACATTTCCGCCAGTATGGAGAGTCCCTCGTTTAAGTATATACGTGCTGTCTTGGGTGCCTGCCACCTTCCCTGCAACAAATTTTTATCCAATGAGTGGTGCTTGGCAAACCACCAAGTAGCCCCTCCTCGCCGGAGGCTGTAGGGCCTAAACCCAAAGGATTGTAATTGCAAGGCAGACAAAGCGTCATTAAACAATGCTCTCCAATTACCTGGGGAAGCTGACAGTGGTGTGTGATCAGAGGCAAGCTCTTTCCACCGTTTTACGAAATTGACCACCATATCGTAACCAATCACCACCGACTCAGCAGCTCCCTGCCGTTTGCCCCCCTTCGTAAGCCCTAGTGAGACAATTAATTTTGGGTTATTTGGTTCAACTAAGATCTGAGACCCCCGAAGGTCTAGAATTTCTCCTGTCCGGAGCATCCCATAAAATCCCAGCAACAGCGACACTCCAAATGTGAACCGCTGATGAAACCAGGCCCATCCCACCATTGCGTGAACCACATGAGCAGGTAGTGGGGGTGCCCTGTTAGGGATCTCATTTTGCGACCATGTTTTCAGGAGCCTCCAGGCTCCCGTGAGCTGCCCCCGGATGCGGACGTCATAGTCCTGTAGCCCGGCGACCGTGTCACTGGCAAGGGCCCTACCCTCTCCGGAAGACCAGAGATGCTCAAGGTAGTCACAAACCAATGGATCCAGCTTGTCGCGTAAGGTGGGCAGCTGAAGATTGTTGGCACGGAGAAATTCAAGAAATTTATCAATTGCTCGGTTATAGCGCTGTTTTGTAGCTGGTTGAACTGTAAGGTCCCTCAGGGTTCCAAGCCTCTGTCTCTGTTTTGCCCTGTCCTGCTGTGCAGCGGCCTCTAAGTGCCGCTTAGGCATGCCGGAATTTCGTTTTCACCCGGCGACCCCACCGACTGGGGCGATCTGCCGGGTTTTGCTCGGTGCTCACATAGCCCCACAGGGCCTGATTGGAGCTGCACAGTAACAAGGCATTAATTCGAGACAGAGTGGACCTGAGCTTCCTACTGCTGGACCGCCCTCGCGAAAGTGCATGCAGCACCACCAGCGAGTCAATCAAATGTAGAAACCGCCCTTTAATGTGCTTCTTGACCTGAATCCGCCATTTGAGTGAAGTTAAAACGGCGCGCATTTCCAGAGCGTTGATGTGCTCTGGGGAGCCCTTCCACCTCCACCCTGTGACGACTTTCCATCGCCACAGTCGCGCCGGAACTGACGCCCGGAGTCGGTGGAACTTAGTCAATTGGCTGGATGCAGTGCTGAGCAGTATGTCTTCGCCCTTCACACTGACCAAGTTCCCAAGCTTCTCAACCAGCTTTTGCCCTCCCGCATCCGCCTGCCTACGCAGGGGTCGAAGAGGTGCACGCCATAACCGAGTTTGCAAAAACGTTTGGTTCTCTGCGTTCAGGAAGTCCATAATCTCTTGAGGGGTGTATGCTGGGCACAACCCCAAGGGCCCGCACAATTGCGCCAGCAACCAAGCAACCACAGGTACACTCCATGTGTTCCCGAGCAATGATTGCCGCGCATCTTGATGTGCCACGGATCCACGTCCCTGCTTGGCCCAGCAACTCACTGTGTATCCTACAGGGAAACCCAGCATATACTCCTTCTCATCAATTGTCGGCAGCCGCATGACGTCATGCTTGTTGATCAAGAGATTTTTTGCGGTGTACTGGTAGGGCGGAAAGCGATAGGAGTCTTGCTTCCACCGCTCCACGTCAGCCTGGGTGCAGGAATGCAAGCCAGCGGGCTTGTGCCCAGGCCGCGGGCGTGGCCTGGAGGTTGTAAAAGTTGGAAAAGGCCGTGACGGGTCAACTTTGATCCAGCCCTCCTGACAGACCTGCTCCAAGTCCTGAAAGGCTGTGAGGACGACCTCCCGCGGGGACACGTCGCTCCCAGCAACGAATTGAACCCCCTCCTGAGCCAAGAGTTCCCAACTGAGCCAATAAAGCCGGGGCCGACTTGTCCAGGTCATGGAACCCGCGTCGCACTTCCATGGTTCATCGCCAAAATTTTGTGACATGATCTCGGTCATGCTCATCCATGGAAGCGACGCTTTCCATGAAGCAATGGACCTGACACCACGGAAAAGAATTCTTGGCCAGCTTCCAGATACGCTTGACGTGGGAAAACAAACATGACCGTTCGTCACGAAGGGCTCCCTTCCTACCAGCGTTCAACCCGCTGACACCCTGACAGGGCGGTCCTGCCCCGAGAATGACTAGGGCTGCCTGCGAAAACTCGCGCGCCCATTGATTCACAACCTCCTGGTCCACCACCGTCACGTCGTCGAAGTGCCAGGTCTCAGGGAAGTGAGAGCTCACCACCCGCTGGGCCAGTTTCTCCTTCTCCACGCTGATGTGGCCCATGACCTCCAGTCCAAGCAAGTCCGCCGCCACCCAAACAAAAAATGGCTATCGAACATTGTGACCTATTCACTACATGTTCTGTTTCCCTATATTTCGTCCATAAACCATCATAAACCCCAATCAGGGACGTGAACCACATATTCTCACCAGCATTTTGCTTCGTGTATTTGATATATTCGCTCTCCATCTGTTTCTGAGAGATACCACATCTAACCACAGCAGCGAAGCGCCGGGGCACCCAGTGCCCCAACAAGCCAGCACCGGTGCAGAAGCGGAACTGCCCAGGCTCTAAGATGGAGCACCTCGAGGTCATCTGTGGATGTGTCTTAGTCGATACCTAAATACTACATTGTTTTTTTTTAATGTTATATGATATGTTGTATAATATGTATTAATTATTAATATGTATATTTAACATTTATAACTATATATAGTTTTATATAACATTGATGTATTATCTTGATGATATGTATATATATATAATGTACATAAATATATTGATGTATTGCATTGTGTTAGACACAATTTCCATTTCATCTATCACTCATGATGTTTCAAATCTTTTAACTAAGCCATTTACTACCGTTGACCGACCCCGTTGAAAAACGGGGTTGCTCAAGATGACTCGACCAATGACTGGATCATTCTGATGCTCATCCCATAATGACAATGGACCTTCACAAACATTCAGAGGTAGCTTCATCTGTCATAGGAGTTGGGAAAAACCCTCCAAGCAAAATACCAGGAACCTAAAATGGAATATTATCAGAAACCATCTACAGTAAAGCAGACCACCAAATTTCGTTCTTTGGGAGTTTGTTCCCTTAAACCAGCGCGCTGATTTCGGATCAGCCGATCAGCCCATCGGCCCATCCAACACACCAAGGTACTGATGGCATGCGATGCCACAGCATGCCGCAAAAGCACGGGTCACTGTGCCTCGGAGGATGTCCGGACGGACGACCGTCCGCTGAAGATGGCAATGCTGATTTTGTTTGAGATCGATGATGTTGTTTGAGATGATGTCAAACAATATATGACATGAGATCTTGGCAATGCCAATTATGTTTACATCATATAACTATCATATAACTATCATATATATATATCATATATATATATATATATATCATACACACATATATATATATCATATATATATATATCATATATATATATCATATATATATATATCATATATATATATTATATATAAAGAGTGCGCCTGCCCTTCCTTTTTTATACCCACTCCGCAGCAGGTTTGTTAGAAAATAAACAAAAGAGAATAACGCAAAACACATCAAAAATAGAGGGGGTGCCAGGCCAAACCCAAAGCACCCCTCGCATAACCTTCCGAGCGAGGTGAGCCAAACCAAACCACCTTCACACAGTCAGGTTATTAGTTCCTCTTCGGATCATTTTGGCTTGGATCTTTTGGACTGCTTCATTGAGGATCCTTTCTTAGATCCTTTTTTGGGTCCTTTCTTGGATCCTTTAGCACGGCTCTTAGGGGAAAAGCCAGGGGGGGAAGGGAGCTAAGAGCCAAACACTTCAGGGATAAATCAGGAAGTAAGGACACTCTTTATCCCCGGGGGCGTGGAGACAAAGAGTGCGCCTGCCCTTCCTTTTTTATACCCACTCCGCAGCAGGTTTGTTAGAAAATAAACAAAAGAGAATAACGCAAAACACATCAAAAATAGAGGGGGTGCCAGGCCAAACCCAAAGCACCCCTCGCATAACCTTCCGAGCGAGGTGAGCCAAACCAAACCACCTTCACACAGTCAGGTTATTAGTTCCTCTTCGGACCATTTTGGCTTGGATCTTTTGGACTGCTTCATTGAGGATCCTTTCTTAGATCCTTTTTTGGGTCCTTTCTTGGATCCTTTAGCACGGCTCTTTCCAAGGCCCCCTGTCCTTTCTGGAACAGAAGGCTCAAGTGTTGAAAGTGTGAGGCGCGTGCGTTGTTTGGAAAAAACAAGGAGAAAAGGGGCTAGGGAAGGGAGGGTAGTTGGGAGTGACATTTCCGCCAGTATGGAGAGTCCCTCGTTTAAGTATATACGTGCTGTCTTGGGTGCCTGCCACCTTCCCTGCAACAAAATTTTATCCAATGAGTGGTGCTTGGCAAACCACCAAGTAGCCCCTCCTCGCCGGAGGCTGTAGGGCCTAAACCCAAAGGATTGTAATTGCAAGGCAGACAAAGCGTCATTAAACAATGCTCTCCAATTACCTGGGGAAGCTGACAGTGGTGTGTGATCAGAGGCAAGCTCTTTCCACCGTTTTACGAAATTGACCACCATATCGTAACCAATCACCACCGACTCAGCAGCTCCCTGCCGTTTGCCCCCCTTCGTAAGCCCTAGTGAGACAATTAATTTTGGGTTATTTGGTTCAACTAAGATCTGAGACCCCCGAAGGTCTAGAATTTCTCCTGTCCGGAGCATCCCATAAAATCCCAGCAACAGCGACACTCCAAATGTGAACCGCTGATGAAACCAGGCCCATCCCACCATTGCGTGAACCACATGAGCAGGTAGTGGGGGTGCCCTGTTAGGGATCTCATTTTGCGACCATGTTTTCAGGAGCCTCCAGGCTCCCGTGAGCTGCCCCCGGATGCGGACGTCATAGTCCTGTAGCCCGGCGACCGTGTCACTGGCAAGGGCCCTACCCTCTCCGGAAGACCAGAGATGCTCAAGGTAGTCACAAACCAATGGATCCAGCTTGTCGCGTAAGGTGGGCAGCTGAAGATTGTTGGCACGGAGAAATTCAAGAAATTTATCAATTGCTCGGTTATAGCGCTGTTTTGTAGCTGGTTGAACTGTAAGGTCCCTCAGGGTTCCAAGCCTCTGTCTCTGTTTTGCCCTGTCCTGCTGTGCAGCGGCCTCTAAGTGCCGCTTAGGCATGCCGGAATTTCGTTTTCACCCGGCGACCCCACCGACTGGGGCGATCTGCCGGGTTTTGCTCGGTGCTCACATAGCCCCACAGGGCCTGATTGGAGCTGCACAGTAACAAGGCATTAATTCGAGACAGAGTGGACCTGAGCTTCCTACTGCTGGACCGCCCTCGCGAAAGTGCATGCAGCACCACCAGCGAGTCAATCAAATGTAGAAACCGCCCTTTAATGTGCTTCTTGACCTGAATCCGCCATTTGAGTGAAGTTAAAACGGCGCGCATTTCCAGAGCGTTGATGTGCTCTGGGGAGCCCTTCCACCTCCACCCTGTGACGACTTTCCATCGCCACAGTCGCGCCGGAACTGACGCCCGGAGTCGGTGGAACTTAGTCAATTGGCTGGATGCAGTGCTGAGCAGTATGTCTTCGCCCTTCACACTGACCAAGTTCCCAAGCTTCTCAACCAGCTTTTGCCCTCCCGCATCCGCCTGCCTACACAGGGGTCGAAGAGGTGCACGCCATAACCGAGTTTGCAAAAACGTTTGGTTCTCTGCGTTCAGGAAGTCCATAATCTCTTGAGGGGTGTATGCTGGGCACAATCCCAAGGGCCCGCACAATTGCGCCAGCAACCAAGCAACCACAGGTACACTCCATGTGTTCCCGAGCAATGATTGCCGCGCATCTTGATGTGCCACGGATCCACGTCCCTGCTTGGCCCAGCAACTCACTGTGTATCCTACAGGGAAACCCAGCATATACTCCTTCTCATCAATTGTCGGCAGCCGCATGACGTCATGCTTGTTGATCAAGAGATTTTTTGCGGTGTACTGGTAGGGCGGAAAGCGATAGGAGTCTTGCTTCCACCGCTCCACGTCAGCCTGGGTGCAGGAATGCAAGCCAGCGGGCTTGTGCCCAGGCCGCGGGCGTGGCCTGGAGGTTGTAAAAGTTGGAAAAGGCCGTGACGGGTCAACTTTGATCCAGCCCTCCTGACAGACCTGCTCCAAGTCCTGAAAGGCTGTGAGGACGACCTCCCGCGGGGACACGTCGCTCCCAGCAACGAATTGAACCCCCTCCTGAGCCAAGAGTTCCCAACTGAGCCAATAAAGCCGGGGCCGACTTGTCCAGGTCATGGAACCCGCGTCGCACTTCCATGGTTCATCGCCAAAATTTTGTGACATGATCTCGGTCATGCTCATCCATGGAAGCGACGCTTTCCATGAAGCAATGGACCTGACACCACGGAAAAGAATTCTTGGCCAGCTTCCAGATACGCTTGACGTGGGAAAACAAACATGACCGTTCGTCACGAAGGGCTCCCTTCCTACCAGCGTTCAACCCGCTGACACCCTGACAGGGCGGTCCTGCCCCGAGAATGACTAGGGCTGCCTGCGAAAACTCGCGCGCCCATTGATTCACAACCTCCTGGTCCACCACCGTCACGTCGTCGAAGTGCCAGGTCTCAGGGAAGTGAGAGCTCACCACCCGCTGGGCCAGTTTCTCCTTCTCCACGCTGATGTGGCCCATGACCTCCAGTCCAAGCAAGTCCGCCGCCACCCGTAGAGCGCCAATGCCATCGAAAAGCCCTATTGTAAGGACACGATGCTCTTGGCGCAACTCTGGCAGCTGTCCTCGAAGCCTCCCCTGCGCAGCCAGGCATCCTGCCCGACTCAACGCCACAGAGGCGCAAACCCCGCCCCCGGAAGTCGAGGCATCACTGCATGTAACTTGCTCACTGTACTCGAGGCGAAAGTCTAAACGAGCCAGCGGGATCAGTGCCACAAACCTCACCAACTCAAGCTTGCATTGAGTCGGCAGCGCCTGCACCGAAACCCCTAGCCGGTCAAACGACTCGATAAACGGCCATATGGCATTGAGGCACCCCAACAGCTGCCGCCTGAACATGGCCATGTAGACCAGGCCCCCACAGACCACTTGAGTCTGACGCTGAGTCACCACCGCCTGGTGCAACAAGGTGAGCGTAGCGGCCAGGTATTTGAGAAGCTTACTCTCCCGAGGGAAAGCCACCCCCAAATTACCATCGACTTGTGCCCCCTGGACCTCAGCGACCGGTTGTCTCTGGACCGATTTCTTCAGGTTGCGCGGCACCTCCCATTTCTCGTACTCTTGACGCAGCGCCAAGGCTGCGGGTGCAAGAGATCCTTCAAGCGTTTCCCGTTCCACAGCCCTCACTTTTTCAAGGAGGTCAAAATTGTCCAAATATATCCTCCAAGAAGGATTTGCCGCTGTCAGAGGTCTGTCTTTCCGCACTTCCGCTTCAGGGGCTGCCACACTAGTGGCTGCCTCCGGGATATGCTCATGGCTCCAAAGCGTCAGATTGCGGTGCACATGCTGTGCCAGGCTCACTGAGTTAGCAAATCCCATGGGGAGTACTCGTGAGGCCATGTAGACCAAGCGCCCCTGCAATTCCACGGGCAGACATTGGTCAGGGACCCTCTTGTTGAAGGCTAGGTACTTATACCAGGCCGGTGGAACTGCCATGGTATAAAAGAAGCAGCGGACGTCTTCGCTGCTAACCAGCAGGCTTTCCTCTGGCTGCAAAAAGAAGGGGGACATCTGACTCCACATAGGGAGGGTCTCGACGTCGCCCTTCAGGGGCTCTGCCAGCCCGTTAAAAGGCGTGAGGTTCATGATCAATCTGTAAACCTCGTATTCGCCGGACCATTCGTCTTTCGTCACCACAAAGAGGCCGTTGAGCAACGGCTGCTGCTCAATGTGAAAAACCTCTTCCACCGGCAGCAGCACACAGATGCCCGCTGTGAGAAGACCACTACAGACCTCCGCCCATGCGCCCTCAGGTACCATGACCCGCGGGGGCTTCACCAGTTCCCAGCGATCACGCGGCTTGATGTACAAGTCGAGGTTTTCCACATAGTGACGGGCGCCGAGGGTGCACACTTGTTCCAATGGCACTCGCCCTATCTCAGCCGGGAGCGCAGGAGCAATATTGCCCCAGGTGAACTCCCTGGCCGTCTTGACTTCATCTCCGCGATAGTCTATACCTCGAGTACTGAAGAACTGATCCCAATCAAACAGCTCGACTTTCCCTTCCAGGAGACAGATGCGTTCGACATCCTTAGACAGCCACTCCATGCACTCAAGTGCCACCGCAGACACCTCTCCATCATACATGACCTCATCCCCCCACAGGGAGTTCAAGCCCATAGCAATACTGGCCAGCCACGCAATACCTTGGGGACCTAAATGGGGGAAGGCAGACAACAGGAAACTACTAGAGGTAGGTAGGGGAAGCAAGGTGGTTTTTGTTCGCCTACCCATGGCCTTGCCGCGGAGTGGAACAACCTCTAGTAGCCACTGTTGGACCCTCAACCCAAGTTCCCCTAAAGTGGACCCAGACAACACTCCCAAACTTTTTCCTCTTTCGGATACACGAGGTCCCGAAGCGTCCAGGCCGCTGTGGCCCAAATCAAAAGACACGTGGCCCTGGTCATCAAAAAGGACCGGGTCACTCAACGGAACCGGGCAAGGCTCCATCGGAGAAATCATCGCCAAGGGGTCAGGCAGGACGTCCGCCCGTACGCCACCCTCAGCGGCATAGGAGGTATTCCCAACCTCCCGGAATACATCAGGTGGTCCAGCGTCTTGGACCCCTATACTCGTAGCTTGGTTCATAGCACCTGCCCCCGCACAACTCATAGGGGAACCACTCATCACTTCTTCTCGCCTCCCTTGCCTCTGTCCTTCCGGGACTCCTCTCGCCTTTCGTCCTTTCCGCCGTCCTTGTCCGACTTGCCTTTGCCCTTTCCCTTGGGCTGACCCTTGGGGGTAGATGCTAGATTCTGCCACTTTGTCTTCGAATCCAGGTAGCTCTCCCGCTGTGCTGCCTGCAGCTCGCCCCGAGCAATCAGGGCGGTAGCTTCCGCTGAGGCAATTTCCACCTTCTGTGCCACCTGCCAGGGAGTTCCAGCAAGGACCGACTCCTGGGCTTTGAGCCTCTGGCATAAGATGTCGGTGGCGAGGGCTACCCGCCCCCTCAGCAGGGCATCTACCGCGCTCGAGAGTGTCAACAACTCTCGCGCCTGCGCTCCTGTTGCCTTGCGGCCCAGAACATTGCGGTAGTACAAGAGAGCTACCGGTTTGGTCGACTGCAAGTCGCCTTCTTCGCCTGACGTCGCCAGGAGGCTCCGGCGCATACTCAAGAGCGTCTCTACCGACAGTGCCCCCGGGAAGCGCTCCGAAAGGCCTCTTGCCTTTGTCTCCTCCGAGAAAACCCCTTCGGTCGCCGGCTCGCCACTCGATGTGCTGGTCGAGGAGCCACTGCTCCCGTGACTGCTGCTGGAGCTGGAGCGCCTGCTCTTTTTCCGCGCCGCGTACTTCTGTGCCCTCCTGAGCACTCTCTTCCTGATCTTCTCCCGCGGGTCGAGGGCCGTGCCCCCGAAAACCTGTGACAGCTCCTTCACCGATGCCCTGGCCGCGTGTCTCCCGTTCACCAGTTCCTCTGCGTCCTCCTTTGCTTTTTTCTTCTTCTTTTTCTTCTTCTTTTTCTGGATCTCTTCCTCCTCTGGCTCCTTTGGTGTCTGGCATCGTTCTCGACGTGATGGGGACGCTCGGGCCCTCTCGCCCCTCTCGCGCAGGAGCTCCTGCTCCCGCCTCCTCAACATCGCGAGCTCGTCCTCGCCCTCCATGGCAGGGGGCTCCAGGCTGGTGACCCAGCCTTCCTCTCCTTCTTCCTTGCGGCGCCTGCCTTTCAGACCATGGGCCAGAAAGTCGCCACTCTCCTGACGGCCGCACTGTGGGGGGCAAATGTGCACCCGGAAGGGCTGATCCTTCATCCCACTGTGTGCTCGCAGGACCCCTTCGTGGTCGGTCCCGCTGAGGCGCACTTGAAGGTAACTGGAGTCCTTCTCCACCTCCAGCCTCTGGATTGTTCCGGCTATCTTCGCCGCGCCCCCAAAGTAGTCGGCCACCGTAATGACCAACGACGACCCAGGTTTGAACAGGTCGATGGGGACTTGGTGGAGCTCCGTTTCCAGCCCCTGCTCCCAAAGCGTGCGGCCTTCCTCTCTTGCAGCGGGCCTCCGCCTCCCTTGGCGAGCGCGGTCGGGGGCGTCCAACACCCCCGCTTGTCCGCCAACCCGAGCTGCTGGCCTCCGCCTCACTCCCAGCGGCCTGGCCCGACCCAACGCTTTGGCTTTTGCTTTGCCTTTTGGGGGCATTGTCTCGCCGCCTTCTTTCGGCGCCTCTCCTCAATCTTTTTCCTGGTGAATTCCCTGGCCCGCTCTCGGTGCCTTTCGCCTTTAGTCCCTCTTTCTCGGGTACGTTGTCTCTTCTTGGGCTTCCTAGCAAGGGGTGGCCGTCCCTCGCTGTCCTCCTCTTGATCTCCCGGTCGGGGTCCTCCGCCCCGCCTCTCAGGAGTGATCGGTCGCCTGGGGGATCCCTCTGCCCGGCGGTACCCTCGATCCGAGTCAGGGCCGTGGCGTGCCCGGTCCCGGTTATCTCTGCTTGAAGCTTTTGGGGCTGGCCGCAGTGCCAAGGCCCCTGGGTTCGCCAATTCGTCCCCTGAGCGGCCGCCTCCGTCACGAACACCTGTGCCCTCAGGAGCCGCCCCTGCTGTCTCCCGTGGGGTAGTATCTTCCTCGCCGGCCTCCGCTTTGACTGTTGTGGCCTCTGGCTCCACGGCTGCCTCCTCTACAGCTACTTCCTCTTCACTGGATTCCTCTGTGTAGTCGCTGTCTCCCTTCTCGCCCTTTTTGGCGGCGGGAGCTTCAAGCGGCCCGGAGGTTAGGCCCGATGTTGCCTCCTGCTCAGGGGGAGGAAGGGCTGCCCTACCCTTGGGCAGATTCTCTTCCACGAGATCTGTGAGCTCCCCTGCAGCTCCCCGTATGATCTCAGCCACCCTCCGCTCCTGTTCACCCTTGAGATGTCCGGAGCGCAGAAGGCCGCTGATGCGCTTGAGCGCTCGGCACGCGCCACACACAGGGCTTGTTGCAAAGACCCCGCAGTCGGCGCACACCATAGGCTAGCTAAGAGCCAAACACTTCAGGGATAAATCAGGAAGTAAGGACACTCTTTATCCCCGGGGGCGTGGAGACATATATTATATATATATATATCATATATATATATATATCATATTTTACTCTTTGAAATCATTTTAACATATTATATCATGAATAGCTCCCAATCTACAGTAAGAATTATTCTTTTGTATCCCAACTCCCAAATGTCGTTGGCCAACAAAGGGGAATGCTGTCTTGCTATTTTTGACCCATACCCATTTAGCATTATCCGCCTCACTTTCATCAACCAACCAGCAGAAAAAGAACATACATAGACTGTTTGGCGGTTGAGTCATCCCAAAACATCTCCCAAATGTGCACAAGTTTTGTTTGCATCCAAAAACACCCATGATTATCATGATTCTTGCCTGCTGTCAATCAGGGCTTCCCATCAACCAGATTTGTTGACATCGCTAAAGAGAACAATCATCATCCCAAAGAAGGCAATGTTCGACTGCGAAAAAAAAGGCAAAATATCAGCATTCGATCTTATCTTCTGGTAGACTTCCAATTTTTCACAGACAATGTATGTATATATATATATATACCTAGGAAATCCTCAGGCTAGAATTTGATCCCGAATGGATTCTGACCTGTTTTTCTGCCCGACCTTGAGATTCTCGCCTGAGGCCTAAATTCTCGCCTGGGCACTTTTAGGTGATTTTTGCTCAAACTCATCTTTTAGACGTCAACATCACGATAATTCAAGGGTGCTACTATTCATGTTTGATCCTGTTTCTCCCATGAAATTCTAACCAGATCAGGGTGAGAAGAGCATCAACAAAGTACGGGCTGCGGCTACTACACAATCCCCAATTTGGGTCAACTCACTTTAAATTCTTAAACCACTGCCCTGTTCCCAAAGCCAGCGGCCTTTCCTCACGGACGCCTTGCTGATCTTCGCTGGTGGATCACAGCTGGGAGCTTAGCAGAAAGGGCTAAGCCAGAGAACCGGGCATCAAGTTAATTGGTGTTTTTTCCCCACCTGCCAGGTGAAGGTTGAGATTTCATCACAGTTGTTCTCCTCCTCCGCCTCCTCCTCCTCCTCATCCTCCACCTCCTTCTCCTCCTCCTCCCTCTCCTCCAGCTTCTCCTCCGCCACCTTTGCATCCACTCCCATGTTCACTTCCGCCTTGCCAACTCTTCGCCAAGCTCTTCGCCAACTTCCGCACGCAGTGAACACTGCTGGACCTCAACTGCAAGGGTCTGAACGCACTGGGCACCGCTGGACCTCAACCTGGGACCTTCCAACCTCAGTGAGCACCGCTGGACCTCAACCTGGGACCGTCCAAGCTCAGTGAGCACCGCTGGACCTCAACCTGAGACACTCCGAGCTCAGTGAGCACCGCTGGACCTCAACCTAAGACCCTCCGAGCTCAGTGAGCACCGCTGGACCTCAACGGCCAGGTAGAATGCCAGAAGATATGCCAGATAGAACGCCAGATAGAATGTCAGAAAGAATGCCAGAAGATATGCCAGATAAAATGCCAGAAGATATGCCAGATAGAATGCCAGAAGATATGCCAGATAGAATGCCAGAAGGTATGCCAGATAGAATGTCAGATAGAATGCCAGAAGGTATGCCAGATAAAGTGCCAGAATGTTTGCCAGAACATATGCCAGATAGAATGCCAGATAGAATGTCAGAAGATATGCCAGAACATATGCCAGAAGATATGCCGGGTAGAATGCCAGAAGATATAATAGATAGACATCAGAAGATATGCCAGATAAAATGACAGAAGATATGCCAGATAGAATGCCAGAAGGTATGCCAGATAGAATGCCAGATAGAATGCCAGAAGGTATGCCAGATAAAGTGCCAGAATGTTTGCCAGAACATATGCCAGAAGATTTGCCAGATAGAATGCCATGTAGAATGTCAGAAGATATGCCAGAAGATATGCCAGAAGATATGCCAGATAGAATGCCAGAAGATATGCCAGATAAAATGCCAGAAGATATGTCAGATAGAATGCCAGAAGATTTGCCAGAAACAAAACGTATAGATGTCATGGTGGGGATAACTCGAAGTAAAGTAATTTGTATCATGACTCATTTTTTTGTTCAACGTTTAGGATATACAGTATAACACAAAGTATTCAAAAATCAAAATGATATGTAGGCATAAAAACCCAGATTTGTCAGCTTCCTTTTCGGTTCAATCTGGCACCCCCTCTTTGTTTGGCCTTGGAGAAAGCCAACTTGCCATGCAAACCTGGTCTCTTCTTCTTTCGTAATAGTGCAGCAATCTTCAAGCAATACCTCTGACTTACCCGAAGGTCACAGAGGCGAAACCCTACTCGTCTAGATAATCGACTAATACGGCCTATAAAGTCTTCGTTGACATCGCATGCAAATGTTTGGGGGCTACACACAAGTGTTGCCCCTTTCAGCAACTGTTTCTTCAGTTTGTGGGCAACATGGTGCAAAGCATGTTGCTTTGGTTTCTGGATGAAACTTCTAATGCCATATCGGATGGCAGCAGTTCCCAAGTAGGCATAGCCTCGAAGACAAGTCATCATTGAAGTGTACAACCTCTGGGCGCAAGCTCGTTCAAGCCAAAGACCGTGATGATGAGTGAGATTGATATCCAGAGTAGATTCGCATACTTCCAACATGTGTTTCAGGTGCTGATCAAAACCTGAAACTGATGGGGATTTCAAATTGAGACGTAGGAACCAAACAAGCCACTTCAAGAGAAGACGAGTGTCTGAAGCCTTCGATGATGCCCATGGCGCAGACATCATGTTTTTCATATTGAAAAAGGATTTCGTGAAACTTCGCAACCCGGGCGTGTGCCTCTCTGCTTGACACCACATGGAAAAGACTGAGTAAGATCTTTCAAACCTGTCGTCAATGTTCTTTGTTGATCCTGGATGGTCAAAGAAACCTTTCCTCAACAGAAAGATTAATACACCACCAATCACATCGCGGCCAACTCCGACTTTCACTATGTGAAAAACATCATGGGCAATGATTGCTTCTGGATTGCCTCGATCACACGGAATCTCGCTCAGCGGTGGGGGGTTCTGAACATCCCAAGGTCTGGAGCACAGCATTGATTCGACCCAGCGCGGATCCTCAGCATAGTCTTCGAATGGGTATTGTTCACAGCCTGCACGGCAGAGGTGGCAAATTTCATATTTGTTTTTCACTCCAAGAGAAGAATACGAGCGAGTCAGCTCCATGTACTTTTGGAAAAAATCTAAATCGCCTTTGATTGCCACACATGCTCCAAAAATACGTTCACCAGATTCCAGAGTGATACCTTGTTCAAACAACAGGCGCATGTCGGTGGCCAATTGCTGCATAAGAGTTGTAACAACATGTCTGTGCTTTTTGTACACCCAGCCACCGATGCCAAAAATTAGCCAACGTGAAAGATAGCTGTGCCCTTTGAAGTTTGTCAGTTGTTGTCGTCCCGTCCGAATGTAGTTCTCATCAACTAATCCCAAGTCCCTCCCATAGGATGGCAGGTCAGGACGTGATGCCACAAAGGATTTGCAGGAACATTGAGCTGAAACACGGGGGTCATCCTCCTTACCAAAAGGCGTTTCAATGCTGCAAATGAAGTAATTGGTCTTCTTGACTGCCCGACCTTCATCTCCATGTATCAATATAGGCACCACATTTTTCAAGTTTCCCTTATGGGCTGCATATACTTCATGCGTGGGATGTTCCAGTGCGTAAAGGTTCCAAAAACTTTCGAAGTTGTCAGCTGGACTCGCATTTTGACCACCAACAAATTCAGGGCATCCATCCATCCAGTATTGAATCCAATCTTGTGGCCTGATGTGATAGGTGGTTAGCAGTTTTTGTGGACAGGAACTTTCATGTTGAAGCGTTTGAACAGGTACTGGTAGCATCAAGCCACTTCTTTCAAACAGTCGTTGGCAATCCCTTTCAGAATTGATCTCAGCCAGCGGTTCTGGCTTATTTTGAACTGCATGTAAGGTGCGCTTCGCACTCCGAGCTGTGGCCTCAAGGCAATGGTTGGCCGCAACAAAACCAGCGGGGATCGGGATAGCTGAAAAAAACCTAAAGAATAAATCAACGCAGATGCTTTGAAAGAAAACCAGGGGCCTGACCCCATCGCCCATACTCTCAGCCATTTGTGCAAGTACCCGGTCATGAAAGCCAGTCTCTTTGGACACTGGCACCGAAGTACCTGGCAATAGACACATTGAAATCTGATTCAACCCCATTACATAAGAGTTGCTGAATTTGGCTTGCCGCCATTTTTTGCTGGCAGCTGGCATGGCAAGCTAGTTTTCCTTTTGCGCTTTCCCCATTTGCTTGGAGTATTGGTTAAGAAAGACCCAGTTGCTCCTTGATGGCAACATCAGGTGAACTCTGAAATTCGCTAAGATTGGAAGTTGGCATTTCCAACTTCATTAGATTGGAACACTTGTGTTGTGATCACCGTTGATCACGCAACCCTGGTCAAGCCCGCCTATGATCAAACAACTTGTCAATTTGGGATCTTCGGGGTCTCTAGTTGATTTGATCGTTGTACAAACAGATGCCAAACCTCCCCAGATCTAGGCTCTGGCTTTTGCCTTAGCCTTGGACTTGCCCATCGCCTTTGCCCGTGCTTTCCCACCAGGCTCAGTCTTCTTCGGCTGCTTGACGGAGGCATGGGACCTTGGAAGAACCGATATCTTGTCTTTTGGTAGTGTATGAAGGAGAAATTTCGCAGCAGCTTTTGGGTTATTGGGTCATCAACAGGAATCTTAACAACAAAAAATCCTTAGGGTTGGGCTTGGCAAAGTTCATCAGGCCAATCGATTCCACAAGCCTTCGCAGCAGCGATTCAACATGCATGCTATTTCAAAACACGTACCATGACTCCTTACCATCATAACTTACATGAACAACATCCTGTAGGCTAAGCAAGGTTTGGGAAAGCCTCTTCCGAGACTCGTCCAAGCAGGAACCAATTTTTTTCTGCAGCCTGAGCTGGAGGTGGGACCAGAATAAATACATGGCCTTTGTATTGCCCTTGTACCCTTATTTCTTGACCATGTAGGGGTGGCAATCCTTGATGTATCAAGCAGCTCATATGTGAACCCATCCAGAACTCCATTGCCATGATCATTCACCAACTTCTCGTAACAAACCTCCAGTGCTGAGTGGGCCTCTGTCAGTTTGGACTTCATCCTGCGGCAAGAAAGGAATAACATATAACCCCAAGAAGGCTTGATGAGTTTGGCAAAGCAGGTTTCATAGTGAAGGTTTTTCGGATGATATTATCGGATATTGCCGGGTATTATAGGATAATATAGGATATTACAGGATATTATAGGCAATTATAGGGAACATTCTTATGATGAGACCCAGCAAAGAGGACACCAGAATATATAACATAGCAAATGGCAAAAACGGCGCTAGCCTATTAAGAATGAAGCTAGGTTGACAGACTTGAAACTTCTTGGCCCAATCAAATGCCCCATCGTTTCAATATGTGACTATTTCCAAGTTTGGTGGAATCCCAAAACAAGAACAATTTAAAGTCGTTCAGCCCCCTGCAAAGACAGCTCAGTGTGTCCTCAACTGTAGGCCTGCTGCGTCTCCGGGAAAGCCAGCTATCAAGGCTTGCAACTTCCCAAGCTGCTTGTGAATCGTGTTGCATGCTTTGGGGGCAATCGCTGACGGTGACAAATCCCCTTCAATTTCCGGGAAACCAATTTTTCTAAGTTCTTCCATGTGATCAGGGAGAACCTCTTTGGTTGGGATCACCTCTTTCTCCTGCGGCTTGGCATCGTCCATCAAGTGAAGCAAGCCTGGGAGTAGCAAGTAGTGTGTAAAGTGCCATTTTAGACATGAAAACATTGTTTGCCCAGAGGGAAACATATAATATATATATATTTTATCATATATATATACATATATATATATATATATACATATATATATATACACATATATATATAGTGAAAGATATTTTGAATTACCTTTGAACGAGAAACCGTCTCCATTTTCTTCAAGCATCGTCCAGGCTGCGGTTTGGTCAGGGATTTCACCACGTTTATTGTCCTCCTCCCACTCAAGTACTTCTTCTAATCGCTGTCGTTTGGTTTTCCTGAGATCTATGTTAAGGGATTGCTCCAACGTTACCACATGCCTTGACGGTAGTGTGACAAAATGAAACCTAAAACCCACACTCTACTTGGGATCAGCATTGACATTGTCAACTTTTTGTGTTGACCAAGTTTCTTCAAGCTTCCACGGACACGCACCTCTGTCCAGTACATCGTGCCATTTCCATATTTGCTCATCCTGCAGGACATACAGATGCAACAGTTCATCTGCCTATCCCAAAAAACGAAGGGGCCGGAGGCCTCAGCAATGGACAGACAGAGGGGGGCCAGTCCTGGTCAAACCTTGGCGGGCCTCACAGTATCTGATGACTCCTTGGATCTTCGACCTCAAGTTTGCATCGCATGTATGTGGAATCTTGGGAAATCTTGGGGATCACCGCATGTTTGAAGGAAGGCTTACTAACCATAAGGGCAAGGTAAGGGCAAGCAGTGGAAATGCCAGTGTAAAACATCCAATGGAGGACAACCGCAGTCTCAACTGAATGAAAACGATTCTGGATGATACTTCAATCCATAGTTTCATGGTCATCAGTTTTACCAGCATTAGATGGGAATCTCCTGGGTGCAGAAAAGTAGCTCACTGTATTTCAAAAGTGTCATATCTTCCTGGGTCAACCATTCCCCCTCAATTTCGGTAGTCTCCTCCGTGATCCTTTCGCTGATGGATTTGCAACGCTTCACAAATCTGTCCTGCAGGGCTGCACGGGAGCTGGGTTAAACATAATTAGCTGGCATCGTTTCAGGGAATCATTTAGCATTGGCATTGGGGATGTTTCAAACTAGGAATGCCCCAAGCGCCTTATTTAAATTTGAAAAATGGAATAATGGAACGCTTGGGGCATTCCTATTTTAAAACATTCCCATACTTTACCAAATGAAAGGGCACCCGTAATGACGTAACCACCATATTATATATCTTGAACAAGTACCACAAACAAATTGGAAAACAGGGAAGGCATGGTTTCAAATAGAACGAACCCTTCGATATTTTTGTTTTACGGAAGCTGCTTTGGGACCATGGTTTCAATAACACCGACATAATATTATATCAGATTTGTTGGGCCACTACCTGACCAGGATACAATTGACAAGAATAGAGAGGCTCTCAGCATTGCAGGGATACATTTATCAGCCCCAGATTATTATATATAATAATAGCAATAATATGTTACATGATTTTTGTGTGGTATCCCTTTGTTACCCCTGTGCTAACAGAACTTTATTGAAACACGTGTTTTTTGAGCAACCCCAGTCCACACTGTAGGCAACTTTTTCGAACATCTCCATGATTTTCTCACGTCCACCATTGTGTTTGTCATGCCATTGCTGGACCCATGACTCATCTACCAACATGGATCCATCAGCTCTTGGTCTCATTACCCGCCTCAATCTGTTGTCAATGGCTTTCTCAGACAAGATTGACGGCGGAAGTGAGTCAACATGAAACTCATCCTCCCCAACAGCTCTCTTACCCTTGCCCTTCCCAATCCCACCGTTCTGCTGGACGTCAGGAGGAGAAGCCTCTGGTGGTGTGGCTTTCTGAGCTGAGGCCGGGCTACGCGGCATTGGAGACGCGGGAGGCTGTTGTGAGCTTTCAAGAGGGGTCTCAGGTTCCACCAAAAGGTCGGTTTGTTTTTCGACTTCACCTACTGAATTGGAACTTGGAATCTCATTTGAGCTTGGAACATCTCCACTTCCACCTGTTTGGTTATCTAAAGTTCCCAAAGATTCGACGCGAAACTGGCTAGACTGTTGCTCATGGGACTCAAGTTGACGGTCTGGCAAAACCTCCTTAAGAGGCTCCATGTCATCCATCGTTTCATCTTTCACCTGAACAAGCTCCGTCTTCACAGCTCTGTTGAGGATGCCCTGCGTTGCCTTGTATAAGGGCCGGGCTGGAACAAAGCTAGAATGTTCGACGAAGTATTGTAAAATTGCATCAATACTTTCCATGTGGCACTAGCCCCTGGGAAACCCTACCTCCTTAACAAAGAGAACTTGTAAGTCATCATCGGGCAAGCCATCAAAGCCATCCACAGTGAGAGATGGCCGCGGGGGTGTCCTGGCACCTCTGGCAGCCAGCTCTTTTTCCAAAGCCTGAGTAGGAGAGGAGATTCCACATCAAATATAACGATTCTTCCACTTGTCCATGGACCACTTGTTTTCGCATTTGCTTTTCTTGTGCAAACTCATGGCATTATATATTATATATATTTATTATATATTTTATATATATATTATTATATATGATCCGTTCCAAGAATGAAGACATCCATCGTTGCAATTTGAAGCTTCTTCAGGGTGTCAACATTTAACTGAGATGAGAAACTATTAGTCGGTTCAGCTCTTGCTGCATCTCTTCAGGTGAAGGATCCGTACCAAGCGACATGTCCGCAGCTTGGGACAACTCTAAGCCACGGACCAGGGTTTCACACGATAATGATTGGCTAAGGAAACTCATGCCAGCTAAAGCCAGAATTGCTCTTATATTTTACGTCTCATAGGACATCATGGGAGATGTTTTCTGTGGGATTCACACCTAAAGCTCATAAGATCCAGAAAGCTTACAATCTCAGCAACCGATGTAAAAGTTGTTACTTTTGGCCTGAAACATTCACAGAAATGGACTGAAAATTCTAACACCTCAAACCTGTTCCCCGGGGATTCTCGCCTGTTCCCCGGGGATTCTCGCCTGTTCCCCGGGTATTCTCGCCCGAATTGATTTTCATAAAATCTTCAAAAGCAGCCCGAATTGATTTTGAAATTTGCCTGAATTGAACACATGAAATTCAAGATCTGGGTTCCAAATTGGTGGGTCACCCACGTAGTTGTAGCAACAGAAGGCTGGCTGCATGGCCCCTTTTTTATCCCTTTGATTGAATTGCTCAGCTCTTGAGAGATATCAAATTACGGGTCCCTTATGGGTTTCCAGTTGAATTTTTCATTGCACACACGAGCTTGCTAGTATCTAGCAGGCATTGGTGAAAAGCCTAGCCTTAATGTTTGGAGGCAAACGCAAAAGTTTGGAGCTTCTCAGGTAGGAGTAGATTGTCCAAAGCTCTGCATCATCCCAAGTGTCACCAATGGGCATGGCTTCCAGGGTTTCAATGATGCACTTGCCATTGCCGTTGGCCACCTAACAAAAATGCATCAAACAGAATATCCATTAGGGAGGAAGACTGCGAGAGAAAACCATGGTCAATTTACCCGGCTGAGGCATTCCCAGAAGCACCTTCGGCAACTTCGGGGTCGATTCCAGCATCTCGTCAAAGTTCTCAAAGATCTTGCCGACGAATTTCACTGGATAAAGCCTGAGCTGATGTGTTCTGGCTGGGAAATACCTGGGGGCTGGTACAGATGATTCCCATGGTGTCCAGAACATTGTTTGTTCATAAAAAGCTTAATTACTTACGACCTAGGAACTCCGTGCTTTTCAATGCTTTTGTCCCATGGTATTTTGTTTTGCCATCTTTTCCAATGTACTTGCGCGTTGTTTTGATCAATGACTGGTGTCGCGTCTTCACAATTTTCCCCAGATCAAGCACGCTGATGACCCGGGACGTGCTCCAGAGGAATGTCCTCTTTAAGCATGGGTGTCCCCATAGTTTCATCCAAAGTGCTTGGCGGAAGAGGTCTAAGTTGGTTCAAGAGAGATTTAAAAAAGATGTAATATACTTATTGTCCTGTGTTTTTCCTCCGGGGTCCACCACAAAAAGGGGATTTACTAAAACGATGCCAAAGACAGTTGAAGTACCAATGCCCTTACTACGCAGCAGCTGCACCAAATATCGGAAACGGTCATGCATGTTCAGCAAAGTACTCCCTGGATTTTCCAGAATTGGGACTCCCTCCCAGCACACTATCATCATCACCAGGAGCATTGACCTCCCAGGGGTGGTATAAGTGAGCACAGGTTATCCCAAAATATCCCAGAGAGGTTTTCCCAAAACGTTATCACAATCAAGTGTACTTAAAGAATATGATTCACTGATTGTTTGAAAACAACACATCAGAATCAGAAAGGCAACTTCCAGCATGCCTTGAAACAGCCTTGTTGGCCCGATATACTGCTAAAGAATGGGGATCGCCCATGGCATTGAAAATATCACGAAGTGTTGAGCCCCTTGAAATAGCAACCCATGTTGCACAAGCAATGCCCATCAATGAAATGCATTGGCCAAGGCGGCTTTGGAGCACCAATGTGCAGGCCAACCTGAGGGCTGGCGGTGGTACCAACTTATAATATACATATTATTGTTATTCCCCACCTGCCAGGTGAGGGTTGTTAGATTTTATCACAGTTGTTCTCCTCCTCCGCCTCCCCCTCCTCCTCATCCTCCACCTCCTTCTCCTCCCCCTCCCTCTCCTCCAGCTTCTCCTCCACCACCTTTGCATCCACTCCCATGTTCACTTCCGCCTTGCCAACTCTTCGCCAAGCTCTTCGCCAACTTCCGCACGCAGTGGGCACTGCTGGACCTCAACTGCAAGGGTCTGAACGCACTGGGCACCGCTGGACCTCAACCTGGGACCTTCCGAGCTCAGTGAGCACCGCTGGACCTCAACCTGGGACCGTCCAAGCTCAGTGAGCACCGCTGGACCTCAACCTGAGACACTCCGAGCTCAGTGAGCACCGCTGGACCTCAACCTAAGACCCTCCGAGCTCAGTGAGCACCGCTGGACCTCAACGGCCAGGTAGAATGCCAGAAGATATGCCAGATAGAACGCCAGATAGAATGTCAGAAAGAACGCCAGATAGAATGTCAGAAAGAATGCCAAAAGATATGCCAGATAAAGTGCCAGAATGTTTGCCAGATGGAATGCCAGAAGATATGCCAGATAGAATGCCAGAAGGTATGCCAGATAGAATGTCAGATAGAATGCCAGAAGGTATGACAGATAAAGTGCTAGAATGTTTGCCAGATAGAACGCCAGAAGATTTGCCAGATAGAATGCCAGATAGAATGTCAGAAGATTTGCCAGATAGAGTGCAAGAAGATATGCCAGAACATATGCCAGGTAGAATGCCAGTAGATATGCCAGAGAGAATGCCAGAAGATATGCCAGAAAAAATGCCAAAAGATATGCCAGATAGAATGCCAGATAGAATGCCAGAAGGTATGCCAGATAGAATGTCAGATAGAATGCCCGATGGTATGCCAGATAAAGTGCCAGAATGTTTGCGAGAACATATGCCAGAAGATTTGCCAGATAGAATGTCAGAAGATATGCCAGAAGATATGCCAGATAGAGTGCCAGAAGATATGCCAGAACATATGCCAGAAGATATGCCAGGTAGAATGCCAGAAGATATGCCAGATAGAATTCCAGAAGATATGCCAGAAAAAATGCCAGAAGATATGTCAGATAGAATGTCAGAAGATTTGCCAGCAACAAAACGTATAGATGTCATGGTGGGAATAACTCGAAGTAAAGTAAATGTTATTATTATTATTATCATCATCATTATTATTAATATTATTTTTATGCATATACTATATATATATACATACAACAACTGTAAATATTATATCATTTAAATTGTAGGTTACCTTATATGATACTGCAATACAGTTGAATGTTGCATCCATAAAAACGAACATAACCCAAAACAGACAATTTCAGTGGGAAGGTACACAAAACCGCCACTTGTGTTGAAATCCATTGCGTTGTTCTTTGACTTATTATCTCCAACAGTGTCATACAATCGATCCATGGCAGCTACACTGCCGCCAAAGTGGTGGGCAGTCTTTGCTAGCCGTGCTGCGCCAGCATAGAATTCTAGGACCTGATATTCACGACCATTGTTGGTCAAATCAACGGGCTCCAGATATCCAATCATGAGAATGATGAGCAGCAGCACCTAGGTTGTCAGTGGAGGTATCTATCCAACCTAACCCTTCATGATGATTGACATTGACTGACTGGAACACGATGGTTGAACATGAGTTTGACTAGGCACTTTGGGCGCTCCGAGCCAATGGAGACGGTGGAGCATAAGATCAATCTTGGGATGGATTTCATCGGACACCATGTCTTACACGTTCAAGAGTCCAAGGTGGTCTAAGTTTGAGTTTCAAAATGCTGAGGAAATAGGGATTGGACCCCATGGCATCAAAGGATGTTTGCCCGTTGAACCATCATGGTGGAACACATGACACGCAGGTAAACCCATCCGTGCTTCAGCAGCAAACCCGCCAGGGATACGTTCAAGTTGTTCTGCAACCCCGTGCTTCGCGTAAGCAGAGAGGCCCCTCCGCAGCCTCACCATGTACCTGGCAGGAGGGAAAGATAGGGCACCAAAGAAGTATAGCCAACTTTATTAGAAACCGACACATGGATGAGATGGACCGTAAAATTTCATTTATTGCGACCGGGTATAAACATCAAGACCATATGTGCCAATCTCAACATTTGTCATCACCAACATTCATCAACCCTCAACTTTTCCTTTCTTCCTCCGTTGATTTTTTGTGTCAAGCCACTTGATTTCACAGCTGGTGACATTGTGTCGAAAGCTAGGTTCACATATCAGTGCCAGCAGTTCGCGCTGAAGGATTGATGTTGGTAGCTGAAGTTTGGGTCAAACAGAATGGCAAGTCTATTAAGATATGGAAATGTTGGGGACTTTCATGATTACTTTTGGTTCTGTTTTGTAAGCACCCAGACTCCAATCCAACATCAGGGAACGAAGCAAACTAGGCAGCTAACCCCATAAATATCAAATCTTCGTTTGATACATACCCAAAAAGCAATCTTGTGACCAGCATCGCAGTTCACTCAGTGTTGTCGATCATCATACCTTGGATTGGAGGAGGTTTGGAAACTGAAGGGTGGTCAGTTGAAGGCTTTGTCTGAAGGGCGGTCAGGGGCGGTCCAATGTATTTACTGCCTTCCCTTTAAGTTCCTTAAGGTGCCCCCCAAAAAATGATTCTATTTGGGTCGGGCTTCCTTTCACGCCGTCCAGCATGAAGAACGATTCGACACATCCCTCGAAGAAGTGGTCGAAATTGGAGATGTGATGGGAGGCATCCTTCTGCATCTGCACGCAATGGGTCCAAAATGGGTCCTTTCAGGGATAAATAATTACAAACCAAACACGTTGGACACTAGCATTTTTTAAAACTACCCCCTTTAAAATTCCATATCCCTTCAAAATACCATACCCCTTTACAAGTTCAACTAAGTAATTTTGTCCACACCAAGACCTCCAGGCTTGAAGGTTTATCGAACATCGGTGCCACACGGGTGTTGAAGGTGATCTTCAAACTATCCCATCGCCTCGCTGCCTCTCCCCTTTGGGGACGGGCACGCCTGGCAAAAGTTGCCTTCTCACCCTTCTCCTTCCCAGGTGTGTTCCCACCTGCCTCACCTTCATCCCCTGCCCCATCCGTCTTGACCTTGGCCTTCTTTGCGTTTTTTTTGCCCTCCCCCTGAGTATCCTTTGCCTTCCTTTTTTCCTCAGCCTTCAACTCCTTTGCCTTCCTTTTCTCCTCATCCTTGGCTGCCTTGGCATCCTCCTTTGCCTTCCTTTTTTCCTCATCCTTGGCAGTCTTGGCATCCTCCTTTGCCTTACTTTTTTCCTCAGCCTTCAACTCCTTTGCCTTCCTTTTCTCCTCATCCTTGGCTGCCTTCGCTGCTTGCTTCTCCTCAGGCGTTTGCTTCTTGCTTGCTGTTGCGCGAGGCTTCTTTGCAATTTTTTCTTCTCCTGGTGCATCCTCAGTGTTCCCTTTCTGCTGTTCCTTGTCCTTTGCCTTCTTGACGCTTCCCCTAGCCTTAGCCTGAGACTTTGTTTTTGCTCGCGCGTTCTTACCCTTTGCCTTTGCCTTACCTTTGGCCTTCGCCTTACCTTTGGCCTTTGGTTTCTTCACCTGCCCATCCCCTGGCTCCTCACCCTGTGGATCCTCAGCCTCTGCCTCAGCCTGTAGTTGCTTATCTTTCTTCATCCGGTTTCTTTCCTCCATTTGATCGGTTCTAGCTGTGACTTCGGTAGAATGGAACAAAGATTCGGCCGGTTTCAGAGTTGGCATGGTATCAGGTGCTGGGAGAGGTCTCTCAGTCTCATCCCCTGCGATTGTTTCCATTGTTTTTCCCTCTGGGATTTCTGGGTCAGAGCTTGAGGGGACAGGGGGACACCTTGTCAGCTTGGCAACCCCATCATCAAGTGGAACTTCCTCATGACCCCCTGGCTCAGCATAAGCTTTTGCGAAGGGGGAAAGGTCCATAGGCAACGTCTCAGCATTGGGATCCAAATTGTGCACTGGCTCTGCAGGCACGCTGGAGCTTTGCAACGGGCGAGCGCACTTCGCCAAGGCGATTCGATTCCTGGGAAGCGACTGCTGATGGAGATTAAAGTGGATATGTTATATGGAATTAAAACGAATACATGATTTTAAAATGTGGGGTGAAACCAAAGGCGATTTATGCACAGGGGTCAAGTAGTCAAGTTCCATAGTATATGCTGTCTAGAAACTCAATGTCTTTGATTCGTTGTCGGACATCTTGAAGGGACTCTTTGGGTAGTGCTTTTGTGACTTCTGGGGATTCTGGCACACAAATCACCTCCTTCTTAGCCATGTCATGGTCCAACTCTGGAGAAGGGGGCATGTCATGGTCTAACTCGGTGGAGGCGATGCTCGAGCTGGACTTGCCCGGGGCCAAGTTGACAACAGGGCTGACAAGGCTTTCTTGGGGTCCATCACTGAGAACAACTTGTGGCGAGGGTTCACCAACATCACTGGGCAAAACTGGTGGCGAGGGTTCGTAAAACTCTGGGTAGAGATCCGATTGGACGAGGGTATCATCTAAAACCTGGGAATCATGTAGTGGTTCAACAGGTTCAGCCATGACATTTGCATCCCCCATTGAATCATCGGGAACTGCACCAAGTTCATGGGCCACGGCCGGTTCAGCCTCCACTGCGTTGGCTTCAACCTCCTGGAGATTCAAGTAAACGTCACTGTCAAGTGCAGGAGTGTCAAGGGGATTTTCAGTAGCTTCACCATGCTCATCAGAAAGGGGCTGGGTCTTCTTGGTCATGACCGGCCAATGCTTCGAGACACCTTCAAAGATCATGTTGATAATTGGATCCTGATAGCTGAAAATATTACAATGGATGGCCACACAGGTATTTCAACAACCAAGAACAGTTGAAAAATCACAACAGCTCGTTAAAAAATGAGTGGGGGAAGCGCTTTCAAGGGATTTGGAACAGACCATAATTCGGCAGGGTTCTCTGCGGCGGGATCCATCATGTCGTCTGACCACATATGTAACGAAGCTCTTGATCGATGAGGCATCACAATTCACTTTGACAACATCTGGTGGCAACGCAAGTTTGGAACGAAGTTTGTCCACCTGCATGGGGGGTCAAAAAGAAGTTCCCATTGTGTTGAATTCATGGCTATGGGTCTCGAACTTTTTTGAAAACTTGAGAACAATTTCGGTATATTTGGATTACAGTTGACACCAAACTTCAGGCCTGATCCCTCATATCATCAATGCAAACCGTCTTGGGGACTTCGACTTGCGGCGCCCAAAGCTCAAGCACGTGATTCAAGACAGTGGAGTTGAGCCTCATGGTATCAAAGTTCACAACCCCCTTCTGCTCGGGAGATGGCCATTGCAGCAAGCTACCCTTGTGCAAAAGCAAGGTTCGGAGACCTTCGTCCCCATTCCACTTGTTTGCAAGCCCCTCTAGGGAAGGGGTGGGGTCTACCTCTTCGTTTTCTACAGCTGCCATGTTGGCCACTGGCAGCCAAAGCAAACCTAGCTGGTGGGCCAAAATGGACTGCATAGCTTACAGTTGAAAGGAAATTGAATAGGACAACAAACCATCAAACAAACCTACTCCACACAGCCCCCTGAAGGCGCACTTCGTAGAGTTCACAAAGACAGCCGCTGACCATCACCATCATCTCATCACCTGCGTGGGGAATAGTGCTGGAAAAGCTTATTGTACTCATAATATGTCGACCTAGTGGCTGTTTTGAAATCCCTTTTTAGGCTCACATGTTCCTTTTACCCCAGGGCGAAAAGATCCCCGTCATCCACCCAACCGGTCACTGCTCTTGCAGCTGCTTTAAGGCCCGGATCACTGGCCACCTGAGAAGCGGCATCGCTTGGAGTGGCAGTGGGGGGAGCGATGGAAGAACAAAGGGCCAATTCAAGTCAACATCGGCCAGATTGAATTTAGCAAAGATACATCCCCACATCTTGGCAATGCTAGCCAAGTAGTAGGCTGTTCCACCAAGCTTGTAGTTCACTAAAATGGATGCAACTCTGTCTTGGGTAATCTCGTCCTTAGAATCTACATATGACAAGATCAGACTTGCTGGGGCGGTTTCCAAATGAAGTTGGTGCACCCGTAACGTAATTTGTTTCCAAGAATCCTTCTTGTCATCAAAAATAATACGCTGCACCTCATCCCACCACTTCTTTGGGAAATCCAAAAGGCCTTGCCAAGACCGAGCGGGCAAAGAATATAGATATAACATATTATAACATATTAAAAGATGAGACATTATGTAACCGTTTTCTTAGACCTATGATGAACTTGAATAACAACATCATATTGGCAAATCAGGCCTTCGGTGATGAGCTCTTCAATGGTTCCAGGTTCAAGATTAGAAAACGAAACCGCCATTGCCACCAAAGCTTGGGCGAAGCTAGGCTGGAACCAAGTACAAGCTGCGATTTAGCAGGTGGAAAAAGTCTACAGAACCAGCATTCCACACCATTCAAAACTCTCAAAGCAGGTGCACGGCGTGGTGGGTTGGCACCTCCAAGAAACTGGGATAAAGCTGTCTGATCAACAGCTCTTAAGATTGATCCCAATGGCTGCAAAAGGGCAAATTCCCGCCTGAATGGCAATTCTTGCCCGCAGGCTATTTTTCAGCCCGACTTGCTAATAGGCTACTATTCTGATTCAGGCTCAAATTTTGAGTCAAATGGAGTTTGCAGGTATATTTCATATACGTACACCCCATAATGTATATATATACAGATACATACGATACCATGTACTAGTACCGTACCATACCATTCCATTGCTACGTACAGATCCCAATAGATCCCATGGTCCCATCATTCCAATGATCCCATGGGGCCCCTTTCGTCTGACATATACACCATATGTTATTGGTCATAATTTCCCCAAATGAGTTCCCATATATATCTATATATGTATTTATATATATATATATGTTTATATATATATATGTTTATATATATATATGTACTGTAGTGGTTTCTTAAAATGGGGGATCCACAAAACCATCTTTTTTATGGGGGATACTCAGATGGTCATCCTTGACTTGGATGATCCGGGGTACCCCCATGACTTCGAAAACCTTCATTTGGGGATATGATTATAAATATATGGTACATTATGATTATGGTATATTATGGTGATATATATATATAGCCCAAATGATATACCATATCCCCAAATATATGGTATATTATGGTATATTTATGGTGTATGTATGTATATATATATATATGAATGATTATATATGATTATATATGATTATATATGATTATATATGATTATATATGATTATATATGATATATGATGATATACGTATCATCATATCCCAAATGATCTTCCAATCATCCAAAATCGCCGAGGCACTTCCCAGAGTTCCCTGCAGCACCGGACACGTGAGACCTGCGCAGAGATGCTGCGCCAGCTCCACATAGCAGCGCTCCGTAGCGGGACAGATCAGCTGATCGCCTGTCCGACGTTCCCCGGAAAAAAGAAGGGTTTAACAGGGATTTAATGGACATATAGTGGGAATGTAATAATGGGATTTAATGTGATTTAATGGCATTTAATGTGATTTAATGGGATTTAATGGGATTTAATGTGATTTAATGGCAATGGGATTTAATGGGATTTAATGTGATTTAATGTGATTTAATGGAATTTAATGGGATTTAATGGGATTTTTACTGTTATTTAATGAAATTTAATGGGATTTAATGGGGTTTGATGATGAATATGCCAAATATACTGGGGAATACTGTAGAATCATGGGAATACCGAGAGGAAATAGAGTGGGAATTTAATCATGTGATTTAATGGGATTTAGTGGGATTTAGTAGGATTATAGTGGGATTTAGTAGGATTATAGTGGGAATATACTGGAATTTTAATGGCATTTAATAAGAGGATTAAATGTGATTTAATGGGATTTAACCAACAATAATAGGAATATAGTGGGAATGTAAATCCCAACTGATCATATATATGGTTCATGGTCATCTATCATGGTATATCGTATGGTAATCCCTGTTTTCATATCATGGGTCATCAATAATATAATGGGTCTATGGGTATACCCTCTGGATTGATGCCTATCTAGCCCATCCACCAATATGGATGTATATTTCATTGACCATGGCACGTATGGTGTTTAAGGCTGAAGATGAATGAACATGAGGAATGGGTGGTTTGTTCATGTGTTTGTTGCTTTCTGTTACATGGTGGTGTTTAAACGTCAAAATTGCGGATATTAATTAAGCCAGTATGGTTCAATTCAGAATTGGGTTATGGAAATTCAAAACCAGAACCTCATCAACGCAATAAATGTGGAGATGGGTCGCACAAACAGCCTTGGAGGGGCCAAACAAAAATGGGATACACAGCGGGAGTGGCTCAAATGGTCGACCCAACAAAACAGGCGGTTTTATATGAGCCATTGAACATATCCCTGTCCCATCTCATTATACAATAGTAGTTGATTGAGAGTTTTTCCTACTATGGCTTTTCACAATTCCTAATGACCTTGGTAGTATAACTCCCTATTTCATAACCAATCAACCGGATTATTTTCAATTGCTTAATTACATGCTGTGAAAGTAAGTATTATCACAATGAATAAGCTCTATATATAGTGTCAAAACATGTTCGCTGCAACCTGGACGTTTGCCCGGAGTTGATGTCCCGTAATCAACGTATTGTTCAGAGGGGGTGGCTAATTTTGATCCCTCATGAAGATAAAGTTGATGCTATTTCCCCCAATCAACATATTGTTCTGAGGAGGTGGCCAATTTTGATCCCTCATGAAGATAAACATGATGTTGTTAGCCCGTTCAGCATATTGGTCATAGGGGGTGACGGATTTTGTTCCCTCATGAAGATAATGTTGGTGTAATTACCCGATTCAACATATTGGCCATAGAGGGTGGCGTGTTGTTAGCCCGTTCAGCATATTGGTCATAGGGGGTGGCGGATTTTGATCCCATGATGATCAGGTGATATTGTTTCCTCATGAAAATAACTGTATTCAAGGTATCTTTCACATGCCACCGTGGCCTAATTTTCCCCCTTGGCCTTGCTTGCATTCGCAACTTCCCAGCAACACAGAATTGTCTCTGTTATGTCACAATGATGAGTCTGGGCGAACGTTAAGGTTGCGGACAACATGTTATAAAACTAGTGATATCATGTTAGTGTATCGTCAGTGGTATAAAACTAGTGATACTGGTTGGTGGTATACATACCCCTCTGAAAAATACGAGTTCGTCAGTTGGGATGATGACATTCTCATATATATATATATGCACAAAATAATCCAAATGTTCCAAACCACCAACCAGGATATCATGTTAGTTGTAAAACAAACAAACAAACACAAACACAAACACACAAACACACACACACACACCAATCAGCCCCTTGTTTCTTCGGTATCGATGGGGGTTTTTAAGGACTTGACCCTTTGTGGCCCCTGGCCACAAAGGCCTCCATAGAGTTCCCATCCAAATTCCAAGATCAAGGGGCCCAACCTCGCCGTTGCGGTGTCCCACCGGGATATAATTTGGGAATATTTGATGAGTATGGAAGATGTCATAATATGTTTAATGGTTTTTTCTGCCGAGATTTCGGGACTGGAAAATGGACATATAATTCCCTATTAATGGATTGCAATGATATATATATATACGCCGGTTAATATGAATGTGAATGTGAGACTCTCTGATCTCCATCTTGGGACAACATATGTATCCTTTCTGTCGTGGCAGCATCCTTTTGACACATCTGAGTTCGGTTATGTGCAAACGCAGTTTCGCAATGACTGCCAAGTGGATGGGCATTGTTTCGTAAGTAGTCCGTTTGCATGTTCTCGGGTCCAGGTTAAACAAGTCCCAACATATCGTGCTTGTTCACAAGGAAAACATTCATTTATATGAGTATGTCCTTTGATTTACACACGTGGTTGTTTTTTTGTTCAGAAGAACAATGTATTGGGCCATCAAAATAATGGATTTCCGGTAATGCTTCCCTCCACTAGTGGGATGTTCATTACTGTCTTAACCCCACTTAACTTGGGGGTGCTGTTCGGGTTATTGATGAAGATAGCCACGGGTAGTTTCCCCTTTCAGCTCAGTACCTCTATGACTCTATAACTATGATGGACTGACAAATTAGTAGCCTCAACTTATCCCAACTTATCCCAACTTAACTATGATGAACTTTTTGGTGGCCTAAAAATCTCCCAACTCATGGATCTTATGCGTAAAATCTGGTGTTTAGCCCATTGATCTGACCATCGCCCCTGACCAGCAGACCCCGGGTTCCCGGACTCCACGGCCAAACTCTCGGTGGACCGCCAGGCCATTCGCAGGAACTTCAACTCATGGGCCTGAAGCGATCACTGGGAAGTATCAGTCAAGGGGGGTGAACAAAAAGATGCTGGGAGGTCATGAAAATATTTCAACAATATACTGCATAAAAAATCGATCATGAAACTAGTTATATAATAGTTGCTTCTTCATCCATTATATAATAATTCATGAACAGCTAATGAAAATAGTTAAACAAATTTAAACAATATAGTTCATGAACATAGTTCATGAAAGTATGTCTAATCAACAGCTTCAACAGATTTGGGGATTGAACACACTCATCATTTGGACTAGAATATATAGTTTCGACCAACAAAAGTGAGGATTGACACAAGAATAATTGGGATTTTAATCAACAAAAATGGCGATTCAATCAACCTAAATATGACTCGTTGAAATATGTGTTCAATACCAATGTTTAACAACTTATTTGTGGCATGAGACCTGAACATACCGACTTGTGAACTTGTGGGTTATAAACCAGGTATTGACTGGGATGCTCTTGATTCTGGTATATGCCGGTATCTGCACTGTTACATACTTATGCATGTATGATGATATTTCATTTTCTATGTATATCATTGTATATCTTTGTATATCTAGCCACATCAGTGCACATCCATCTACATTTATGGAGGTTTCTTAATTAAGTCGTTTTCCAAATCCCCATTCCTCACCATGTTATTGGATTTATACCAGAATGATTTATCCAGTAAAATTCATCCAATAGTTAATGGTTATACCATTAAATCCAAGTAATTCACCAAGTCATGGTCATAGTCATGGTAATAGTTAATGGTTAAATCCAATTAAGTTCATGGTAGTACTTAATGGTTAAATCCAATAGTTAATGGTTAATTCCATTAATCCAAGTTAATGAACTAGCTAATGGTCAAATGACTTGGATTAATGGATTAATGGATTAGTTAATGGATTACCATCTGGTTATTTAACATAGCCATGGAAAATGACCCATTTATAGATGATTTTCCCAGCTAGAAACCTCCATTTATGAGGGATTTTCCATGGCTATGTTAAATAACCAGAGGGTAAGTCATTAGTAGTTAACTAGGTTCACCAAGTCACGGTCATCCACGACATCACCAAGACACCTCGTGGCGATGCTCTCTGGCTCGACCCAGGACACCACGAAGTTCCAACATCAACATGAGGGCCGCACCTGACGCTTGTTTTGATCTGATTTCATGGGATTTAGTAGGATTTACTGGGAATTTAGTAGGGGAATATGATGAAATAGAATGGGATTTACCCTTAAACTTACAACAAACTATGGAAAATCACCATGTTTAATGGCTAAATCATCTATAAATGGGGATTATCAAGAGCTGTAGTTAGTTTACTGAAGGGTAATACCTTGTAATACCATGAAACATGGGGATTCAGACCAAAAAATCAACAGATATGGGAAACTTGGGGTCATCCCATCAACAATTTGGCGTTGCCCCTGCAGTGCTGGAGCTGTAGGACGGTCCGGATTTTTTCCATGGGGATTCAACCACGGATTCAGCCATCAAGGATCATAAAAAAAGGATCCAAAACCAAAGAAATACACGATTTTATGAAGCCAATTTAAAGGAATAACAACAAATATGAGTTGAATTATTGGAGTAGCATTGCTGAAAAGATTGGTGGTGTTTAGTATGAGTCCTCGAAAAAGCTGGGGCAATGAATATGTGTTCCAAATCTTGAGTTTTAGTTCCAGTTCCGTATTTCAAAGCCATCATGTCATTCCATGATATTCCTGATATTCCAAAATCACTCATCTGGAAAATGGGTCAAGCCATTGAAGCACCAGAAGGGCCCAGAGATTTGAGTATATGTTTAGTATTGTTTAGTGTTAAACATCTAGTCATTGGGCTACACAACTTTGACCTACAACCACTCTGATACGTCTAAACTCATCAGAGCCATCAAGAATACCCCTATCCAATCATACTGGTTAGTGAATAGGTTTCCCGACTATGGATCATCATATAATTTACATAATCCCTCTTAAACCAGCAAAATATAGTAGAATCCCTTATAATAACACATCCACAATGAACATTTTTAATACCCTCTGGTAAACTAACATAGCTATTGAAAATGGCCATTTATAGTGAGTTTTCCCAGTAAAAATGGTGATTTTCAATAGCTATGTTAGTTTACCAGAGGGTAGCTCATCTGATATTCATCTCTGGATTTCCAGCACCAGTGGCCCCAGCCTGCACATGCCTTGGAGGCAGCACTGTTCTGCGCCACCTGTGACACCAATAGGACAAGACATCACAACATGGGTTTGATGGGACAAACATATAGGCTATACCTATAAAATAGCAATAAATAGCAATACCTATATATACAATATCAAAATAGGGGATACCAATAAATAACCGTTTTAGTAGTATTAAGAGGGAACATGATGAAAACCCATTGGAATTGAGGATATCCTCATTTTCAGACAAACCCATATTCCGTTAATAGTCTGTATATTGTCTGTATAGTGTGTGAAAACTGACCCATCCACAAAATGAGTGGGGATATCCCGGCACCAAGGAGTCTCGCCAGACCCCATGCTGATTTGCACCATTCTGTTTACATCATGTTTAAGGTTGGCAAGGTCCTTAAGAGAATGACACCCCATTTCTTGATGTCAGCAAATGTGATGCTTCACCATTCATCAGCCTGCGGCAGGAAATCTCAACTGCTTTATCTCAAACTTCAAGCTTTGTCTCCCAGCCCATCCAGCCCATCCAGCCCTTGCAGCCACCTCTTCCTTCAGCCGGTGTTCCAGGTAGGCATTAAGCAGCTCAAGAGACTCTTCATAACTGGACCTCAGTTGGCTAAAGCCATGATAAAAATGGTGAAATTCCCATTGAACATGGGGATTTTCCAGAGCTATGTTATGCTATGTTGAATGACCAGAGGGTTGTGTAGCTATGATTTGCTAATAGATAATTTTAAGGTTTTTCCTTGGAACACCGGAAAATGAGTAAACACTGCACCTTTTTCGCATGAACCAATTCGGCCCAGATGCCATGCTTCCACAATGTAGGTCCAGCGAATCCGTTCGGCTGTCACCGCTACGTGCTCGGGAATCTGATCCCTGCGACATGTGCCATTCAGTTGACCATAGATGATCAGGAAGTCGTGTTTATTCATGTTTATTCCATCAAGTTCCGGATGATCATGGCATAATATTGCATTTTTTGTTGTGGTGCTGCTATATTTTTCCTGTAAACCAAGTCTCATAGCCATTGGAGCCCTAGAAAGTGACTCTTTCTGCAAGTTGAGCGCAACAATGTGAGCACATCAGGTCAGGTGAGTCGGAATCACTGAAATTCCATGAAGTGGAATCAATGCATGAGCAAAGAAGTATGTCAAATATGATCAACTATGGCTCAAATCCCTGTACCCCTGCTGTTCTCATCAAACTAGTCCATTGTCATTCATCTTCATTTTCCGTAGGAACATCGCAGATGACGCATCCCCCCAAAAAAATCCAACAGAACAAGTTGATCCCGGCAGCTCTGAGTCGCCTTACAAAGCGTTGTTCCAAGCTTTGCTTCTCGATGCTACATCTGGGTGGAGCCAAACACGCAAAGCACTTTTGTCAAGGACTTGACCATCATTTATTTAATTGGATTTTCATGGGGATTTAATAGGGATTTCATGGGGATTCCATGGTTTAATGGTATAGTTTTCGAACACTCTCATATCTCATAATACTCTCATATCCTTTTGGTTTCAAATGTTGAGGATGTTGCTTATCCAATTGGAAACATCATGACTTGTCGCATCTTGTCGCTACGTGAGCACTTGCAACAGAACATGCAGAACCATATATGTAGGTCAAAAGGACAAAACGCGCTTCGTTCCATAATTTTCTCCCCGTTGTAATCAAAGGGATTCAATTCAAATCATTATTGCTGGAAATCATCAACATCACTATGATCTGAAAGGCAGGTAAGCCCCCAGAATCAAACATTCTGGTTATTTAACATAGCTATGGAAAATGGAAAAAGCTCCATTTACAGATGATTTACTGTATCTATTTAGAACATAGAGATAAAATTAGATAAACATCATTAACATATCTAACTACAGTTATTGATAATCTCCATTTATAGATGATTTAGCCATATTTCGCCATTCAACATGGTGATTTTCCAGTTCGCTCTGTTCACCCGAGTGACCTCAGCTGTTCCAGCTCCGTGCTCCGCCAGTGCTGTGGTGACTCCTGGCGAGGCTGTGGCTGGAGATCCCATTCAATCCATATCATCCATCATAGCAAAATCATATGGCAGTGTGTCAAAACCTTGTACCCCAGGTGAACATCAAAATAGCTGGTAAATGGATGTTCATCCCCCTAAAAAGGTATTAATAGGTATTGATCCATACCCATATCAAGTGGAATCCCATGAAATATGGTCATATCATGTCATATCCTCATTTTTCCCCATGTTCGATGGTAAACCACGTGTGTTTGATTGTTTTTTTTTTTTTTTAACATAGGGTGCCCTATTCCATCAACCGGTTCATCATTGTCTTGCCTATTGAAATTGATATTCGGGGTATACCTTATGATGTTTCGAACACACCCAAACAGTTCTACTTGGTTATACATCCCATTACATCCCTATTGTTGATGGCCAATCCCACTAATTAGTTAAATCACATGAACTAATATTCCATATTCATCATATGGGGTTTTCCTGACATGGGGGTACCCCAAATCATGCAAAATTAGATCAGTTTACTATCGAAACCTATGGTATTGGGGATCCTTCATTTTAAGAACCCATCCATATATAATTTTCAGTGATAAATCATGATGATATAGAACCAAGCTCAGTATCAATTGAGGAAAGTAAATGTCGATAAATCATGATAAATCCTACATCACAAAACCATAACTAACAGAACCCCCATGACTTGAAAAAAGCCCCAAAAAAATCGTGAGAAATTCCTAGTTGTTTTTTCATGGTTGATCCGATACTCCACAAAAAACTATGACAATCCCATGGTTAATCCCCTATATCTGTTGTTTCATGGTTTGTTGATGTTTACATTCATATCAAACCATCAATGAATCTATTGTTGATGGATAATCAATGTTGATCCCCAGATTAACCATCATTTGGTCACTTGGTCAAATGTCTAAGACATGGCAAGAAGCAGCCAGACTAGTGCCTTTTTGTGACCCTAAGATATCAGTCACCCAGTTTCCATCCCATGGGCACCTCGCGCAACAGCGCGGCAAAACTGCGAGCGACACTCTGTTCAAGTCGATGGAGCCACTCCTGGACCCGGTTTTTCGTTCGGATGGGGAGCCATCCAAAGGGAAGCCACCAAAGATACCAAAGGTATTTTTCGGGACTCATGGGATATTTTAACAGTGTACTACAATAGGAATATCATGATATGAAAGAAAAATATAGGGAATATGATTGATGTAATGGGAATGTAATTGATATAATGATATATAATGGTGCTACTCCAATCCCGCTACTATTAAATACCCTTGGAAACCACGTTTTTTTTTTTTTTATTGGATCTCTTCATTCGGGGCCCACATGGGGGCGACAAAATGTCAAATGCCAATATTGCCATGTTGGACAAAGGGTCCAAGATATGTCAGATAAAATACCAGAATACATGTAACATATTGTAAAACAAGATGCCACATAGAATGCAAAATAAAATGTTGGATAGAATATCAGATAACGTGTCAGAATATATGTCCGGGAATATGTCAGATAGATTTCCAAATGGCAGATAGAATGTCTGGTGGGGACCACTCGAAGAGAGTAATTGTAGTTTTCTGATTTTCTTGTGAAAATGTCTGAAATAGGTTCTGAAACATACACTTAAAATGTTTGTTTGTTTTTTTCCAAGTATCTCGTCGTCGTGTCTTTTCCAAATGAAAAACAACAGCATATCCATGTTCACCCAGATTATTTCTCCGTTTGAGGATTTGGGGGTCCCAAAATTGCCAAAGACCCACTGGACAAAAACATGGAACCTATAAATTTGTAGTCCATGTAAGTGTATAATACATAGTATATATGTATATATATATATATTATATGATATATACATAACATAATATAATATGACAAAATATAATATAACATAATATAGTATAATATAATATAATACAATATAATATAATAAAATATACTATAATATAATAACATAATATGTACATATATATATATATACATATATATATATACATATATATATATACACATTGTATTGTATATATATATACATTATATTGTATAATATTGTATATATACATATACATGTTATGATCTGTTGAAGAAACCCTCTCGCGAGTTGTCTTGAGCACATCAAAGTGCAAGTATCATGTTGTTTCGCTGCTGACCTGCAAGGGAAGATGCAGTGGGACGGCTTGCAACCTGAGCCGTGGTGAAACCGATGATGTGAAACGCCAAAGATTTTGAACCAAGGAAAATGGGAGGAAGCAACAACAAAGGAATGTGAGGCAAGTTGAGGCAAGATATGTACTAGAAAACTGGGGATGCCAACTTGGAACTTGGATATACTTGGATCTTGATGGTTTCAAAAGATTTCAAACAATCCAATTGAATGGTGGGAAATGCTACATGACCATGTGCCAAAATTGTGGACATCAAAGAACTGTATCGTTGACTTCAATGGCTAGCTTATCAATGTATATTGATCTGTGATCCATGCCCTAAGACTCAACCAACATCCCTGGCAAGTTTCATCCTCTTCATCTGATGGCAATACAATCCCCAAGTCATAGGACATTTAATATCTATCGCAGTGGCAACATGTATTGAATGTATTGTTGTATAACAGCCGCACTTATTCTTACCCCGCGTTGTTTGTGCCTGATACCCTCTGGTAATTTAACATAGCTATGGAAAATGACCATTTATAGTTAATTTACCCATTAAACATGGTGATTTTCCAGTTCCCAATGTCAAATTAACAGAGGGTATTCCCCCTTGAAATGGAACATCTCACCCCGGCTCGGCCAAGTTTTGATAACAAGGGGCAGCTGCAAAGGAGGTCCACTTGTCTCAGCTGCTGTGATCATCCAGTCACCTCGGAGATCCCGATAGGTCTGGCAGAACTTCCACAGCAACAAATGTTGAAGATTGCAGGTCCTCAGGTATCAACCGTTTTTGGGCAATACTTTGTTGAAAATTGTAGGTATCAAGCTTCCAGGTATTTATTGGGCTTCACAATACTTGGGGTCCAATAAACATTTTTTTTTTGAACAGAGATTTTCACAGAGATCATCCGTATGGAGGTGACATGAGGTGACCATTTGGTCATGGGGGTACCCCCAGTCATCATCCATGAAAAAAAAATCTGGTCAAATTTTTATTTCGATGGGATTTTCCATAAGAACCCCCATCCATTTTAAATGGATCCATTGGAAAAACCCATCCATTTTTAATGGATCCATTGTAAAAACCATCCCGGTTTCGAGCGTCGCTCCATCCGAGCCAGGCGCTATGTGCTGTCGCTCGTTTCGATGCCAGGCGCTTGCATGATGAACGCTGCTCTAAACCTGGAAGCTTGGAGCCCCTGAGGAACTCCACAGCAATGGATGTTCAATGGGATCTATAAGATCAGGGTACATCCCAATTTATAGGTGGTAAATGAGCTCCCAATATGGTATAATAAGGTTTTAATCCATCCCTGAATTAGAAAACATCCCGGTACCATCCAGATCCAGATTGCGGCACATGAATTTTCCAGCTTGGGTTTGGGACCCTGAAACATCCAAGTGTATTTCGCAGTAGTGCCCAATGCCCTCTACACCAGAACTACTGATTGCTCGAAAAACCTGAGGAAGAGGCGAGGCCCCCAGGGGGCACGGAAAAGGATATAGAAGTGCCCGGAACTCGTTCTGTTCTTGCACAGCTTGAAACCACTGGAAATAGACGGGTCAAATTTCTACGAAAACCTCCCCAATTCGCCGAATCACTCAGCCCAAAATCAATCGATTTTGGTCCACAGAATTCCCCGAAATCACCCCATTTTCTCAAGTCAATCAGCATTTTTCGTTGTTAGATCCTGGTTGTTTCCGGTTCAATCCGCATTTCTGTTGATAGCTCCATGTTGTTTGGCCCACTCCACCTGGTGTACTGCCACTCTCCAAATGCCGGGTAAAGGTGGCAGCGCTCCATCCAGGGAACAGCTGTGGAATGCAGCGGCTCCTACAGCATTCATCACCACGATTTGCCAAGGATTAGTGTGGGTGATTAGTGGCAAATCCTATTGTTATAGTACTTAGTGGAATGATATTGTGGAATGATATTATCTTAGTGTATCCCAATCACTACCTATATACCTATAGATTAATTAGTGGTATATTCAAATTTAGTAATCCTGGGCTTAGTATATCTAGAATTCGATGCTTGATCTGCAAAAACACAAATATACCTCGACCCTCCGTTTGCCCCCATAAAAAAAAACAAAAAACAAATAACCACAGAATGTGTGTACTTTGACCATTCTCTTGGGGTATTGGGTGGGTCTAGGTATAGATTTCTTTGGGAGATGTCACGGGATTTCATGGAATTTCATCGAAGCTGCCCCAGTTCCGAACGCCTCAGTTGGCATAGATTTCTAGGTTAACTGTTGGAATTATGGTGAAGAGTAACTTACTATGTATACATATATATATATATATACAGTTAGCTGGGTAAACATAAACCAACATAACTGGGGGGCACCAGCTTGTAACAACTTATCTCCGTGGCGAAAAAGCGACGATCCTTCGACCATTACCACTTCACTACCGAAAAGTGTGTTTGGCATACAAAGGATAGAACATTGGAAAATCTGCTGAAACTGCAGTAGTCGTTCTTTTTAATCATGTTTAATCTGTTTGGAGGGTTCCAGGGGGTTGCTATATATCGCTATATCGGCTATATCTGATTTGGTTGAGGCCTCACCAAATCAGCTGTGGAATGAGACATGCAACCCAGGTAAATCTGGGTGAATATCTGCGGCAAGTGAGCACTGTATAGATATGGCATAGACACAGACGGATCGTTTGGGTCATCTGTGACAAACAAACTAACTAGTGCAATACTAGTGCTGTATGCTTTCCTGTGCTTGAGGTTCTATGACACACACTTCACAAGAACAATATCTTTAATTGGTATGTGGGAATGCATCTTTCCTGCGAAAACAACGATTAATATCTATATAACGAAGGAGAACATGGAACCTCAAGCGCTGATTGCAATACTCCAATCAAACTACAAAATGGCTCAGGTGTTCTTGACTCCCGTGAAGACCAGCGAAAGGGTTGTTCAGATTCCATTGCTCGAAAAACGAAGCGTTTTACAGAATCCCAGTAGTAAACCATATCCGCAAGCTTTCTAGGTCCTTAACAAACCACAAACATATTAATATATACATACACATATAAACATACAAAACACACATATATATATATATATACGACAAATTCCTGGGCTTTGCCTGGAACCGCAACCACGACAGGCAACGCATCATCATCATCATCCTCATCATCATCATCATCGTCGTCGTCATCATCATCATCGTCATCATCATCATCATCATCATCATCACCATCATCATCCAACCCTTATTGAAGATCTTCAATGAATGTAAAGTTTAATGGGGGTGGGATTTTAATATTCCCTAGTACCTTTGTCAAAGTTGATCTTCCCAATCGAATGTAAAATTCAACGGGGGTGGGATTTGAATATTCCCTAATACCTCTGTTGATCTTCCCAATTGAATGTAGTCAAACGGGGGTGGATATTCCCTAATACCTTTGTTGATCTTCCCAATGGAATGCAGAGTTGCAACAACATTTGATTGGGAATGGGGAACCTCTACGCTGCAACGCCTGGGCAAAGCCCAGGCGTTGCGCATATATGTATATATCTATATACACATAGAAACATATATATATATATATGTATATATATGTATGTAAACATGCATGTATATATATATAAAGATATACAAAGATATATAAACATATATAAACATGTATAAACATGTATAATTTGTATATGTATGTGTGTACATATATATATATATATACAAGAAAAACAACATGGAAATACCATGACATACCCAGTTTTGTGCAGCTGCACGACATCAAGTGACACGATCTGCTGTTGCATCTTCACGTTGGCGGAGCTGGTCATCAGCTCCAGTAGGACCTTCAGCGAGGTGCCGCATGTCACAGTTGATCCTCTCCTAATTACTGATCCCATGGCCCAAAATCTGCTCATCCTGAAGAATGGTAAATAATGGTAAAGATGACTTCAGAAAATTTCAGCAAGATCCAATTTTAGCAATTAGAGATGAACCCCAAATCTTCCAGTAGATATTTCATGATATATATGTCCCATTGCCAGGTGACTTGGGACAACTCAACCCATTTTTTTTACACATGAGAGCCGTCCTGGCCATCAGTTACCGTCTGCGACCCGACCTCATCCTCCAGGTAGAACAAACGGAAGCAACGGCTTCGGAGGTCCTGGGCGGCTGGATGACACACCTCCTGGGTTGGATCCCACGGATATCTACCAACCACGTCCTAGTTACCTAGTCATAAGACGTCATAAACCAATTTGAGATCAGCAATTATTGTTGGGATAAGATCCACTTGAGGTTTGGTTCAACTACCAACCAAAGAGCATTTGGGGTAAGTGACTGACATCACGGTCTGTAGCAATGAAGCCCAGCGGTTTACAGTTGGTCATAAGCATGAGGCACACGTTTGTTTCAAAGCAACTTCAATCATGGTCAATCTTTGATAGTGCTCGTTATCGTCATTTTTCCATTTATGGCGAAAAACATCAAAAAACTATCTAGGATTAGCTTCTACCCATCCTATCGCTTGGGGATGGAGTAAACACCAACTGTGAGTTCTTCCACTGGGTCCAGTTGGTTTCCAGTCATGACAATCGGTCTACTCTCTGCTAAAAAATATGGAAACGGGAAAAAAAACAACATACAGTACATAAATCTACATGAAGATGTTCCGGTGCCCAGCTTAATGTCCCTTGCAGCAAAAAAATTCGACCCCGCCCTGTAACAGGCTGCATTTTGAAGAACCCCTCCTGCAGGTCTTGTCGAATTTGCATCTGCGCTTCAACAGAGGACTTGCGGGCCTGCTGGACAAGAAGATGGGGAGGTTCGAACACGGGGCATACCCCACTTGATGGCTTTACTAAACCATGGGTAGGAATGGAAATCGAGGACATACCGGGCTTTATGGCCAGTTTTATTTTGGTGACATGATTATTACTCACTTGGTTCTGGGGTACGCTATTCATGGACAAACCATGACAAATCCATAGCACTTTCTGCAAGTGTGACATCTCACATGATTTCATCATATTTCATAGCTATTGCTTACTGCTTGGCGCTTTGAAACCCTACAAAAGACTATGGCAGCATGCAGAGTTTGTCCACATTGCAGCTCGCAGTTCCAGATGTAATGGTGCGGATCAATCGCCCTATTTCCCATAATGTTTAATGTCACCATACTTATCGTATACTATCATATTCAATCATCCGCCACTATCATCCATCTTTTTTTCTATAGATACATTGGTGATCCCATACATATGCATATATATATATACCCTCTGGTTATTTCAATAAAAGGCGAAATATAGGATAATTTGAGAAACACCCAAAAACCACACCAAGTAACTTCTGGGGCCTCTTTTTCCTTGAGCCAAAATTAGTAACATTCGACGAGGTGAAAACCGACCCTTGTGGCTGGAATTCTTCTGTGCCCTCCTACGAGAATGTTCACCTGCAAGCTACGACACATGTTGATCAGGCACTGCAGTGGCAAGACTTGGTGACCTAAGGGCTCTTGCTGCATGAGACCTGGCTTGGACAAATATGCTCCTAATGAACCTATACATTGACCAAGGACAAGTGTGGGATATGGACAGGACATGCGCTTTAGGAAGTTTGGCCTGTTCGTCTTTGGGTGCTGCGGCCGCTGCTCCCACCACGCATGGATGACAGTACTAGCATACTAGTGAGAACTGGTCTCATATTCCAACTTAATTTTAGGAAAACAAGGCACTCTGCTGACAGGGCACGGATTCAACCGAGGCTCTCTGCCGTTTGCAACATGCAATTCCTCTTGCAACTTTGGTCCCTACCAAGGAGTGGCCAAAATGGCCTTCCAACACAAGAACTGATCAAGGCTGGCTCAACAAGGAAACGGGTCTATTTCGGGCATTGATATGCTAGTTCTTTTCTTTGCAAGGATCAAAAACTCCAATCATGTCCAAGGCTGCCGTCCACTTGTGGACCTCCAAGCATTTCGTGAACACGTCTACAGCCTGCTGCTCTGTTGGGCAATGTTGGATGCTGATATCCGGCTCTTTGAACGCATCATAAAGCCCCTGGACATCTATTTTGTGGGTTTTACCTAAATGTCTTAGGCGGGCAGAGTATCCATTTTTAATTACTTGTATGGTGGCAGTATTATCTTGGTGACATGTTAATGGAATTGTACTTCCAGGCAACTCTGACAAAAACTGTTGCGCAGGGATCGCATCATTAAACAGAGCAGTGGCCAGGGCAATGGCCTCGGCCTCTGTCGTTGATCGACTGCTTGCTGTCTGCCGTTTCGACTGGAACGAAATAGGGAAAAAGGATGAACCACCTGAGATTACAAGTACTGAGCCTGATGTCGAGTAACCATGGTCTGTTTTTGATGCATGGTCAGCATCTGTGAACAACCAAAGGTTCCATTCAGCATCTGGATCTAGTTTCAACCTCATCCTATATTGTTTTGTTCCATGAAGGTAGCTGAAGACCCTGAACAAACGTCTGTCATCATTTTTACTCCATTTCGTGATCCGTTTACTTAACTCATTCAGCGCATGAAGCAAGTCAGGCCGGCTAAGCCTGGCGAGCCAGTAGGCCTTCATAATCAGTTTGGCCGCTGAGTTGGCTAAGCTACCCTTGCTGTCCCAATCCTCTACTGGCAACGAACTTTCATCAAGATAAGGGGTTGGAGCTTTCTTGAAGCCTTTGAAGTCCTTGCATTCTTGCTCATATAGTTTGCACGTGACATCTGCAAACTCGTGCATGTCTAGCTGGACCTCTCCCTTCTTAATCAAGTGAGTTCTGCCTAGGACTTTCGAGACGTCTTGGGGTGGTTCGAAATGAAGATGGCTGGAGAGTTCATCCCAAAACTGCTGATGATTCTGGCTTGGGCCTGAAACAACTATGTCATCTACGTAAAGGGTGACTAATAATCCCAAACGCTCAATGACAAAGTTTGATGGAAACAATGGAGATTCAACTCCGCCAAGCAAACCCATTATCGACTTAAACTTTAAACCACAGTGTCCTCCTGACACCGGGTGCCCGTACAACGATTTGTGGAGCCTAGTGCATGGACGGTGCATCCACTTGAGATGGTCAGGGACTAACTCTTCGGGCAACTCGATGTACGTGTCATTCTCTGTCTGGAGGTCGCTCTGGATGTAAGCTTTGATCACATCGCTTTGAGATGTTTTGTTTCCTCTTTTCAGACCGAATGCCAGATTTATGTTCAATCCAGCAATTGTTGTAGGAATGATTTTGATTTCTTGGAATTCGCTGGCTAAACCAAAACTCGTCACGAACGTTGTTACCAAGAAATGCAATTCTGGCTTTTAGCCGTGTCTCTGATTCTGATTCGGCATTCTTCCAACTCATGATTGTCATGAGGCGTCCAATGGCGACCTTCGTTCCGCTTTGCCTAGCTTGACGCTCTAAATCATGCCTTTGGATCACATGCTTGTAATCCCATGTTCCAGCTTCAATCAACCCGTGAGCTTCCTTCTTGGCTTCATTTACTGCAGCTGGATCACTTTTCCAGACTTTCTTGTCGATAAGCTCATGAATGCCAAGAGGAATTTGTTCAGCCTCAACTTCTTTCGGAACGTGTGCTGGCTCTTCAGTTGTTGGCACGCAGCTCATGCTAGGGACAAATTTGTGGAACAAGTCGGGGAACAACGATGACATGATGCTTTCGCATATCTGTGTTGGATAGAATGCTGACTTTGGAGTTTTGGAACCACACAATGGCACATGCTTGTGGTCATCGCTGCATGTTTTTGTCTCAAGCATCGGATTAAACTGTCATCTGTTGATGCAACAGTCCAAGGTTTGAAAGAATCTCCGCCTACCATACATCCATTGAAATGTGCAAGCTGAAAATGGTTCGAGTTAAAGAAGTCCTGAAGTTCCTGCAACTGCCAACCAGAGCATCCTGAGGGCCACTCGAAATGAACCCTACCTCCACGTTTAAGGATGATTTCGGCAAGCTGGAAAAAGAACCGAAGGAGTTTCTTGCTCTCTAATCTCTGTGTCATCAATCTCCTACGAAATTCTGGACCCAACCTTTTCCAGTTGAGGCGTTGCCAACTGGACCAAGCATTGCAAGGAATTGATCCCCAAAGATCAACACCATTCATTGCATCTGAGTCTAAAACTTCGAGAAGTTGTGATTGCACTTCAAGCTCTGCAGCATTACCATTGGCTTTGGTAAGGCGAATGTGTTTTACACCAATAGATTCCGACACCTTTCCAAGATTGGATTGAGGGCTACAACAAAACTCAATCATAGCACCATAAGCTGGCAGCAATTTCTGGGCTAATTTCTTTCCCTTCTTTCCACCCTGGATGGGGCGCGGCAATGCCTGCTGCTCTCCACCCTTTGCGTCAAAAGCGCCACTCGGAACTTCATCGGCCTCAGGCAGAAGTTGAAAGATGGTCTTTCCAGTCCAGAACTCTTTCAATGTTTTGTTGTTCCCTTTCCAATGCTCATTAGTGAAGGTTTCCTCACTACCGCTCTCAAAGTACTTTACTTCGGTTATTCTAGCCCCAAGTCTTTTGGCTTTCACGGGAAGATCATCTGGCAACAAGGGATTAAAGAGCCTTTTGCGTTTGACGTGATGAAATCGAATCAGCTGATCTCCTTCAAGCTTCCACGAGTCAACACCTTTTGCAATGCCCTTGGGAAGTGCGAACTTACCCCCCTGATAAGCTTGTCAAATCTTTCCCTACAACTGGCTGTGTGATCTCCTTCTCCGTTTTCGCAGGCTGAGCATCCCGGACTAAAACCATGGTGCATTAATCTGGAAAATGTGATGGATTCATGCTTTGGAGGATCGGGTGCAACTGGGTCATCTAGGAAAACTTCTGGTTCGAGCAGGCCTTCCGATTCAGGTTGCACTACGTCATCAATTATCGTTTCCTCCTCCAATGCTCTAACATCATCTTCCAATCGAAGCACGGGTAAACTCTCCAAGGATTCTAGCTGTGATTTGACCGCTTCTCTTAAAGGAAACTTGTTTTCACCAGTTTGCACAACAACCATTGAAGTCAAAACTTGAAGACTAGCTTTCCCTTCCAACCATGACTTGACATTGTCAACATCACAAACCAAATAAGTGCGTTTCCAATGAATGCCTGCCTCTATTCTCCAACCAAGGAATAACCCTGCTGAGGTTTTCGCACCAAGTTTGGATTTTGCGACACTAGGCTTGTACCGGATAAGCGCTCCAAAAGGTATGTGGAGACCCTCAAACTCATGGCTGTGGAGCTCCTTCCATTTGCTAATGGTAGATGCCGTGGCTGCATACCGAATTGCCAACGGCCACAGTTCATTGAAAGTGCCTACCTGTACCAAACAACATTTGGTGATATCCTCAAGAGTTCTAATGGCTCTGTTGATGATTGCAGTTTTCCTGTACGGGACAGTCGCATCATAAACAAGACCTAACTGACTTGCGGTACCTTCATATTCCGGAGTGTTGTCTGCATGGAACTCAACCAATGGACACTTTCCACCAAAATGTTTGAGTGCTTTCACGCACTCTGCTTGGCTTTTGGAGGCCGCTGGATACGCCAACATGATTTTGGTGAAATCATCATACCGGACAAGGCACTTGATTTCTCCTCTAAACCCTTTCTGTGAACTGTCTAACCTACCTTTTGCAACGATGATATGATCTGCATGGATCCTATCCCCAAAATGCTCACTCGGATGACCGTCGGTCAAGGCTCTTGGACCTTTCACCCGTCTCGCTGGAAGTGCATCTTGTTTCGCTTCCTGGCAAATGGGGCAATCCGTCCTTTTTGGAAGGTGCAAAATAGAATGGTTCAACACGGTGTCCGAAACGTCTCCTTCTGGTTCGGGGGCTAGGCTTGGCTCATACCAATCCGATTCCCCATCAGGAGATTTTGGGGGACGTTTGGGAACACACTCCTCATTGACGTCTCCAGCCATGTGCAGAGTATCAACCTTTTTCTTTGAACAATGGGACATTTTCACGAACTTCACTGGCATAACAACGAGATGATTCAGGGCATGACACTCTTAAATCCTGAATGTTACAGGGCTGTACCAGGAATGGCTTAGGACCCAGCATCCTCTGAAACATCTGCGCTATCACGTGGTAACCAAACAAAAGCTTTTCCTTTCCGAACTTGATCACCTATGGATAATGCCCAAGGGCTGTTCTTTAGCAAGTAACATTCTTGAACCAGAAAGTTCTCCCACAACTTTGCAAGAATCTGATCCGTCCCTACGCCCCCCACCGGTTGAGAAGGTGACAGGATGATTGGATTGTCCAATCATGTTAGAATGGGCTTGGCAACGAACATCATCCAAAGATTGGGCATGGATCCTATTGGCTTGTTCGACGGTTTCCCTCAAAATTTGTTGGTGGCGAGACTCGGCCTCTGCTAAACTTCAGTTCTCACATCACTGGCAACACGGGCACTAACATTCTGGGCATGTTCCATGGATGCTCTTGCCAAGTCTTGGACAACATGTTGGTGACGGGATTCGGCTTCAGCCATTACCTCTTCTCTTGCCAATTGAGTGGAAGCTCGCCTCACTTCACCAACCGTTTGGTTATGTCTCAATTCGGCTTCTGCGATAGTGGCATTTCGAACAGAATCGGCAAATTGAAAGGCAGTTTGTTGGGCTAATTGGGGTGGTACTCCAACTTGAATTGACTGGATGGACCGGGCATCAACAAAGGTTGGACCCTGCTGGACCCCTTGACCCTGGCTTGAGACTGATGAACCTTGGGCTCTTCCCCTTCGTGCCAAATGTCATCATCCTCCAACTCAAATCTACCAGCTTCCAAACCAGACAAATCACTTGCAACTTCCGATGATTGGTATGGACCTAAAGATCGTGACCTACGGTTTGCAATTCTGTGATCTTCCCTGGATCTATGGACAACACTTCGGTTGATGCTGGATTGGGACTCATCCCCAGGCGAGCTCATCACTTGGCCTATGGCCGCAACTGCCAAATGCAATTCACTTGAACCACTAGATTCTTGATTTGTAGACATTGCTCAATTACACTCTTTACTGATCTCTTCACTCACTGCACCCTTCTCTGTGGAACTTTTCTCAATCCTCCTTGCCAAGGCAATACCAACGCACTAATCGGCGAATCTCTGCCGCCTCCGACTCCAGACCCCACTGCGAGTTCACCTGATAGGCACGAATGCCTTCTCTCCGGTACCTCGCAATGTGATCGTACTGATCGTCAAATGCGATGGATGCCCCAATCCTCTTTGCCAAGATCGCTTTCGATTCACGGCGGGTCACTACAACAATGATCGGGAGAAGACGATGGATGTGCGAACGTTTCAAGGCGTCAACGTACTCCCTGAAAGATCCCTTTCCAATGAATGTCAAGCCAATGTAAACCACACCCGAATGTGCAAGATCCGCCAACAATTCGGCCGTCGAGGCAAAAATGACCTGAGTCTCTCCGCGATGCTGTCCAACCCGAAAATGGCGTGGATTCGACTTGATGTCTGGAAGTTCCTCAATTGTGCGCACCCTTTTTGATCGACCTTCTGTAAAAGATTCGGGAAAAATCACCGTCTTAAACAAGTCAAAGATTGCACAGTACTGAAGATCCTCAAACAACTCTCGAAGATTGGCTGGCGGTACGAGTAAATCACTCACCAACACACAACCCTCACCGAGCTCCACTTCCACTTCTGGATCGATTGCAAGTTCCACACCCTGAAATTGTCGCCCGGCACCTGAAGAAAAACTCAGGCCTGAAGATGTACCCACAATCGGATTCGATGATGAAGACTCCTCTGAAGCGAAAACTTGTGATCCCGAAGAAACGCTCGGGTTTTCAATTGCACCCACGACTGCCGATGATGAAAGAGAAGGTTGGGATTAGATTTCAACCGCAAAGCCTTAGCCTTGGCCTGTTGCCTAGCGACAGGTTCGTTGACCACCTCCACAATCTCCTCCTCCTCCTCCTCCTCCTCCTCCGGGTCTGCAAGGCCTCCAAGTACAGAGTTATCAACCTCTGCAGCAGGATTCACCGCGTTCCAAAAAGACTCGCGGAGCTTCTTGCGCTTTGCAGACTTGCCACCTCTTGGTCGTGGCCGACGTCCCGAATGCATAAAAATAACCAATCCAAGCTCCACTCCGAACTCCCAACTGTTGTAAAAACGAAGTTAAGAACTGCTCGAAGGATCTCAAGAAAGACTATTGCACACACACGGGCGAGGGTAAAATGCAATTAGAATTATATGAAAGGGGAGCCAGTACGGCTGATAACCCAATAAAAGGCGAAATATAGGATAATTTGAGAAACACCCAAAAACCACACCAAGCAACTTCTGGGGCCTCTTTTCCTTGAGCCAAAATGAGTAACATTCGAGGAGGTGAAAACCGACCCTTGTGGCTGGAATTCTTCTGTATATTTAACATAGCCATGGAAAATGGCCCATAGAAATAGATGGTTTACCTATTAATAGCATGATGGATCTTTCCAGTTCGCTATGTTAGTCATAACCAGATGGTAATAAAAATCACCATTTTTAATAGGTAAACCATCTATAAATGGACCATTTTCCAGTTCGCTATGTTAGTCATAACCAGATGGTATATATATATATATTATCTATAGATACATTGGTGATCCCATATATATATATATATACGTATATATAATACTTACATATCATACTAATCATACTTACACTTACATATATATACATATATATATATACACGTATATAAATACTATATATAATACATATATCATAGATGATTTCATATGATCTCATCGTTGCCAAATCCCTTGGGATCTGGGATCGCTGCCTCGCCCATAGCGGATCCATCCACAGAAGCCACCTCCACAGGTCACGACGTGGCCGATGGAGCGACGTCCAAAGATCGTCAACGATACACCTATATATTCATGCGTATATGCATATTATAACATATATATATATATATCATAATATATCATAATATATATATATATATTATATAATGTATACTATAATAATGATATTTAGATAGATTATATGTCCAACATTGTGATAGTTACATATAATTACTGAGTTTGCTTCTATATAATCGTAAGTTATCACTGAAAGTTATATTCGGGGTTGCTTAAGTGATGGGGATGCCCAAGTCACCATGGGTTTCAAGACTAAGTCATGGTCTAATGACGTGGATGATTTGGGGTACCCCATGGTACCCCGATGACTTAGGAAACCTCCATATATTTAGATAGGGGATGCTTCCAAAAAGTGCGTTTTAGCTGCTAAGGTCTTTGAATCTCGAAATTTTTAATACGATAGTTTTTTGCTGATGACCATCTATATCCTGATTCTGATGGCAATAAAAGAAGTATGATGGCAATAGGTGCTGCCGCATCTGCACTTCCAAGATCTGCGATGCTATGACACGATTGGAAGCACCTTTTTAGTCTCCAGACTAGCAACATTAAGGAACATATTCCAAATAGATCCAAAGATACGAGTATCACAGCAAACCAGAAACTATAGAGATCTATTTACATCCTTTCATCATCTACCTTTAGAATTATAACATATTATAACTATAATTAGAGATCCAACTAATTTACATCTACCTTATATTATATACAGTAGATTTATAGATCTATATAGAGTATAGATGGTTGTTTGAAAGATTGGACCATGACCAGGCTTCGGCTTCTCTTCGGCTTCCAGCATCTTCCACCTGGGAGGTCTTCCGGGCTTCCGTCCGGGCTTCCGTCCGGGCTTCCGTCCGGGCTTCCGGCTTCTCTTTGGCCTCGGCTTTTTTTCATGAAACCACCATGGGTTCATGATGTTTTATGATTATGATCTATGTTTTTATCATGATATTATCTATGAACTATTATGAATTGTTTATGATTATTATCGATGTTTTATGAATTATGATGAACTGATCATGATGTGTTTTATAAAACGATGTTTTTTCTATTGTTATTATTATTGATGAATATTGATGAATGAATTAATGAATGAATTGATGAATGAATTGATGAATATCGATGAATGAATTGATGAATATTAATGAATGAATTGATGAATGAATTAATGAATGAATTGATGAATATTGATGAATAAATTGATGAATATTGATGAATGACTTGATGAATGAATTAATGAATGAATTGATGAATGAATTGATGAATGAATTGATGAATATTGATGAATGAATTGATGAATATTGATGAATGAATTGATGAATATTAATGAATGAATTGATGAATGAATTAATGAATGAATTGATGAATGAATTGATGAATATTGATGAATAAATTGATGAATATTGATGAATGAATTGATGAATGAATTAATGAATGAATTGATGAATGAATTGATGAATGAATTAATGAATTGATGAATGAATTGATGAATATTGATGAATGAATTGATGAATATTGATGAATGAATTGATGAATATTGATGAATGAATTGATGAATGAATTGATGAATGAATTGATGAATATTGATGAATGAATTGATGAATATTGATGAATGAATTGATGAATGAATTGATGAATATTGATGAATGAATTGATGAATATTGATGAATGAATTGATGAATATTGATGAATGAATTGATGAATGAATTGATGAATGAATTGATGAATATTGATGAATGAATTAATGAATGAATTGATGAATGAATTAATGAATGAATTGATGAATGAATTGATGAATATTGATGAATGAATTGATGAATATTGATGAATGAATATTGATGAATGAATTGATGAATGAATTGATGAATGAATTGATGAATGAATTGATGAATGAATTGATGAATATTAATGATGATTGATGAATATTGACGAATATGGATGATAATTTGCAGTATTTTCTGCAAATCCTAACTTTTGCTTCCCCTTAGTCAGCCAAGAGTCCTCTTTGGACTTGTCTTGTTTGCTTTCCTCCTCCTGGCGGACAAAGAACATATAGAGGCAGAGGAGAATCACTGGGTTTTACCACTTGAATTGGCTACAAAAACAGACCACCGGATTTTCGGATCATCACCATGTCATTACCCTATAATTACCCCATGTATCCGGGACAAACCCATTGTTGATTCATACTGTGGATGGTTTTTCGAAATCCTGCACCCGTTTGTAACTATTGATAGCTATTAAAGTTAACTTATGAAACTCTGTGAAATTTCATGGAATAAACACCCAAAAGAAACCACCATTGGTGCAGGATTTCGCCACCATCCGCTTTGTACCACCAGCAAGTTCTGACCCCGGTGACACCTCTTTGGATCGCGCATTCTCCGACACTGGGGGGACCTCGACGTCTTCGGCCATACCTTTTTTCGAGATTTCTGGAGTGTCTGGAGTGTCACTTAGGCAACCAAAAAAAAACAGGAACATATACCCTCTGGTAAACTAACATAGCCATGGAAAATCACCATTTTTAATGGGAAAACTCACTATAAATGGCCATTTTCAATAGCTATGTTAAATTACCAGAGGGTATGAGCCATTGAATTTTGTCCTTTGGTTTATTGTCCATTTTTTTCTCGAACAGGCTTAGAGGGTGTAACTGTAACTTGTCCTTTTTATTTTCCAGTTTTTTTTCGAAGAATTGCCGAACAGAGGGCTTCGATCTCTTCTACATCCCAACATCATTGGGAGTTTATCGTCCCAACGAAACACGTCACCCCGTCCAAGTCATGGGTTTAAACATGCCATGCTAGTTCCAAGAGCATTTCTTCACAGAATTATCATGATATATCATGAAAACGGTAAAAGCCTAGTCTTGGAACCTGACTATTGAAGGTTATCCTCTGGTAATCTAACATAAGTATGGAAAATAGCCCACGTCTAGATAATTTATCTACAAAAGAAGGTGTTTTTCCATAGCTACCAGAGGGGAACTCCCATCATATTCCCATTAAATCTTACCCAATCCCATTAAATCCATATACATTCCATAGGAATTCCCATCAAACAATGTTGATTCAGCAGCCCAAAAACCTCCCAAAGGACACCTCGTGCCATGCATCGGCCAAGAGTAAAAGAAATGCTGGGACTTAGTGGTTCCTTCGCTCAGGGCCAGGCTGCCTATGGTTTCTTTTCACCAAAAGGATATGGCTGTGTCTGAAAATGGGATATACCATGGGATTTACCCTTCAGATAGCCATTTTATGTTATGGGGATCATGGTGATTAACCATGATTAACCGATGGATTTTGAGGTCCCATATTTTCAGACAATATGGAAATTATTGGGGACTTCAATGTTCACCCTTCCCATATACAGAGATATACGGAGTAACTGACCACAGATAGGGTTCCACCTGGAAGATCGTCTCACGAATCGTAAGTGGTGGGCATTGTGGGATGTACAAGCCAAGAGTGAGATACTATGGTTATAGATGCTCTGGTATTTTTTTGCCACTTTACAATGGAAATTCACCACAGAAATCATGAGGATCGATCATCTGGGCCTTCTCTGGGCCAGAAAATCTGCCAATATGCTGCCATAGCTATGTGAAAAATTGCCGAGGGGTATGGATATCATGGCTGGATGGTGAATGACCCATGGAGGGTTTCTGGTACCCTCTGTTAATTTAACATAGCGAACTGGAAAATCACCATTTTAAGAGGTAACTCATCTCTATATATATATAAATGGGGATTATCAATCACTGTAGCTGGATATGTTAGTAGATGTTTATCTAGATTTTCAAAATAGATACAGCAAATCATCTAGACATGGTCCATTTTCCATAGCAAACTGTTAGTTCACTGGAGGGTAAATCGCCATAAGCCGTCTCCGTCAGGGATTGTCCTGAAAATTTCTCATCCCAAACACACAAAACACAGTAAATCAACATGGAAATTAATTGAAAGAAACCAGCAATCCCATAAACAATCAGTTCGGTTTGGTGCAACATATCGCATTCATAAGTTTGTGTTACTAAAACATATCCCATTCATCAGTTTGTGTTGGTGAAACAATTCCATTCATCAGTTTGTGTTGCTGAAACAAATCCATTCATCAGTTTGTGTTGGTGAAACTTATTCCATTCATCAGTTTGTGTTGGTGAAACTTATTCCATTCATCAGTTTGTGTTGGTGAAACAATGCCTTTCATCAGTTTGTGTTACTGACACATATCCCATTCATCAGTTTGTGTTGGTGAAACATATTCCATTCATCAGTTTGTGTTGGTGAAACAATTCCATTCATCAGTTTGTGTTACTGAAACATATCCCATTCATCAATTAGTGTTGGTGAAACAATTCCATTCATCAGTTTGTGTTAATGACACATATCCCATTCATCAGTTTGTGTTGGTGAAACAAGTCCATTCATCAGTTTGTGTTGGTGAAACAATTCCATTTATCAGTTTGTGTCGTGAAACAATTCCATTCATCAGTTTGTGTTACTGACACATATCCCATTAATCAGTTTGAGTTGGTGAAACAATTCCATCCATCAGTTTGTGTTACTGACACATATCCCATTCATCAGTTTCTGCAACTGAAACAATTTCAGTCATCATTTTGTGGTGGTGAAACAATCCCATTTATCAGTTTGTGTCGTGAAACAATTCCATTCATCATTTTGTGTTGGTGAAACAATCCCATTCATCACCTTGTGATGTGAAGCAATTCCATTCATCAGTTTGTTTCTGACACATATCCCATTCATCAGTTTGCGTTGGTGACACAATTCCATTCATCATTTTGTGCTGGTGAAACATTTGTGTTGGTGAAACATTTCCATTCATCAGTTTGTGTTACTGAAACATATCCATTCATCAGTTTGTGTTGCTGAAACATATCCCATTCATCAGTTTGTGTTGGTGAAACAATTCCATTCATCAGTTGTTGTTGGTGAAACAATTCCATTCATCAGTTTGTGTTACTGACACATATCCCATTCATCAGTTTGTGTTAGTGAAACAATTCCACTCATCAGTTTGTGTTACCGACACATATCCCATTCATCAGTTTGTGTTGGTGAAACATATTCCAATCATCAGTTTGTGTTTCTGTCACATATCCCATTCATCAGTTTGTGTTGGTGAAACATATTCCAATCATCAGTTTGTGTGTTTTTTTTTTCATATCTCCAACAAGAAAGTAAACCCGATGCCGAAAAAACTGCTCATCCTTTGTGGCATCTCCATCAACCGGTGCCCAGGGCATGGTTCAAAAATGGTGGTTCCAGTTCTATAGGTGAACATATGGGCGCCGGTGTCCAGATTAAATACCACTAAAACATCCTAAAACTACAAGGTGATGACCTAGTACTTGATGATTCAATGCTGGGTTCCCATATATGATTTCATAATTGATCTATTCATAGCAAAAATGAACAGAATTTGCGGTCCCCGCAAGTTTGACACCCCGTAGCCATCCCATGGTGCTTCACTCCTCCACCTCTTGTGGCGCCGCACGGGCTGCCTGAAGGACCGTGGCGAAAATTCGCCCTTCGAATGGGATTTGACCCTCATTTCTTGGAAAAAAACAAAATCAGTGGGTTCAATGGGTTTTTTGGTCCATTTTTGAAACTGTAAACCAGTGATTATCTACCTTATTCCGATTCTTCATCGGATAAATCCTCATTTTTATTCATCGAAGACGAGATGAGTTGATGCGCCTCCGCTGCGGCCCGCAACTCTTCTCTTTCCAGCTCCTGGAAATGGTGCTGTCAGGGAATGTGCGTCGCCAGAGGGATCACTGTGTCAGGTCGAGGAAGGATCTATAGGGTCTATGTAAAGCCTTTGTTTCAAGGAAGATCCTTACGAAATATAGCCCGACCAAATCATACCCCGCCTCTTTCTTAGGGTCCTGAAATTCCCATGGACCAACAATGGATAATGCCAGTCAGAATGCGGATCCGCTGGGATTTGTCGAGCAAGAAAATCAGATAGCTTTGCAAATGGGCTACTTGCCATTCCAGAATGGTGAGAATTTTGATCAACGAAATCAGGGCTTAGGTGTTCAAATTTCCTTGAGACAGACACCCCCATGATCCCAGAAGTGTCGGAAACGGTTTTCCATCCAAAAAGACAAATCTAGGGGTCCAAAAATGGTATGTACACCCAAAATCCCTGGTTTGCCATTGTCCTATGTAATTATCATCAGGTTCCCCATTAAAAATGTTAAACATCGTTGAACCTAAACCCTCCAAGTACCCATAATGATGGCTAAAAGTACTAAAATCATGAGGTCAAGATTCACCAATTTCACCAAAAAAAATATGGCTCTAGAAACTCTTAGAATATCTTGGATTCTCAGAAATTTTCCTCATTAGAAGAAACACATGTTATCATCTTCCCCATATTTGGGATCCACCAGCGCCACCAGTCCTCCATGGCTCTGAAGCGCTCGGGCGTCGCTAAGACCTCCGAAAGACGAGTTGCGACTGGGTCGTTGGATAACCAGATATTTGACTATTTTCAGATAACTTGAAATGGGTATGGGTCAAAATTAGGTACCCCAATAATTGGATGGTTAATACTAAACTAGACATTTCCATCTGTGGTCCCCTAGGTCTTCCATTTTGACCCACATCCAAATCAATGAATATCCAGGTTTCATGGAAATCCATGCAAATAGCTTGAAATCTGAATGAATATCTCAACAAATCATAGGAAAAAAGACATGTTGAAAGATGTTGAAATCCATGGTCGGATATTGGCAGGGTCCAATGTCTAGCATAGTCTTTTTATATAGGCAATATTCTACTTGCAGCATCTCTGGTTGGTGGTATACCTACCCCTCTGAAAAATATGAAAGTCAGTTGGGATTATTATTCCCAATATATGGAAAAATGAAATTCATGTTCCAAACCACCAACCAGATCTTGTAGCTAGCAGCGCCTTCTCCATGTTTTCCTGAAGCTTCGCGAAGATCTCGCCACTCTGATGGCACAGATACTGCAAGGTTCCCGTCGACAATCCACCATAGGGATGCCTCGGTCCCATCATGAGGATCCTGCTCCGTTCTGAATGGAGAAACGCGCAGCATCAAAAATGGTGAAAAATCCATCACCCTTTGGGAATTTAACTTGTTCAACATGGTATAAAATGGCTCATTTGTAGATGATCATTAAATATCCTTGATTTGCCTCCAAAAAGGGTCATTTTCCAGTTTGCAAACTGAGAACAACCATTGCAACCACCGCCGCCGTTGCCCGCCACGCTGCCCCACACCATGCGCGCGCCGCGAATCCTCGCGGTCCTTTCTCTGGGCGCCTCAAAGATCTGGTGAATCTTTCATCGTTGGACTGGAGGATCATCCCAGTTAGTGCTTTATATATATATATGTCATATTATATATATATCATATTATATATATGTATGTGTAATATTATATATATATTATATATATGTAATATTATATGTAATATATAATATAAATATATATATCATATTATAATATAGCATAATATAGCTACAATAGCAGCCATTGTACTTCTTGAGTACAACAGGAAATGAATCTTAGCGTAAGTGGGACGATGATAACATCCTTCAGAGAGTACAGTATCTTGTAGAACATGTTTATGAACAATTAGAACGGTATCGAATTCCTCATAAGTGGTACGAAGCATTGAAAAACTGTAAAAACTATCCAAAGGATATCCAGATTTGGACCGAAAAAAAAGAGAAAGTAAATGCAAGTAAGGTTCATTCCGGTGGGTCAGGCACATTGATACAGTGATTATGAAGTGCTTACCATTCATACGAATCATGACTGAACCATCCTGCTGGATGACATTGCCCTGGTGCTAATATATCCCTCGTTGCTCTGAGGTTTGTCTGCATTTCCAAGACATTTTCGGACAAACCCCATATATCCCCATAATATGGGGTCGTGATAAAACACTATGACAGTAAATTGCAAATCAACATAAATCAACAAATAATAGCAAATTATAATCATTCAGCCTGAAATCAGGTTCTATTGGGATAATTCCCCTGACTGTAACACTATGATTCCAGGGTTCCGTCACAACGCGAGGTCACTATCATTTACCCAGATAAATGGTTCATAGATGTCAATAGTGTTCCTTCCCAAAGGCAGCCCATCTCACACCGCCAAGTCACGACCTGGTGCTCGGCCCTCATCGTCATCCTCACAGGCCGACAGGGTTTACCATGTCGGACCCCAAGGGATACCAGAGGAATTCAGCTATAAACTTCTCCATGGATATCCAGCCAGGTCCAGCCATGATTGATTTCCAGCCATTTATCATGATTTTTCATGGTGTTTCCTTTGGTTTTCTATTGACTTCGGGGATCTTCCAGCCATGATGACCAGCCAGGTGTGGAAACATCATCAAAAACACCAGGATGATCCACCAACATCCACCATGTTGGCATCCACCAAACGGTCATCCAAACACCAAGGCAAGCATTGTCCAAGTCATCCACACGCAGCAACAACAACAAAAAACAACTCCGAATTGCCACACTGAAAGCAGCCTGGAAATCCAATAAGAATTCTTCAACGACCTCTTCCATTGTGCTGCGGCCTACCGGGTGCTGGACGAAAGTTTTTCTACATGCAATGTTTTCCAAGCTGTCAAAACCATGAAAAAAGACCTTCAATGCTGCATAATGGGGTAACATCATGTATATTTGGAGGTTTCCTAAAATGGGGGTACCCCCAAGTCATCCAGTCGTCACGGATGACCATGTAGTCACTAAGAATATGGTGACTTGGGGGTCATGTTGGGAAACCCCCATTTCCATCCATTTCCAGTTCTACAAAACTCAACCTCAACAGCCTGCAGCACAGCCTGATTCCACATCTGCCAAGCGCTCCGTGAAGAGTCGGCTCCGAGTGACGGCAGCTAAACACGAAATCAAGGGTGTCCTCGGTGGCGCAGCCAGCGCATCCATAGATCTTTGACGAAACCAGTTTTTGTAGGGGGCTTTGAAATATCACCGGCGGGAGAAGGAATTAATTGTTTGATTCTCTATAGACTCTACATTTATAGAACAGCTCAAAAACAATATATATATATAAATATGGTTACACCCTGCAAGGAGGAGCCGATTCAGAGCTATCACTTCTAGATGCCAATGTGTCAGTCCCAACAAGCGCGTGCAGCAGCACACTGACGATGAACACAGCGCAAATGCAAAGCATTGTGCTTGTGATAGAAGAACATCTTCACCATATATCCTCTGGTTGGCGGTTGAACCCTGCCCAAAAAGTATATGATTTATGAACGTCAAGTGGGATCATCATGGTCATCCTTCCAGCTTTAGGGATCAAAATGTAAGACATGGGTCTTTCTGAAATGGGGCTATCTCGAAATCCTGAGGTTCAAATTGTTTTTTTTCCCCTGTAAAATGGTCCTTGTGTAATTTTCCACAGCAAACTGCTCGTCATTACCAGAGTATCTCATTTTATCCCATATAAAATCCCCATGTAATGCCTGGTTCTCATATATCCCATGTCTCATCGTGTGCCCAGCATCAACTGCCTCAGGTTACTTTGGAAATGGCCCATGTTTTGCTCTGCCTCGCTCAGCCACTCCTTGCAGGGCGTCATCCCATGTACACCTGGACCCCCACCAAAGCCACCGAATTTTTCTCGGAACAGTTCCCCTTAAATTGCTATGATTTTTCAGGGCATCAATGGCCATGGCCATAACCGATTCAGCCCCAAAGATGAAGATGGCCAAAATCATCATGAATGATGCCATAATAATTTACCGATATTCCCTTCAAAAAATCTCACCTCTGATGGTTTCATCACCATTGAAACCCACTAAAATTCAATAGGTTTTCATGAAATCCCATTAAAACTCATTAACTATCATTAGATCCCATTAGATCCCACTAGATCCCATTGCCATTATCCATGAAATGCTAGTAAATCCCATGAAATCCAAATAAAGCTCTATCGTTGATGGTTAAAATCACTATATTAAATTCCATCATATGCTATGAAATCCACATGAAATCTCATTAAAATCCCATTAAATCCATATCTTTGATGGTTAAAATCGCCATTCAATCCAACAGAAATCCCAAATATCCCACTAAATCACGTTCAATTCCCATATATATATATATACAAAAGTATATACATATATATATATATAATAATTCACAATTAAAATCACCATTAACATCCCAGCAAATAGTCCCTATGGTTGTTTTCTTGTCAAATCACCATTTTAAAATCCTATTCAATCCCAAATATCCCCATTACATCCCGTTAAATAAAAAAAATCATCAACATCATAAACATTTCCCCATATCGTTGATGCTTAAAAATCACCATATGAAAATCCCACACAAAAACCAAATACCTGCATGAAAGTCCATGAAATCCCGTCAAAGTCCTGAAAAAACAGGCCCATTGAAATGCCCATCCCATTGGGAAGTTGATGTTCACATACAGTTGATATTCAAAATCACAATATTACCATCCGGTAAACTAACAGTTCGCTATGGAAAATCACCATGCATTTTTAATGGAAAAATCCACGATTTCTATGGCCATTTTCAAGTTCGCCAACTGTTAGTTTACCAGAAGGTAAGATCCCATAATTGCCATGCCATACATTGGGAAGGTTGTCATCGCACCATCTCCAGGCTCTCCTTCTCCAGCAGCATCTCCTCCACTGAGGGCACAGGTTTTCGAAGGCGTTGCAGCCAGTCGTTGATCTCCTGGAATGCGTCACGGTAACAACAGGAGCTGCGGCGATTTCATGGGATTTTTCTGGGACTTTAATATCGGGAATATCATGGGAATATAAGGATTTTATATGGGATTGAATGGAGATTTTGACATATTTCACCACCATTTGATGGGATTTAATGGAATCTAATGGGATCTTCATGGGATTTAATGGTCATATAATGGTCATGAAACCATCAAACATATTCAAACATGGAAAGTTATCGGAGAGTCAACTCAACTCAACTTTCAACTTCGTTTCATTATATAAGTTGAATCAAGTTGATGTTCAGGAATTGTTTGGGGAAATAACAATCGTCATCAATGTTGAAAAATAACTTCGATGAGTAGCGAAGGTCATCGGATCTACTTGGTCAGGTTTGGAGAAAAACGACTTTTGGGACTAGGTTGGGCACCACCGAAACCGTTCGGTTCCTTGCAGAAATGCCAAGAAATTCTGCGTGGGTTGGTAGGTCAAATCATGTTCAACAGCCAACAGTTGGACTTTTTGCCCCAAGCCTCACCCAATGTGACTTTCCGTAGCTCGGTAACTTCTACTAGAAAATACACAGATTCTGCCAAAGCAAATGGCAAACAAGAGCGTTTTGCCATGGCTGAAAATAGGAAGACTTACCATGGCCATCCATGGCCACTGAGGTTTATCCAACCAAAAATCCATCAGTTCTTGATACCCTCTGGTAAACTAAGATAACTATGGAACATCACCATTTTTCATGGGAAAATCCACTATAAATGTCCATTTTCAATAGCTATTTTGACATAACCAGAGGGTACATGGCATGTTGCAAAGAATTGATGGCCACAGATGTCCTTCCACAATCGCTTGCCACAATTCACCTCGGGACAGCTGAAACAGGGGGTTGATGCCTCCATTGTTTTGAACATGTTTTAGGGTTTTATAATAATAATAATATTGGAATCTCTTGGATATGATGGGAATATAACATGGAGCTAACCAATGGTATCTTAATGATCTATCTGGGCAAATTATAATAATTCACTATCTGAATTAAGGCCATTTGGGGATGATTCCCCTTACTAACCATGATTTCCAGTGAGGTCGTAGTGAGGTCGTTATAATTTACCCAGAAGATTATGGGAACCACCAACAAGATTGGAACATCAAATCACATCCTAAAATAGTGATGAATTACTATTTTAGGGGGGATGATTGGGGGGTTACAGTACTATAAAGCTCAGGGGGTAAGTTGCAGTTCTTATCAACGTTTAAGAGCCTAGAAACCCAATTCCAAACGCTCAATTCAGGCCGTGGCAGTGAAAGGATGGGACTCATGGGACGCCGAAACCCGCTTGAAAAAAAGGCCAACAAAATTCACGGAAAAAACCAGTCCCAGACCCAGAGATTGAAACCCAACAGTCACTGCTATTGGGAATAATAACCTGGCACTATTGGAAATCATATTTACCAGCTTTTTTTAACCCAGACCCAAAAATTTGCAACCCAACCCAGAGAATAACTCGGAATTCTCTCTCAAATCATTGCTGCCATCAAGCAACTCCGTAGATGTTCAGAGCATAGGTGGACAGGCTCAGCAGTGCGGGACTTGTTTGCTCTGCGATAAAGGAAAAATACCTGCACCGGGAAACGTGCAGAGTCCAGCTGTATCCAACTGTCAAACCTTCTTCCCTTCCCCAATTCACAAATACGAAATAATACGAACACCATTTTCAATATTAACCACCTAATGTTCTGAGTGCCATGGTGCGGCTCCAGTTTGGACATGTTTGGACCCAGTCTCCAGCATACCAGACTTTCATCATTGGTGATGACCATTAGGCTATGACTTTCCCAATATAATAAAAGGTATAACCTGGGTTGGTATCCCACAACATGGCTTACAGTATATACTTGGTACCTTATGTTCAATCACCTTCGACATGTTTGAGGCGCACTCAAATAACAACCTACAAGTACTTAACATATCTTGACATCATATACACATCATAAATGATGGACAAACCATCAAATAAGAGTGATCAATGATGATTACCTATAATATATCATACACATAATATATCATACATATAATATATAATATATAATATATAATATATAATATATAATATTATATATCATACAATATATTAATATATACTATATATCATATATTATATATCATATAATGTCAAGTCAGGATGAATCAACATCCCGTTATTAATCAACCTCCTCCTCCCATGTTTTTTTGCAATTTAAACACAGGTGATCCCCCAGGATTAATAAACCGTTTTGGCCGGACATGATTAATCAACCACCAGTGCTGAAATCCCATTTTGTTTTATTTTCCAACTCTCTTTATTTTCAAACGGTTTCCTTATTCTATGCCATTCTATGCTTAAGTTGAAACCTCATGAACACCAGAATCCATCACTGTTGATCATTGGAAATTTGAAAAAAAAAACTATTCCCCAAATGATCGATTTCTAAATAAATTCTTTATAAAAATCAGCAGTTTCGATAGATCCCAAAGGGTACCCCCCATGAGCCCATGTGCCACATTAATAATAATCAGAGGGTTCCCCTTGTTAATCAACCCCTTCCAAGGGGCCGTTTATTTACGGGGAAAACTAGGAAAGACCTTGCAAGGTCTACCATGACCTATAGGGGGGTTATTAATCCGGTGTTGGCATTATTCATATAGTTTATATTATATCATATTATATTGTATTATATCAAAATATATAGCCTCTGGCTATTTAACATAGCCATGGAAAATACCATTTTTAATAGGTAAACCATCTATTTAAATGGGCCGTTTTCCATGGCTATGTTAAATAACCAGAGGGTATATATATATATACACCATATACAGCAACCCCACTGACACCAGCATCTCCAGCCTCAAATCCAACGCGAAAGGTCCGCACTGCGACAAGGCCCGAGTGTTTCGCACCGCTCGCCTCGGGGATATCAAGGGGTGACCTCCTACCTGGTGACCGGTAAGAAACTGGGGAATCCCAGTAGTATTATTGGAATATACCCTCTGGTTATTTAACATAGCCATGGAAAATAGCCCATTTATAGATGGTTTACCTGGGTTTACCTATTAAAAATGGTGATTTTCCATGGCTATGTTAAATAACCAGATGGTAACATTATTGGGATATAGAGTGCCGGTAATATAAGATGATGGATAATATAACATGGATCTAAGTTAATATTGTCAGATATTGTCAGTATAATCCCCAATCTATTTCATCAACAATCATTTTTCAATATCTATGAATCTATATCATCAATCATATATATATATATATATCAATAATACCCTCTGGTAAACTAACAGTTCGCTATTGAAAATGGCCATAGAAATAATTGATTTTCCCATTAAACATGGTGATTTCCCATAGCTATGTTCGTTTACCAGAGGGTATATAGTAATATTGGAATCTCTTGGATATATTTGGATATGATGGGAATATAACATGGAGCTAACCAATGGTATCTCAATGATCTATATGGCAGTGTATCAAAACCTTGTACCCCTGGTGAACATCAAAATAGCTGGGATTTATGGAGGTTCATCCCACTAAAAATGGTATTAATAGGTATTGATCCATACCCATATAACCAAGTGTTGTTAATGGGATGGGGATCTACACTACTGGTCCATACTGGTCCACCGGGACACTCCCACTCTTCACAACTCCGCTGGAGATTTCGAAGCCATTCACAGAGCCCTTCCACCATACCTCGGACACAACTCGCAGCGTTCATCCATTGGGTTCGTGTGTCATACGGTCCATAGGGTCACACCACCTTTGAACATGTTGCTTCACATGTTGCTTCACATCTTTGGGCTGGTTTCATCGTTTCGTTACCATCATTTACAGGGAATGCAGGTCAAATTGGATCGCCACGCATCCCGATGAATGAGTGTAAATCTCCATGAGATCCCCATGAAAACTTCATGAAAATCCCCATGAAAAGCCATGAAATCCTCGTTATCTCATGGTGATTCCCATCCGGATCCATCCCTCTTCCGAGTTTCTCAGATCATAGGTGGATCCCCGCAAGGTTTTGAGGAACTCTGCCGGGCGCAGGAACAGATCAGGCCGCAGCAAGAGGTCCAGAAAGCTCTTGGAGCCTTGGAAAACGGGGCTGAAAAGCTTGGTGGCTGAAGAGAGAAACATAGTGGTAGAATTTCTGGTAGAATTATGAGGTAGAATAATACCAATATCAACTACCATTATACCACTATGGTGCTTGATATTGCTATACTCTTTTTGTTTGGATGAACATAGTCTAGTGGTATAATGGTAGTTGATATTGGTATTGGCTGGTAGTATTGGCTATACCATCTGCAACTTTTGGGGATCAGCGATCCTTCAGATATTGCTCCGGCAAAAACAACAACACATACAATGGAGGCCATCTGGTGTTGATCCAATTCCAAACAACTCCATGATACTACAGAACGCATCCAAATATATCCAAATTCAGTCTGGAAGATTCTGGAAGTTTCAGAGAGCACTCTTGGCTTCAAATATATGTTTATCTGGGCAAATTATAATAATTCACTAATCTGAATTAAGGCTATTTGGGGATGATTCCCCTTACTAACCATGATTCCAGGGTTCGGTCGCAGTGAGGTCGTTATAATTTACCCAGGTTTATATTTTTGATAGAAGCTGACACGGCCTGACTTGACAATTTTCTTCACATGCTGGTATATTACACAATGCAACATTCGGTATCATTACCCCCAAGAAATGCCTGGTAAATACAAAAAAAAACAATATGGGTATGGATCAATACCTATTAATACCATTTTTAGTGGGATGAACATCCATTTACCAGCTATTTTGATGTTCACCAGGGGTACAAGGTTTTGACACACTGCCATATATTCAGCTGCGTTTCCACTATCCATTGGCCAAACAAATCCTAATCGATACGTTTGCAGCTTGGTGTGACCAAAAGTTGGATGCCCAACCGTGGTCTGCAACGGGTCAAATGACTTCCCATACCCACAGGATGATTTAGAACGCATCTAAAAGCTGAGCTGATTTCAAGGCCGTCAAAATCATCAAAGTTACACCTCCTTGCTTTGTACATATACATATACATATATATATATATATATACATATACATATACAATTGCATAGACATATAATATACACATAATATATACACATAAAATATGCATATATACATATACACATACCATATACATGCACACATACATAAATTTTCATGTAATTATATATATATATATACACTGTATACTAGACCCATAAAGACGTGATGTCTACAGCACGTTGACATCCAGCAACCATCCACCAGCGATGCCAAGGCCGTGTGGAAGGAAGCACAACCAGCGCCTTTTCCATCCACAGCTTCTGCAATGATGGTCGCCAAAGCCTGGTTCAATGAGATTTCAGGGGATTTTTTTAATAGGATTTAATAGGATTTAATAGGATTTCATGGGACTTAACTATGGGTTTGAATGGGATTTAAGGATATTTAATGGGATTTCATGGGTTTCTAAAAAGGATTTAATGGGAAAAACATCATACCATGGGATTTCATAGGAAAACCATGGGGATTTCATGATGGGAGATCTTGGTTTCGTGGGTTTTTGTTGGGGGGATTTTTAGTGGGAGCTGCCATCAGGGATCGGTCCCCAGCCTTTCTAAGAGCTTGAAAGACTGACCCGGCTTTTTGTGTGCATCGAAAACCATGGGAAAACCATAGGAAAACCATAGGAAAATGGAGGTTTACCCTCTGGTAAACTAACGTAGCTATTGAAAATTGCCCATTTATAGTGGACTTTACCTATTAAAAATGGTGATTTTCTATAGCTATGTTAGTTTACCAGAGGGTAACTGATTCACATTCAGGCAGTCTCTCTGAACTTGTCAATCTTGACCCAGCTACGAAGCCGTCAAGACGAGTTCCACAGGCCAGTCATATCATGTCATATCACATCTCTTCACGAGGTCGGTGGTCAGATGGGTGTTGTCTGCAAAACCCAGTCATGAAGACATTAGGGTCAAATGATGTCAAATGTCCAAAAGTGTTTGATTCCCATTCATCGCTCCAGTTTTGGGCTATCATTTTTATGGCTATCCCAGCTTTGTCATCCCCAGCTGCTTGGTCAGTATCCCCATGATATCACCTTTTTGTCGTGGATATGACATGAAAACCAACACGTCTCGATTTGGCCCCTTGAAAACTATCCAACAGTAAGGAAGATGATCGCAAAGAGTTCTATATCTCGATGATAGCACCATTCTACCCCAAGTATACCCCCATTCTACCACCATCTACCCCATTGCGGTCGTTATGGTGTTCCACGATGACGGTTTTCCAGGTGTTGGCCCAGACACCGCCGACTCCGCACCGCTCTTCACTGGCGAGAGGCAGGCGGCCGTATCCTGAGGAAGCAGCTGATCTTCACTGGTGGAGGGAATGCTTGAAGATGCAGTGAAGATGGATAAGATGGATTAACTATTGGCCCTCATCTTAGGATATAACTATAGAATTATTGGTAACCATCTTGAATGATCAAATGATATTGATGATTCATGAAGAAAGAAGACTTCACGGTCCTTTTCAAAGCTTATGATAAGGATAAATCACCATGAACAATAGGCTTCTTAAATGGGTTTTTCATATGGTTTTTCATATGGTTTTTCAACATCAAAGAAAGGGATTCACAGATTAACCATCAACAACAGGCTACGGTCAGATCCAATGGCCATTTCTAGTCATCTGGGGGATGGGATTGGTTTTTTTGCCTCTGGTTTCTACATACAAAAACGATGGAACAAACACAAGTTCTAAAAGGTAAACCATCTATAAATGGGTCATAATCCATAGCTATGTTAGTTTACTGGAGGGTGATTGGAAGGGATTCAAACCACCGTGATTTCTTAGAAGACTTCCGATTGCAACCTTTGTTGCTGTGGCTGGCTGTCCAGTCACTGGCAAATCATGACGTTCCATATTTTTTAATGCCCATGTTGATCCCAATTCTTGGGGACTCCCAGATCATACCTTTGGCCTTTGACTACTACAGTATATCACATGTTTCTATCCCATGGCCTATTCCCATTCAATTTCCCCCATCCTTTACGCGACTCGTGGCCGTTCATGCCACATCATGCCCAGCGTCCGGCTGCAATGGAGCCACCTGCAGGGTCGCCTTTTTTTCGCTGGCAACCACCTGTTTTCAGATCTGCAGGAAACCGACCACGAAAAGAGGTGTCCTGGAAAAAAAAAATCTCCCGAAGCAATTCTGGGACGGGTGGATCAAGCCATCACAATATTTACCCAAATTTACCCTCTGGTAATTTAACATAGCCATGGAAAATCACCATTTTTAATAGGTAAACCCAGGTAAACCATCTATAAATGGGCCATTTTCCATGGCTATCTTAAATAACCAGAGGGTAAAATTGCCTGTTACACAGTTCCAACCAGAAATAGCCATGGTGATCAGATCGATCAGTGATGAAAACACAGCTAGAAATGGTATGGATTCTTCACTGGGGGAAAACAACCATTGCTATTCTGCTGGTTTTGGCTTCCAAACAATTCTTACCATCGATTTGGAGATGGATTAAGTGTTCCTCTCGGGGATGGAAATCTACTGGGGTTCCACAACTCACTCCTGTCATTAGAGTTTTTTTGGTGTTCCAAAATGTCCCATTTTTGTGGTTTCCTCATGGGAAAAAAATAGCCACCTTGGCCAAGGAGTAGAAGAGGTTCATCAGAAGCACAGAGATTTTTTCGGGAAGTCCGTGGCGTTCCAGTTGTTCGGGCCTGGCTTCCGAAGTCATTGGGGATTCCCATGACGACTGGATGTTAGACAAGGGTACCCACATAGTCAGGAAACCTCCATATAGTCATCTGCCACTAATGTAAAAGAATAAACTTTTGTTTGGCATCCGAGAAATGCATAGATTTCACTTTTGATTTCTTTGTTTAAGTGTTGATTTTGAGCCAAGGTCAAGAAAAGTGGCTGGTTTATTGGAACGGAATTTGACGGGTTGCCAGCGTTGAAGACATGTTTCAACCTTTCAAGAATTACAAGTTAAACGTGATATGGGCTGATGGATCTGTCAAAAATCGGATGAACGACCGCCATATTCCCATAAGTCATTTCTCAAAATATCCAAGTTCTTGGTGAATCCACATGTTTTGCGGTTCTTTCACCACGTTGGGAACTTGGACAGTAGCAGTCTGGACGCCTTGAGAGCCAAAACATCACAAAGTCTGCCAGAAAGGGCGAAGTCAAAGTTGTGGCATCCGCTTCACCTCAAGCTGAGGAGAACAAGAGATTTTTCCCAATTGAAATTAGGATTTCTGTGCTCAAAAATACTAAACAAATGGATTGGTTTAGTGGAACATCTACAGGAAACAATTTTTTGCCACCCTCAAGCGGGTTCCTTTTCCTAAGTCATAGGCTAATTACATGTAATTACCCAATTAACATCATCCATGGGATTTTCCCATGGAAATCAACCAGCGAGCTTGGGGATTCCCCTAGTTTAAGAAATCCCCAAATGGTTCAATACCCCCCAATAACCTCGGCATCACTGAGTCTCCCGGGTCTCCCGACACTCAGCAGGACGCCGGGCGTCGGGCTTCGTCCAGTCCGCCACGGACAAGATTTGCTCGAAAAGACCTGCGGTTGGCCCAGGGAAATGGCGGTTTTTTTCGCGCTTTCCCATTGATCAAACATTGATTTAATAGGGAACGCAGATCCAATATTCTGGGAAGATATATGATAACACAATGATTAGAAAACTATGAGACATTTTTTTTTTCGTTTCCTAATGTATCCATATTTGTTATGTGAGGATATTTTGGGCTATAACTGACATCAACTAACCACTGCTGTACTTCTTTTTAAGGCGATGTCTTCGATGCGGACTTCGGCAGTTCTGCCAAGAACAGATCTACAACATGGTATCCAATAATTCAATATCATGCAGAAAGATGTAACCGATTGGCAAAAAAACAACAAAGAAATGTTGATGTGAACTGTGCAGTCCTCTTTTTATTCAACAGGGCTATTCTTGGGATCGCAACTTTCGAAATCTGCTGACGTGAAAACTGGTGCTAACAGGCTTCACCGGTTTGTGGTAACCAACAAATTTGAAGCAATCCCTGAACCTCTGCTTGTTTCTTCGTGTTTCCTCTATTGCATTCCAATAATCCCCATTAAAACAGCTAGTATGTCACGTATATAACCACATGTCGTAAAGTCGTATACCATGGGTTGTGATCTTCATCCGCAAATTTGGGTATGGCTCAAACTCAAGGTTCTCAAAAGGTGGATGGTTAATAACAGCAACCAATGGTCCCCCGGTCTTAGATAATGACCCCATGTTGTTCTTGGTGAATCATGGTGAATCTCTATCATTGATGACTCGTTAGCTGTAGCATGCTATAGCTAGCATAGAAACATAGGAACTAAGCATCACAAACTAACCATTTCTGTTGAAACATGGTGAAACATGGTGAATGAAAAGAATGGTTTTTCTTTTCAATGCAACATGACATTACCAACTCTTATCATAGAACTAATAAGAAACATAATAACCATAGTAATAACTAAACCTAGCAACTAACTATCCTACTAACCATCACTAACCATTGCTAATTATCACTTGGTAAGAAAAACTGGAGGAGTCGGAGCCCTGCCTCTACGATCCAAGTAGAGCTGACTGAGCACCGCAGACTGCGCCAACAGCATTGGCTCCAATTGACTTTGAAGCCCTTGAAGCCTGGACACTTCGGCTGGATTTGGGTCATCTTTTGATGTGAGTGGCGGACAAAATCCGCCCACACCGCTTTGGCGGTGAAGGCGTGCTTATTGGGGGGCAACAGCAACACTAAATGCTCAATGACATTTGTTAATATAGCAGTCGCTATATCAGCTTTAGCTGGGGGGGGGGGGCCCAAAAACGGTTTCGCACCGAGACCAGAATACGGTGGTGTTTTCGACATTTTTCGAGGGTTTTTGGGTGTCTGAGCGCAAGAGGGTGTTGAAATGGAATTTTGGGTCATTTTGGTAGCTTTCCGGCAATGGAAAACCGGCCAAAAATGAAAAAAACATTGTACATAGCAAGATTTTGCAGGGTTTTTGGATGCCAGAGCATTGAAAACACTGCAAAAACAAGTGTTTTGGACTGGCGTTATAGCAAAAAACGTGTAAATTACCGTATGCTTGACTGGAAGCATTACAAAAACACTGTCAAAAGCAATGTTTTGGAAGGATTTACTGCCTTTATGGCAAAAAACGTGTAAATTACCGTCTGTTTGACTGGAAACATTGGAAAAACACTGTCAAAAGCAATGTTTTGGAAGGATTTACTGCCTTTATGGCAAAAAACGTGTAAATTACCGTCTGTTTGACTGGAAACATTGGAAAAACACTGTCAAAAACAATGTTTTGGAAGGATTTCTTATATATATATATATATGTTGGAGTTGGCTGCCGGCATTGGAACATGGAAAAATTGAAGAAAACACTGTAAATAGCGGTATTTTCAACGGTTGGGGAGATAAGGGAATTGGAAGCATTGTCGAACATGATGTTTTTGACCGGTTTTATGGCGACAAAAGTGTAAAGTACCGTGCTTTGAAGGAAACCATTGCAAAAACATGGAAACACATTCAAAGAACACGGGATTTGGGGGACTATCTAGGCGTCGTTGTCTAGCTATCTGAAATTCCGCAGCTTGGAGAGCCTCCAAGGGAGGGAAAAGTGAAAATTCCATAGCTTGGGAAGCTGTCACGGCGGGGAAAAGTGAAAATTCCCTAGCTTGGGAAGCCCCACGGGGGGGAAAAGTGAAAATTCCCTAGCTTGGGGAGGCCCCACGGGGGGGAAAAGTGAAAATTCCCTAGCTTGGGGAGCCCCCACGGGGGGGAAAAGTGAAAATTCCCTAGCTTGGGGAGCCTCCACGGGGGGGAAAAGTGAAAATTCCCTAGCTTGGGGAGCCCCCACGGGGGGAAAAGTGAAAATTCCCTAGCTTGGGGAGCCCCCACGGGGGGGAAAGTGAAAATTCTTAGCTTGGGGAGCCCCCACGGGGGAAAACCACCCTTAGCCCCTCTCACGGACCGAAATAAACCTGCGGTGTGGGCGGCCACCCCACGCGAAGCGGGGTGAATTACTACCCGCAATGGACATGGCCAAAGTGGGTGGTTTTTTCTATCGGTTGTGAGTGTGTTCGCACAAATTTGAACATCCCATGTCCCCTCCCCGCTACTTTAGTCTTCTGTTAATTTTCTCGGTTACTCATATAGTAACCACCAAAAAAAGATAGACAAGTTCATGTTCTCACTATTTCAGGAGTGGATTTTAGTTGTTTCGATCTTTTTGGGGCTAAGCGGCTTACTGTAATAGAAACGCATCTATAAATATGGGATCAATCATACGGAATTCTCATAAATTTTCTACAGAAATGATCAGAAATGCGTGCTGTTACATAGTGGGTTTTTCTGCCAGGAGAAAGTTAGCACTGGGGGTGCCCAACAACTAAAGAAAATTGTGTTTATGTGTCACATTTTTCCCTTGAACATCTTGAAGACCCAACGTTGTAAAACAAACATTTTCTACTGAGTGAACACGGTACATAGGTAGATGGAATACAATAGTATTTCCAACATCCCGGAGCAGTGCAGATGGAATGACAGCGATTACATTTTGAAGACAAGACAGCTGGCCAATGACAAGGTAGTTGTACTCATATTTCCAGGAAACAATGAACCCACATGCTTCTCCATGCACCCTATATCAGTTCAATTAGCGGATGACCTCTGGTTTTCTGTTGGAGCATCATCCAACTTATGTATATATATATACATATATACAATATATATATACACATATTTTCAGTACGTGGTCAACTAGTCTGGTCAATAAGTCCTCTCAGTGGCCCCTTTTAGGGGGAGTTTAACCTCAAACAACACCCGGTGATGATCATCCAAGAGGCTCATGGTGTATTCTCAGAAACATCCAAAATAACAGAGCAGCAAAATCCATTTGAAACAGTGATAAAATGTGGCCTATTTTTTTGGCCATTCCTATGCCTATAGTAAATTTTGGATACATTTGGTTTATAAACCAACTTATAACCAAAATCCTATTATAGCCAGTTATAAACCAGCTATAACTAGACTATATAACCAACTTATAACTGGGGAAACCACCACCACATCGAAACCACATCGCTTTCAATGTCGTTTTGACGCGACGATCGTCCAGGGCACCTTCTCTCAACGACTTGAAAGCTGCGTTTCAGCTGAGCGTCCAATCCTCGAACCTGACACGGGACGTCCTGGGGAGAAACCCGAAATGCTGGGAAATGCTGATTTCATGCTGATTTCATGGTGATTTAATGGGATTTAATAGTGATTTAATGGGATTTGATGGGATTTTGATGCTGATTTTATGGGATTTAATGGTGATTTCATGGAAATACCTTCTGGTAAACATAGAAAAAAACAATGTTTGATGGGTAAATCAACTATGGCCAAATGGCCATTTTCAATAGCGAACTCTTAGTTTACCAGAGGGTTTTTTGCTGGGAATGCTTGGAATATCTTCAAGGAAATATTGGACTGCATACTGCCCTGAAACTATCTCGAGTCCTCATATTCTGAACAGTTTGAAAGTGAAAACTGTGAATCACTGGACTTGATGACAATCATCAGCAATAGGAGATTGTTGTTTCAATCCATGGGAGGCAAGATGAACCAACTGAACGGGTTTAACCATGTTTGTTTTGTTGAAATTGGACAAAACCCGAGTCTTTCTTTAGCAGTTTGGGAAAAAATGTCTTTCTGGTACATGATTATGGGTCCAAACAAATTCAGAATATTACATATCAGGAAACTGCATATCAATAGATATGTGCCATTGCATACCCACACGAAACAACACATACATACCCATTATGGTTTGCCAATTTCCAACTTTCTTGGCCAATATCCTTTTTGTTTTGCCGACATTTTTGCACTTTCTTCATGGATAAATTGATTTGATCCTCAACAGCTCACATCAAAACACATCTCATCAACATTCATCAAATATGATTTGGAACTACTAGACCCTCCAAATACCCAAAAAAAATGGTATAAATGTACTAAAGGTCATGGGCTAACACATCAATTTTTATGGCTACTTGGATAGCCAACGCCTACCGTGCAGGCTGGTTCCATGGTTTACACCATCGAGATGCCGCAAGGCGGTAGCTGCTGGATCTCATCAAAGACCGTTGAAGAGCTGCAGAGGCATCTGGCGTCCGGGGGCCACTGGGAGTTGATATTTGCACTGATGGGATCTGAGGATGTTTAGCATGAAATTATGTGGAAAAATGACGGAACTATCCATTGTTGGGGTTGTTGGGGTTGTTGGGGTTGTTGGGGTTGTTGTTGGGGTTGTTGGGGTTGTTGTTGTTGTTGTTGTTGTTGTTGTTGTTGTTGGGGTTGTTGGGGTTGTTGGGGTTGTTGGGGTTGTTGGGGTTGTTGGGGTTGTTGGGGTTGTTGGGGTTGTTGGGGTTGTTGGGGTTGTTGGGGTTGTTGGGGTTGTTGGGGTTGTTGGGGTTGTTGGGGTTGTTGGGGTTGTTGTTGGGGTTGTTGGGGTTGTTGGGGTTGTTGGGGTTGTTGGGGTTGTTGGGGTTGTTGGGGTTGTTGGGGTTGTTGGGGTTGTTGGGGTTGTTGGGGTTGTTGTTGTTGTTGTTGTTTTTGTTTTTAAGATTATGTTTCTGTTTGTCTTAGAAAAAATTAGAAACCATGTTTGGTCGTAAAGCCCCATGAGGAAACCCGTTCGGAACATATTCAACATTCATGGTGAATTTTCCGACATCGTTTTCTCGAGCTCCTACAGGTAACCACCGGGGGATAGGTGTTTTTTCTTCAAGTACTGCCATATGTATGTATGTATGTATGTATTTATTTATTTATGTCTATGTACGTGTATATGTATGATTGTATGTGTATATGTACATGTATATATATATACACGTATATACCTATATTCTATATGTATGTATATATGTCTATGTCCATATCAAAATCTATATCTATATGTATCTGATTGCATATGTATATATCATGGGTGGCAATGGGAATGCACTAGACTAAGTTGATACACATAGTAGGCTATAGCCCCGAGTGAACCGTGGAAACTGAGGAATTGTCCAGCCACGTGGCTGACAAAACATCCAACAGTGGAGATTCGGGCCCCGAAACACGCTTTGGGCTTGTCTGAAAATAAGGTACAGCAACTTTACAACCCAATTTTCCCATCTTTCCCATAGAATGGTCAGTTTATGGATAGATATATACATTATATAGCCCACTTTCAAACCCAAATCATGCAAAGTTGATCTTCTAAGTTGATGATATCCCGAATTCTCAGTGTTACCCTCTGAAAATCAAACATGCACATGGAAAATCCACCATAGTTTGATGATTTTCCCAGCTATAAACTGCCATTTAGTGCGGATATTGCCCATTGCTATGTTTGATTAGAAAAGGGTAGTCCCATGAATCATCATTATTCACCACTATTAGCCACTATTGACCAATTCTATACCAACTATTGACAATCTATATATATTACCGAAATTATTAGTCACTATTCGCCACTATTTACCATTTATATTGTTACCATTCTTCGCCATGATTAGCCACTCCACTATTATAACTTATCAATTGTCATATTCCTTTATTAAAATATGGTCACTATTATTACCATCACATTAGCCCTATTATTGTAACCATCATCACCGTTGATATATACCATCTGGTTATTTAGCATAGCTAACTAGAAAATCACCATTTTTAGTAGGTAAGCCATCGAACTCAGGAGAGGTGCCTCAATATTGCAATTCCAATGAGGAAAAACACATGATTTACCCTCTGGTTATTTAACATAGCCATGGAAAATGGCCCATTTATAGATGATTTTCCCAGCTAGAAACCTCCATTTATAAGGGATTTCCCATGGCTATGTTAAATAACCAGAGGGTAACCATGGTATGGCCGGCCTTTGTCCTCCTTCTGTTCCATTTCCGCCACCAAGTCTTCACCAGCGACCTGGTGATGCCCAGCCACGGTCGTACTGCAATGGGCACATAGCCACATATAGAACACATATAGAACACATAGTGAACACATATAGAACACATGTGATGCATAATATAGCGCAACAATTCAACAAATCTTTGTATATAATTTCCAGATATTTTTTTCAGAAAATGTGTGGTAATGTATATAACAATGTAATTTTCAATGTGATGCACTGCCCTGACAATCTACACACCTCTCAGGGAATCCCATCCCCTGATCCTCAGTCCAAATTGGTCCCATTTTTGGTGGTGTCAGTGGCTTCCCCACTTTTCACGATGGTTTCGGGGTGAAAAAAAGAGCTGAACGGGGAAAGGATGACTGAAAATCACAGTTGGACTGGACCCAAATAGATGGATCATAGATCCCATTTGGCCTCGGCAATCGAGGGCTTCCTTGGCTGCCTGGGTCACAAGCTACGACTGAAATACCCATCAGAGAACTAGCTCAACAAGTGTGTTACATACCTGGCATCAACTGGGATATCAGTGGAATATCCATCTTAAGTGGGTTTCCCCCAATAACTATTCAATAACTCTTTGACTGCACTTGGTACCAGGAAAGCGGCGCCTGAGAACTATATTGATATGATTATAATATTGTATGTCAATATATATATAAGGACTCAAATCGGGCCGCTACTTTTTGGCGTTGCAAGACCGAGGTTTTCAAATAAAGTTAAAAGTTACATTTAAAAAACTTGAAAAATTCCGCTTCAAATTGCGTACCAACTTTGAAATTTCAAACTAATTTCTCACAGTCAATTCTCACACCCCTGGGTACCACGGCCAAGCCCGTGAAATACCCAGCCAAAGTGGATTTAGGCCGTCCCTTGTCCGGCCAGGCCCAAGACGACAGGACCCAAACCTTAAAGCACTCGATGTGCTCCTTTTTTCGGTCCCCGATTCCGCTGTTTCTTCTTTGCTTCCCAGGGTGGGGGCGGAGGGCCCTTGAGGCCAAAACTGCAGTATTAAAAGTGACATGCCCTTTTTTCATCCTTAAGCACGGGGGCGTTAGCCCAAGGACTCAAATCGGGCCGCTACTTTTTGGCGTTGCAAGACCGAGGTTTTCAAATAAAGTTAAAAGTTACATTTAAAAAACTTGAAAAATTCCGCTTCAAATTGCGTACCAACTTTGAAATTTCAAACTAATTTCTCACAGTCAATTCTCACACCCCTGGGTACCACGGCCAAGCCCGTGAAATACCCAGCCAAAGTGGATTTAGGCCGTCCCTTGTCCGGCCAGGCCCAAGACGACAGGACCCAAACCTTAAAGCACTCGATGTGCTCCTTTTTTCGGTCCCCGATTCCGCTGTTTCTTCTTTGCTTTCCAAGTCCCCCTGCCCTGCACCCTCTTGGGTGTGGGCTCAAGTTTTGGTAAGGGGGAAGTGAGACTCCGAAGATACTGGTTACGCAAATTACGAGAAAATGGATTCCACACTAACGAGAGTTCAGCCAATACAGCTAGACCTTCATTCACATAGAGCCTAGCCGTCTTGGCGGCTTGCCATCGACCAACCACCATTAGTCGGTCAAGTGACCCTTGTTGTCGAAAAAGATGGGTAGATCCACCTCTCCTTAAAGAGTAGGGTCGGAAGTCCAAGTGATGGAACTTCAAAGCAGTCAGAGTGTCAGAAAACTGCTTTCGCCATATGTGGGCTGCACCTGTCAACTTTGCGGTGCTTCGCACCTGTGCTTTCCATTGAAAAAGTCTACGACAGACATCCTCCACATAAATAGTGACGGACTCTGCCGCACCCTGACGTTTCCCAGACTTGGTCAGACCAAGCGAGATAACAGCCGGGCCTTTGTTTGAAACAACTGAGACATGAGATGCACAAATGGTGAGAATCTCTCCCGTTCGCAGGAGCCCAAAAAATCCCACCAACAGGGATAAGGCGAATAAATGCTGTTGTTTGAATAGGGAATATCCTACCATTGCTTCCAAAATTTCCAATGGCAAGGGCGGAGCCCTATTCGGAATTTCATTGATGACCCACGTCTTCATCAATCGCCAGCTCTGCGGCAGTTTGCCCTTTGAGTGTGGTTGAGCATCTTGTAATGCCGCCAATACGTTTGACCCAGTAGAGCGCCCGGCTCCTGTTGCCCAAAGATGTTCAATGTAATCTGCCATGACCAGGTCTAGGTCATGTGCCGTAGTGGGTAGGATTTGCCCGATCTCTTTGAGATATCTGAAAAAGTCTTGCAAAGCTTGATCATATCGAATCCGTGTAACCGGTTGCACCGTAAGTTGTTTTAAGGTACCCAAACGCTGCCGTGCCTTTGCCCTAGCTTCTGGAGTGGCTCCTTCTAAGTGCCGCTTAGGCATGAGACCACTTTCTTTTTCTGGGATGCCGACTCGGGGCATCCGCAGGGTTTTCCTTGGTGTGGACGTAGGTCCACACTGCTTGAGATTTAGTCGCCAGAAGCAAAGCATTGACACGCAGGAGGGTCCTTCTTAATTTACGGCTGCTGGACCGGCCTCGACTGAGGGCGTGAAGACATACAAGGGAGTCTAATAAATGAACAAATTTTGTGTGGAGGCATTGACGCCTTTCTATGCGCCACTTCAGCGCTGTCAAGGCCGCCCTCATCTCTAACACATTGATATGCTCTGTCACTCCCTTCCAGCTCCACCCACATACTGTCTTCCACTTCCACAGCTTTGCCGGGATCGTGGCACGGATTCGATGATACTTTACATGGTCCTTTGAAGAGCTTTGCAACAAAACGTCATCACCTTTGATGCTGACCTGAGAGAGCAGTTTCTGCACCAATTGATCTGCCTGCCCTTTGACCCTCATACGAGTTTGACTCATGAGGGGTCTCTGCAAGAAACTTTGAAAATCTTTGACACTTCCTGGGGAAGTACGTTGGCTAATTTCCTGTACAGTCAATGAGGGATTTAATCCTAAGACAGCCCCCAACTGGGACAAAAGCCATGCTATTACTCCGACATTCCAGGAGTTGCCCACCAGACTTAATCTGGCGTCATAGTGTTCTTGGGTGCCTCGTTTGGCCTTGGCAAAACAATGCATGGTATATCCTCGTGGGAAACCCATGATCACTTCTCTTTCTTCAATTTGTGGAACTCGCCGATTACCTAGTCTATCCTGGACACAGAAAACATCGCGGTATTGGTAGGGCGGAAAGCGATGTTGATCTGCCCTCCACCTTCCCAGTTCTGTTGGTGTGCACTGTGCCAGCCCTGCGGGCTTGTACCCAGGCGAGGGTCTTGGACGGGACGTGGTGAAAGTAGGGAAGGGCTCGCCACTGACTTTTCTCCACCCTGGCAGGAGGAAAGCATTGGGTTGGACATCTGCCTCCAAAGATATGGTAGCCCTTCCGTTCTGAGTTTTCACCAGGCGGGCGCCATCTCCTTCTTTGAGTTCCCAATCTACCCAATAAAGGCGCGGACGCCGTGCCAGGGAAAGACCCACAGCATCAATACTCCAAGGGTCCTCCCCAAAATCAGCGGACATCACTGATTCATCCTCAGCGCTCATGGATGCTACTGACTCCATTAGGCTCCTAACCTGCGCCCAAGGAAAGCAGCTTCTGACCAATTCTCGGATCCTTGACACGTGCACGAACAGCGAACTTCGCGCATCTTTCAGGGCTCCTTTCTTGCTGGCGTTCAAGCCACTCACGCCTTGGCATGGTGGCCCCGCACCGATCAAGACTAAGCCCACCTGAGAAAAACGTGAGGCCCATTCTAAGACCATGGCCCTATCGACCTCACTCACATCAGCAACCTTGATCGTCTGCGGGTACTTGGACTCGACCACTCTTTGCGCAGCTTCTGACATTTCTACGCTCACGTGGCCCAAAACATGCCACCCAACAGCATCAGCAGCAACCCGCAAGGCGCCAATACCATCAAATAGCCCAATTGTCAAAACCCCCGTGACATCGGCTGGCTCGACAATGTCACCCCGAACTGCGCAGTTACTGGCCACGCAACCCGCATGAGTAAGCCCTGTACTTACCGTGACACCCCCTCCCGTTGACGACGCATCACTAGCCGTGACGCAGGAAGAGATGCCACACCTAAAGTCCATGACGGCAAGGGGTGCTAGGCCAATGAAACGTGCCACCTCCTCTTTGACCTCGTAGGGGATGGGCAGCTTAATGCATGGAGGGTATCCTTCGAAGCTAGTGATAAACCGCCACACCGCGTTCAGGGCTCCTAACAAGGGCCGCCTGAACATAGTGAAATAGACAAAACCACCCCCCACGACCTGCACTTGCTTCTGCGTGCACACATTCTGCTGCAGCAACAATTTACCAAGCGCCAGATATTTGACCACCTTCTCGGGCTTTGGGAAGGCAATACCACGGCTTCCATCCACAATGGCCCCTTGCACCTCGGCTTTCAGTTGTGATGCAACCCCTTTCTTTGGATGGCGTGGGATACCCCACTTGGCGTACTCTTCGCGCAACCCTTCAACCAACGGTGAAACCTGGCCTTGAATGGCCTGAGCAGTCTTCTTTGAAACTCGTTTGAGTTCGTCAAAATTGTCTAAATAAATTCTAAAAAACGGATTTGCAGTGGTGAAACCTTTATCCTTACGGAGCTCGGCCTCGCTTCCCTGAGGCACTCGCGGAAGGGTTTGTCGGATCACAAATCTATGGATGTGCTGTGCCAGGGCCACAGAATTTTTGAATCCCATGGGAAGGACGGCACTGCAGGGGTACCAGTTTCCCGGTCTGTCACCCCTCAAACTCTGTGGAAGGGGGCGATTAAATGCCATGAAACGCTGCCACTGTCGCGGTATTTTGAAGATGTAGAAAAAACATCTTACATCCTCGCTCGAGACAATGAGGTTTTCACTGGGCATTAAACAAAGAGGTGTCATGCCCGCCCAAGTGGGCAAAGTTGCTACATCACCCTCCAAGCTTCTACAGACCTGATTAATTGGCACTAAATTCATTATGATCCTCATGACTTCAAACTGGTTCTCGTATTCTCCTTTGGAGACTCCAAAAAGCCCATTTAGAATGGGTTTCCCGTGCACCTTATAGAGGTCATCTTCATGGACCTTGTCGAAAATTCCCAGCTCTAACAGACCCCTACAAAAGCGCTCCCACCCTTCGGGAGGAACCAACACTCGTGGTGGTTTGGTATACACTTGATCCTCCTCTGGCAGGAGGTAGGTCTCGAAATTCTTGACATAGTGAAGACAGCCATGCTCCACCACGTTTTCCAACTGAACCCCTCCCACTTCTTTCGGGAGTGCTGGTGCCACATTTTCCCACACCATGGACTGAGCTGTCATTATTTCTTCTCCCTTGTAGTCAATCCCTCTACATCTAAAGAAATCAGCCCAGGTTACTTCTGGGACCGTTTCCTCCCACTCAAAAACTCGCCTGGAGTCAGCTAATAGTTCCTCCAGGATTCTCTTTTGGAATTTGGTGGGAGACTCGTCATTCCAAACCGCCTCACCATTCAAAGAGTTGAGAGAGACTACCAAACACCGTAGGATAGACAGAGGACCAGGGGGGCACAGGGGGAAAACCTGGCTTAGGCAGTAAGAGGACGTGGGCAGAGGATAAACTCGGCCCGTGGGCTTGGTCTTGCAATGCCTATCTACGAAAAAGTCCAATCTACCCTCCAGCCAGGTATATATATCTCCCACATGTCCCACCGGTTCCCCCGTAACTCGCTGTTCTTTTTCCGCATCCACTCGGCCCGAGCCTAAGCGGTCCAAAGCTTCAGTCTCACCAGCGGCGCACTTGCTGGCAGCCAAGGTTGTAGTGAAACCAGGAGAGATGGCAGTCTCCCCCTCATGCATGCTACAGGCTTCTACCGGGAGCTCCCTTTTGTCTCCCCAGCTACGAATTTTGCCACCATCGAAGACTTTTTCTGTGCTGCTTGATTTCCTCTGTGCGCCCTGACTTGATTCCTCTTGCCACTCTTTTGCAACCTCCTCACGCCGGCTATCTTCTTCCATTCTTACCTCTGGCGTCTCGCCTGTCTCCCAAGGACTGCTTACTCCCACGGTCAGGAGCTCTTCTTCCCTTCCTCCTTGTTCTTTCCTCCTTTGCCTTTCTCTCGGCCCTTGTCTTTGTCCTTGGTCTTTGTCTTGCCCTTGCCTTTCTCCCAGCTCGCGGTCTGGCCTTTCGTCTGCCCGTCTAGCCGAGCTTCCTTTTGCGCCACCTGCAGCTCGGCCCTCGAGGCCATGCTGGCCTCCAGTTGTGGGACCACTTCGATTTTTTGGGAAGTGGCCCACGGCTGTCCTGCAATGGTCAGCTCCAGGCTCTTGAGGCGCTGATTCAGCGCATCGGCGCACTCGGCTGCGCGCCCCAACAGGAGCAAGTCGAGGCAGTGGGCCAGGCTTACTGCCTCTCTCAGGATGCCTCCTGAGGAGCGCGGGGCTATAAAACTCCTCACATATTGCGAGGCTATGGGAGGAAGTGCCTCGGTGTCCATCGCCCACGTTGAGCCGGAGGCCTGGAGTACATACCCCTTCATGTACTGTAGCGACTCCTCTGTCAGCACCCCGGGGGCCACCTCGGCCAAGCGCTGAACCTTGTTCCTGTCTTCCAGGAGCCCAAGACTCCCGTCCACGCTGCTTGACGAACTTGAGCTTTGACTTGAGGAGGAAGATGAGGTTTTTGATTTTTTGAGCTTTCTCTTTGCCTTCTTTTTTACTCTTCGCCTTATTTTGGCGTCTGGGTCGAGGCCGGTCCCGCCAAAGAGATCCTGCGGGTGTTTCTTTGCCACGGCCTTGCCCCCAATCTTCTTCAGCCTTTCTCTCCTTTCTTTCTTCTTGGCCTTTGTTTTCTCGATCTTTTTCTTCTTGTCCTCCCTCGCTCGGGAGACGGACCTTTCCTCGCCCTCCTGGCCAGGTCTCTCCTGGCGTCGCTCCCATTCTTCCTGCTTCCTCCTCAGCTCCCGATTCACGTCGTCTTCTTTTAGATTCTCTTCCCATGTCTTTGGCTGATCTCCCACCACTTGCTTGAAACGGGAGAGATGAACTAAATCCTGGTTGCTCCTTTTCTGGTCACACCCGGCTCCACACAAATGAGCCCTAATCACCGGAGGGTGAATGCCCGAGGCGTACTTCAGGAGCTCCTCAGTGCTCGTCCCTGTCAGCGTAAGAACGAGCTCAGCTCCGTTGTCCTCAAGCACCACCTTGTCTACCTTCCCAGCGAACTCACAGGGCGCCTCGAAGTATGTTGCCTGGGTGGACTTCAACCAGCTGCCGCTCCCAAACAAACCAGGAGCAAACTCTGTCGACAGGAGCTCCTCCCCTCTGCTCCACCTATCTGCTGCGCTCCCCCGAGCCTCTCTGACGGGAGCCTCGGCCGCTGGCCGCCTCAGGGCTGCCTTTGCTGCCGCTGGCCGCCTCACTCTCCTCATCCACGGGCCTCCCTGGCCAGTCGCGCTGCTTTCCTCTGGGGATCCGTACCGTGCAGGCGTATATCTTCACGCCTGTTCCTCCTCTTGGCACCCTTAGATCCTCCCCAATACCTCACCGGTGCTCCCCAAAAATAGGGGTGGAATTGGCCAGGAGGCGGCCCAACTGGGGGGCCTTGTCTAAAAGGTGGGGGCCCCACGGGTTCGGGAGGACGCTCGCTCCCACGCCTCCTAATGGGGCTGTCTGACCTCCCTACTCTATGCTCTCCCCTGCTTCTCCGGGAGGCCCTCACGGAACGTCTCTCCTCTCGCCGTCGGCTTCTCGATCTACGCCGTGACCTCTCCCTCTCTCGGGAGACACCCTTGTCCAACCTTCGTCCTCTGCTGTCTGACCTTCTAGATGGTCTCTCACGCCCAGAGGAGGCCGGTGTGGCCTTATCTGACCTCCGTCTCCCTCTCTCTCGGGAGCTTGCCTTTTCCTCTCCTCTGGAAGACCTTGCCGGGCTTTGCTTGGAAGGCTTCTTGCTCTTCTTGTCTTTCTTTGCCTTTTTGTCCTTCTTTGTTTTCTCTTTCTTCTCAATGTCAGGGGTTGCTTGTTCTCTGTTCGGGAGCTCTTTATCTCCCACCTCTGCTTTGGCCGGTTCTGTCTCAGCTAAGGGAGGGGGCAGAGTAGGTGCAGCTTTGGAAGTGGCGTGATTTGGTCCTGTAGCGTCCTCCCCGGTCTCTGTCTTGACTGGTGTAACGGGAGGCGCAGCCGCAGCGCCCTCCTCAACCCCCGGGGGGCGCGTACCCGGAGTTGTCAGGGAAGGCCCTGGCTCGGCTGTCTCCCCACGGACGGGAGTTGCGTCTGCTGCCACAGGCGCCGCTCCCACTTGAAATCCCTCGGCCGCGTCCAGGAGCTCAGTGTACAGCTCCCGCAGCCTCCTCAACGCAAAACACTGAAAGGCCTCAGTGGTGAGAGGACGGCACAGGAGTATCCCGATCCGCCTCCACGTATGACACACGGGACAGGAGCACCCAACCGCAGGGTGCTCCACACTCATCCCTTGAGGCCAAAACTGCAGTATAAAAAGTGACATGCCCTTTTTTCATCCTTAAGCACGGGGGCGTTAGCCCATATAATATACATAATATATACATAATATAATATATTATATATGATATATATATATATATTATAAACATGATATACATTTCATAGAATGTCCATACTGAAATCACCAAATCAGCTCTGAGGAAAAAACCATACGATGGGAGCACGGCCAGCCACTGACACAACGCTTTCGAGCAGAGCGTTCAGATGCGCCTGGTCAACATCATTCCCACTGGAAGAATGGTAGTTTTATGGTGTTTTATTCTGTTTTAATATGGGAAGATTAATATGGGAAAACCAGAGTTAAAAAACAAATTGTCGTTTTAATCGGTGAAAAGGATAATGAACCTTGAATTTTATGGGGTATATAAGCTATTTTCAAACAAACCCACATGCTTCAAAGAATAGTTGAGATACTGTATGATACTTTGAAATCATCCCAAACGGTCTAATCTGCCAATAAGTCATTGATCAGTTGCTCGATAAATGGAGGGTCTTTCATTCGTGGTCCTTTATCCATATTTCAAGAAAAAAACAGGTGAGAAATGGTGAGAATGGCTGGTTGGTGACTATTTTGTGAAACTATTTTTTTCTATCCATCCCCAAAATACAAATTGATGTCATCATCAGTTATCATTATCATCCCATTTCAAAGCGGAAAATAGTTGAAAACTCAAAGACACAAAGCTATACCCGAGTAAACTAACATAGCTATGGGTATGTCAAACTACCAACTGGGGAAACCAATATTTTTTTGGGAGGGGCCTTCAGCTTCTAGTGCAGTGGAAGCCACGCCTGAATGTCTGCATGGTTTGGACTCGTCACCAGCATTGCTTCACCTGTCACTGGACCATTGGGAAACCATGGGAAACCACCATCCCCGAGTCATCACCTTTTTTATGGGTCCTATAAACCATCCACTTAAATAGTAGGTTTATGAATGATATTTATTATATATATATATATATTATCATCATTATTATTATTATTACTATTTATTATTATTTACTATTATTAATTATTTACTATTTGTTATTATTTACTATTATTATTTACTATTATTATTTACTACTATTATTATTATTATATATATATATTATATAATTAGGCTCCCCAAAGTATCCAACATTGTCACTGGACTAAACTTGTTGGATCTTGTTGGACTGTCTGGCCATCGATTGCCATCTTGGCCGATCCACCTGTCTCCTTTGCGAAGGGCATCGCCATGATGCGGATCCTGAGCAAGTGAAAAAAGAACGCGCTAGGCATCTTCCGGGTCTGAAATAGATGGGGAAAAGAAACATTTACCCTCTGGTAAACTCACATAGCTATAGACAAATCACCAATTTGAATGGGTAAATCAACTATAAACATCTATAAACGGGGTATTTTCAAAAGCTATGTTAAATTACCAGAGGGTAATGCCCCATCGGTTATGTTAAATATGATCTTTAAATACTGATGAACATCCCTAACCTTCCCTTGACTTCCAATGGCACAACTCCCCTTGCTCCGTCTGCCCCCTGTTTTTCGATGTAAATTTCGATCTCAGGCCAAGGTGCATCAAGTAGGAGGGATCCGCAAACATCTGTGTCAAGGTAGTGGCCGTTTTCTCCACACTGAAGGTCAAGCTGCTGATGTAGAGCTGCTGGAAGAGAGCCTGGCGCGATGGTTTTAATGTCTGGAAATGTGATAAAAACGTGGGAGAATCTACATAGGGGTGTATTTGGATCGTGGCAACCCCATATTTCCATTATAGATATATGATTAGAATTGATCCAAGTATATATCCGTAATATATTCAGTATATCCACTATAAATCCAGCATGATATATCCACATTATCCATTACATATCCATAACAATTCTACCGTGGCGAGATATGATCCCCCAGTCCATCAAGATCATGTCAATCCTGCGGGATGCTGAAGGAAAAGAAGCATCAGTGTCTTCAAAAAAAAGATGAACAGTGATGAACCACACTGTTCAACAGAAAACACTGTTAAATAACAACAGGTTGATATGGCAGGCAGTGAGTTTTCTGTTATCTGTTAAGTTTTTGGATATAAAAATCAACAGAAAACTCACTGCCTGCCATTTTCAGACCCAGGCACCGCCAGGGCGGGCGATTGATGCAGCTTCCGCTTGGCGCATTCGAGCTGCCAAGCGGCCGCCTGGTGAATTTTTGGGATTTTTCAGGATGGTTTTTGTACCCTAAAATGGTGAATCAATGGTGATTTCATGGTGATTCATGGTGATTTCATGGGATTCAAATGGATTAAATGTTGATTTACCCTAGGGTAAACATAAAAACAGATTAGTGGAAAACCCACATATGTTAACCCTAGAAAAAACATCTACAAATGGTGGGTAAACTCCACATCTATGTTAGTTTACCCTAGGGTATAATGGCATTTAACCCACTTTAACCCCCCAATTTGCGTTGAGAAAAGGGGTCCCTTTTTGAAAGATGGTGAATTCTATCCACTAAAAGAACTGGAACTGCAGTACTCTAAGCACGGATATTCTGTATCTAAATATATGTATATGCCACACACACACATATATATAATGTACGAGGTAATACCACATGGTTATACATCTGAAATAGCACGTTTTTCACCGATCTAAAGAGAACACCTATCATATTGTGTGGGAAATCTTTGCGCACGTATTGAAATATATGTACAGACAATAACCACACAGTATACAGAACAACATACCCAACATGTGTTTCAAACTAGTTTTATTGAGTCATATTATATATACATATTATATATACATATTATATATACATATTATATATATTGTTGGAGATGGTTAAAAACAAAAAACTAGAATCACAATTGGATCACATGAGTTGTTCAAGCATACATCTACAGGTGCAACTCGAAACAAGAACAACGGGACTTGTTTGGGGTGGCTATACCGCAGCCACAATTGGGGATACATTTGTTGCGAAAACCACCTTATAGCCATAGCCTCCCGAACTTTCACTTGGCAATGGAACAGACCAAGGTCCAAAATCATTCAAAATGTGGTTTTTCTATGTTTTTCTTGCTATATTTTGAAAGGTACCAGTCAGATTTACCAGGAAATATTGAAACTTGCTTGGCAATCCCATGGTTTTTTATCTTCAGGCCGATTCTTCATGGACTAAAATCTGCCGATTTTCGGTTCACCGTTATACTCACCACCAGAAAGGCGCCGTTGGAATTCTCCCCATGATTTTTACGGTGGTTCAGAAATCACCACTACTCACTACACCACCAAAAAGATGCTTGAAACCCATCCAAAAGAATGGGATACCATCTGGTAAACTAACATAACTATGGAAAATCACCATGTTTAATGGGTAAATCCACTGTAAATGGCCATTTTCAATAGCTATGTTAAATTACCAGAGGGTATTCACCAGATCCCTCAACTGCTGCAGGATTCCTTCCACTGCACCCTCCACTTGGACCCAAAACGCCACAAGTGGTGACCGTAGACGGCGTGCCTCATCTCGAGCTTCAGCCTTTTTGACATCCTGCTATGTCCGGAACATCTGCTGCACCTCTTAGTTATATGGAGATATGAATGAAATTGTACTATAGATTTATGAACATAGACTTTAATCATCTTCAACATCTTGTCTATTGTACTCCATGATACTAGCTTACATCATGGTGTCTTTCATCTAGTCTTCGATATTCCTAGTTTATGAATTTCTGCAATGCAAATTGAAAACATAAACTCTGCACCGCCGCAATCCTTGGTTTTCTCTTTGATGATCCAGCGCTGAACAACACCTGCGGCAGTTAAATCTCATCTGCCATGGAACAGACTTGCGCCAAGCAGCATGCACTTTGTTGCAAGTATTGTTCATGGTGTAACCTGACTTTCAAAACCTTTAAATCTCATCAGCACACTTCCCAAGCTTGCCCACTGGCAAACTCCCGAAATCGGGTTAGTTTCTAATCTGCACATCAACGGGTAGACTATATAAATGTTTCACATCAATTTCAAATTGTAGTATTTGGATGCCAAAATGCAGGGTTTCAACAGATTTTCGGGCCCTCCCAAACTTTTGGAACCATCATTGTCGACTAATATGGTCAATGTTGAAAGGCGATGCATCACACACTATGAGCACACCGTCGCATCACCGAAAAAGTGTGGCGCCTCGTTCCGCCTCGCTGGCCGCGGCCATCTGCTGTCGGAGGAGCTGTGCCAGCTGATGACGTAACTCCTGCAGAGTTTGATCTCGCGGAAAGTATGATCAATGGAAAATCCCATATTTTAATGGGAAAATCTATGGTTTCCGGTTAAGATTTTCCCAACTGAACCAATCCATTGATCATGAAGAAGCCACAGTTTTTTGGGATGATTTGCCGATCTTCAAAACCCGAATCATCCCAAAATCCATGGATTTGTTGCATGCTTTGGAGATTCTTGCCCCCATTGGAGAACGGAAAAACAAGAGCTCGGAAGTCCTGTGCTAAGGCTGAGAAGGTTTCACCTCAGGCCCCAGTGTCAATGGGAATTTCAGGATCCTAAAATGGAGGTACTGTACCATATAAGGCCATATTTTCTGGGGATATTCCCTTACATAGGCCTAAAAAATAGGCCTTAAAAAAAGGTAGGTACCTCCAATAGATCGGTTCCTGAAATGGCCATTGACAGTGTTGGTGATCCGATAGCTATCCCATAGCTATCCCAGGCTATCCCAGGTTTTTTCTCGTGAAGGCTATTTTGATGGGGTGAATCGACGTGAAAAATCCCAAAGATTTCAGAGCTCACGAATTCGGCATGGAAATATCAATGGACATGGTGGAAGATACCCTCTGGTGAACTGACATAGCTATTGAAAATGGTGATTTATAGTGGATTTTCCCATTAACAATGGTGATTCCCATGGTTATGTTAGTTTACCAGAGGGTAGTTAATGGGAATCAGAAGATATCAACAGTTATGCATCTCTGGTTCAATCCACTCAAGGTATCTCAAGGTAAGAAGTTCACAGGAAATCCAACTGCTTTTTTCCAAAATAAACATGGCGGTATATGGTTGGGACATAGTTGGTGCAAGCTCGTGCAGTTTTAAAAAAACGTTTTAAAGGCTGGTAGTTACTGTTAAATCCTCATTCTCTATATTATCTTATGGTTAAATCTCCGCTGCTCTCCGATATTGAATAAGGATGAAATTCAGGTTATATCTCGGTGATTCATTGAATAAGATCCTCCCTGAACTACCATCATTCATACTTATTCCACAAGGTTAAATTTATCTCCATTCTTTCAACAAACAATTTATAACCCTCTGAAAACTATTGGGATAAGCCATTACTAACCCATTGCTCCATGGGAAAATCCCGGAAAAACCACGGAAAAACTCCAGCTCCAAAGGCTCCAAATCAGCTCAGCGGCCACTCTCGCGTCGCAGCTTGGGAGGAGACGTCACGGGATAGACGGAGCTCTCGCGTCGCTTCTCCTGGCGGTGGAACGCCATGGGATGCCATGGGGAAGTGAATCCAAGGGGGGACTGAATGGGTTGATGAAAGGGGAAAAACACACACATATACATATATATATATATCATCATGTGTATATTATACATATATATATGGACATTATATATATATATATATGGTGAGAATGCTATGGTGAGTGTCTTATATGGGCCTATTAGTAAAATTGAAGTTTCCCTGCTCCGAAAGAGACTGACTTCATGTATGAATGATTTCGGATGATTTTTCCATTTGTGTTCCCTACTAAAGGGAAGTTCATGATTTTGGGGTGCACCTCATTCTCAGACACACCCAAATACTGGTATCATTGAAATGGACAGAACGATGTAGACGGAAGAATGTGGATATAGGTTATACTGATACAAATATATCAGTATAATATGCTATTCTATCCCCATCCCATTAGATCCTCATTTTCAGACACACCTCCATAAGTAGGTTAGACTTATATCTCATATATCTCATATATCCATATATTCGTATATATATATACATATAATTATATATATACGTATAATATACGTATATTCCCACTGAATCCCATGAAATCCCCCATTTTGTCATGGTCAAATCATCCAAGTTTGGATCTGCCTCGTTGACCTTGCGACAGAACTGAACGCCTCGGATATCTGTGAAATCCCCATGGAATTGGATCGTCCCATCTGGTGGATGTTCCAATGTCATGTGATGGTGAGGATGGTGAGACCAAGTCGCTGCGGAAACTCCATTCCCAAAAATCTCACCGCGAATGGAAGGGCAAAGATTCACAAAGATTCACAAAGATTCATAGGTCTGTGAGATACGGAGCGTGTGAAGCGTATGACTACGTGGTTCTGGTCGTTTCTGGATAGCTCTTCGCCCAAGATGTCCCATCTTGCGGCAAGGGGCTGAGCCAAGTAACCTGGACAGGATGGGACGGTCTGGTACTGGGGTGCAACGGGAAATCCCTGTTTCTTATGGAAAAGTATTGTAAAACACAGGGATTTCCCATGGCCAGTAGATGGATGATGTTTACAATCCTGTTTACCTTGGATGGTTGTTTAGCGCCTCGAGCTGGAAACACTGCAACACTGACTATAGCCAGAGATTTAAACATTTAGTCTTATAGTCAGTGAAATTAGTGTTATAGTCAGTGTCAATCAACCCACTTAAATTATCCGGGATTTTTCAACTCCCCCTTTATATACTGGGAATATTTCGCAAAACCTTATCCCTGGTTCCACAATTCGCCCCACGAAAAATAAGGTGTTTTGGGCATCCAAAGAATTGAATGGGTCAATACCAACATGTTTTTCCGTGAAATTAGACATAGCGCCGGAAAAAAAACCAATTCTGGTAAATACTTGGATGATTAAACCAACATGTCGTCCCAATTTTGAAAAACTGTGCTGGACCTTGTAGCTTCTTTGATATTGATTTCGTCAGTGCATACGAGGATTTTATGTCCTTGTTTCTGACCCTGACCACAAAATATCCACAAGCATCATCCAGCCATCATCCAGCCACAGTGTCGCCTATACCAAGCCCATAGATGGCCCTGAAACCAGGATTTTTTCATTTCGTTCGATCATTGCCCTCTTTCAACGACCATTGAAAGGTCCCATTGAATCCCAACAACTCCAACCCAGCGCCATGGACATAGTGGTACCATGTGGTACCCCCCCGGCCACCTGATCACTCTTCGCCAGGGTCTCTCTGGCACGCATGACCTGCTTGGGTTTCGAAACCCCAGAAATGTGGGGAAAAAAATATGATCGATAGTGAGCGCTATTTTTGAGTGATGATTTCATAATTTATATAGATATTTGTCATATATATATATGTATATCATGCATATATATATAATTTAATTATGTAATATTATGTATATATATATATTATACTGTAGAGATATACAGTGTGAATGTGATAATTATATCCGAATTGATGGATGTTTATAAAATAAGCAATCATAACTGTCATATACTGTCATTTGGTTTTTGTAACCAACAGCAATGAGGATGTATCCAAAATGGGAGAACCTTGATCCAGAAACTCATCCAATGGTTTGGTAGTCTCAATTTTGGAGAATGCGAAAAATCTGTAGGAAACCGTGTTTGTTAGCCCCAAAATCTTGCAAAATATGTCCCTCAAACCATCTGGATAAACTATAAACATCTATAAACTCTAGTAATTCAGCACCGTTTTGTTTTTCCCCCACCTGCCAGGTGAAGATCTCTAGATCTGAAGGTGCAACTCCTTCCTTCACTCCTTCACTCCTCATACCGTGAACCCTATCGTGAGCTCCGGCTCCGTCTGGGCACGCACGGACCTGTAAGATAGAATGTATATATGTCGGGATGGCAAATAAAACGTCAGAATATACGTCAGATCGAATGTCAGGTATGATGCCAGGTAAAGCGTCAGATAGAACATCAGAGAAGATTTCAGATAGTATTTCAGAATATATGTCAGTGATTGTCAGTGTATCTGCCACAGTGGGGATCACACGAAGTAAAGTAATTGTTACTACTTAACCCCTACTATTCCGTGATAATTTCTTATAATGTGGGTAAAACATGGTAAAACAATAATACACCATCCCCCACATCACCAAATAGATGCTATAAACCATTCCCAAATGGGTGGTAAACATGGCATTGTTTTACCCACATTGCCACCCAGCAGCCGCGTTGGCGCGTTCAGGGTCGTCCCAGGTCAGGGCTGCTCGCATGCTCTGACGATTCCTGCCACAGAAACTCAATTTGCAGTGCCTGTTTCCAATTGTTTCCAATTGTTTCCAGCTCTCTCTCTCTCTCTAATTTCAGTTGCCACTGCAACTCACGAACCTTCCTATAGGCCAACAATCTTCTTATGGTCATGTCTTTTTCTCGAAACTTCCGCCGCGCCCACGCACTATCTGGTACCATCATACCATCATATCATCCACATCATGATATCGTCATATCATCAGCATGATCATGATCATGAGTATGAGGAGCCTGTAAAAATTATATCCAAATACGGGGGTTTCCTAAAATAGGGATACCCCCAGTTATCATCCATTTATAAATGGATTTTCCATGAAATAAACCATCCATTAATAGGTAATTACCCCCATTGATGGAAACCCCCAGATACCAATATGACTCTGTTGGTTGGCGAGTCCTCTCGAACCTGACGCGGCGATACCAGTTCTGCCATGCATGCATGCAAGCAGCACAGCTTTCCCAAACTCCGTCTCCAAGGAGAAAACCTCAGCTGAAAAAATAATGCTGAAGCTTGGAGATGTTCATCATCTGCTGAATTCCATGAAATTCTTGCAAGATATACTACTACTTCTCCATAAATTCTTTGCGTTCCTTGCTTTTAGAGCTTCTGCAATATGGTATTTGTTAAAAAACAGCAGCCCGATGATGCATTTGGCAAAATTTGGCAACCAGTACCTGATTCCTAATGTGTTCTTCCATCACAAGGCGTACAGCTAACCGAGGCGCCAAAAATTTTGCTGTTCGCCAAATCGTCCCCGTGCATGTCAGACATGCGCCTCCGAAAAAAAAATCCAGGCCATAGTTGGGGATGTGGGTTTACCGATACAACCTGGTTTGAGTATGAAAAACACCATTGAGTAGTATTAGCAAAAACACACATATATATATATATTATAACTATATATATTTATATGTATTATATATATATATTTATTATATGGTAACAAATATGGTAACAATGTTGATAAAACACTTCAGTTTTCTGATTGAAAAACATCACCTTGCAGAGCGACCGGTCCTCTTCAAGGCTTTGAAGATCTTTTTCCTGGCGGCTGGTTGATGACTAGACCCATCTAATGTAAAAAACACCCCTCCAGAAACCATGGTTTAGTGGGGAATGACACCACATCATTGGGAAGAATGGGGGTGTCTGATAGGTTGATGGGAGTAGTTTCCCTGTCTCCATGTCTCCTAGGTCTCATGTTTTTACTGCAAACTGCAACCATCCTCTCTACTTTCCGGATTAAACAACTGAATAAAATCACTCTTGTGCCAACCCCGAAACTCTGAGGAGCATGGGATACCCTCCGGATCCCAGCCATCGAAACATGGCACTTGGAGTTCCCCAAAAAACATTTGTGGGGTGAATGGCAACCGAATGGCTGTAAATAGGGTGGACATTCACGTTTGATTACCAGAAGGTATCCCCCAAAAAACTGGGACAACACTCAATAAATTTCAATAAATCCACATTGAACGCCCAAAAATGAGCAACTTATTGCAACTGTCATCCATTTTCCAATGGCACTCCGGCCTGCTCTTGTCCAGCGGCTCAAGCTGCTTCTGCTGTGTGTCATTCACCACACTGCGCACGACTTCCTCGGCAAATTTCACCCCCGTGGCCATCCGCCGGAGATTTAGGGTTCCGTGACTTGGAAACCTAGGGAAACATACATACCATTTACATCTGGTTGGTGGTGCAATAACCATCTTGAAAAATATGAACGTCAATGGGAAGGATTATCCCATATATTATGGAAAATAACAAATGTTTGAAACCACCAACCAGTATACCATTTACATGTTCATTCATGATGGGTCAACCTGGTAACCAGTTGCACTGGGTTTCAGAATGACGACTTGTCGAATGATCATCGAATGATCACCATCCTGGAATCCTGCTCAGCTTCTCAGCTTGATCCAGGATTCTCCTACACCCATATGAACCAAATACCCTCTGGTAAACTAACATAGCTATGGAAAATCACCATTTTCAATGGGAAAATCCACTATAAATCACCATTTTCAATAGCTATGTTAAATTACCAGAGGGTAAATGAGGTGGTTCATTGTGTTGTCCCTCAAATATACCTCCCCCATTGCCCAGAACGTGGCCAGCCTATCTGCTGATCAGCAACCCTTCCGGTAAGCAAAGATGGCTGGGAATCCCCGATCAACATATTCTGGGCATTTGAATCGGAACATCATCAAACAAAACGGGGAATTTCTCATTGCCATGTATTAAATTTCACGAGCTCCTGGGATTTTGTGATTTTTAGGGATTATTGGATATCAAGGTCAAGATGCAATATTTGGTGCAGTGTACGCGCACAAGGGTGGCACCAAAAAACTTAAGCGTCATGGTTTGCACGGGTTTGCACTGGATCAGCCTTCCATAAATGGAAGTGGCCCAATTAATCGTTCAGAAAAAATGAAACGGTCGGAAACGGTCGGAAACAGTCGGAAACGGTCGGAAACGGTCGGAAACATGATCAGGCCAAAACTTGTTCAACCCGCATTTTTTTTTAAATAAGCATTTCCGCGCAACGCCGTTTTTTTTTTTGAAGGTCCAAAGGTGTCCAAGGGGAAACGGTTGGAAACAGTCGGAGATCGCACCTTCGCTCGGCAAAAAAGTAGTTGTTTTGTAGCATATGTTCATGAAACATGTTTGAAAATTCTGTAAAAACATGTCTTTTTTGCCGAGCGAAGGTGCGATCTCCGACTGTTTCCAACCGTTTCCCCTTGGACACCTTTGGACCTTCAAAAAAAAAACGGCATTGCGCGGAAATGCTTATTTAAAAAAAAATGCGGGTTGGACAAGTTTTGGCCTGATCATGTTTCCGACCGTTTCCGACCGTTTCCGACTGTTTCCGACCGTTTCCGACCGTTTCATTTTTTCTGAACGATTAATTGGACCAGTTCCATTTATGGAAGGCTGATCCAGTGCAAACCCGTGCAAACCATGACGCTTAAGTTTTTTGGTGCCACCCTTGTGCGCGTACACTGCACCAAATATTGCATCTTGACCTTGATATCCAATAATCCCTAAAAATCACAAAATCCCAGGAGCTCGTGAAATTTAATATTGCCATGCTTGAATACTGGAGAGATCTGGAGAGTATACACAAAAGTCCCATCATATACCATCATATCATATCCAATCATCCCATTCCAATCCCATTACAATCCCCATATGGGTATACTAATGGGTCAAAATTTGGTACACAATCGGATAGGTTTGTACTGAACATGGAGTAACATCTGCGGTCCTGCCTTGAATATTTAAAAATCACCAGGATTTGGCAACACCGCAGGTACAAGGGGGTAAATATCATTTGCCTGTCTAATGGCTTGAAACAACCCATTCAAAACCAATGGTTGGAATCGTGTTAGGACCAACCACGACCAGTTGGACGTGAACGACAGCGAGCCACCAAGACGTTGGTCTTCTTCTCAGTGGTCTTGAACAACCTGAGAATGACCAAACAGCCCGGCGATGGAAAATCAGGGAGCTTGATGGGAAATATGGGAAAATGATGGAACATGTGAAATAAAATCATAGATTCGATAATCATGACCATCATGAATTATTTGGGTTGGCTCCATGAAACCAACCTATGATCTTCCCAGCCAAAAACTGCACGGAGGCTTCAACCAAACTCCCAAATCGATTGTCTCTGTTGGGCTCAAACAACCAAAACAGGATCAAGAAGGAATAGAAAATGAAACCATCAGCATCCATTAAGCAGGATCGTCCAACATATCTTTCACATATAAAACATGAAAACCAAAACAAAATCCGAGTGTTTATAGCCAATTTCCACATTCAAGTGATCATGTTGTATTGATCTTCCCCATTTTGAGACAAAAAAACTAAATCATATGCCCTGAAGTTGGGGAAATATATGCTGCATGCCATGATCAACTGCTGGCTTCCATTGGCTTCCCATATCTTCCCTGCTGATCCTGACATCAAAAAAAACCTGTTTTTTTCTTCCGAGACTCCCGTGAATCTCTTCCGCCCGTGCGGCTGCAACGGAGGTGGCATCCTCACGGGCTTTGAAGCCGAAGCCTGTGCCAAGGGGTGCCACCTGGATACGGGGAATATCGTGGGAATATCATGGGGATATTTGGATCTGGTTTTTAGATACCTTTAGACATTGAACACTATGGGCATATCCCGAAACACAGGGAACCTCTGCCCATTCCATCCCATGAGGAAAAGAAGCTCTTCCCCAATTTTCATTATGGATAGAAAAAAGACATGTTACTAGACAGTGTCCACCATTATTACTATCACTAGTATGTAGTATTATATATATATTCTTATTTTTATATAGTATTATGAATAGAATTATGATTGTTAATATGATAATTTTCATATGTATCTCAGCCATATGGACGATCTTCCCATATCCACCCAGTCCTGACAGGTGGCCTGCCACTTGATACTGCGAAGCCGCGGATTTTGGGGCCTGACCACGGACATCACGGGATTTCTGGGAAAATCTTCACCGGAAACCATGGCTTTTTTGACTAAACCAATGGGGTTTCCTGGTAAATTTTCCCAACAAAAACCAATCCAATGAGTAAATGGAGTTTTTTCCCGCCATTTTATGATAGGATCATACGCGATCAGAATACAGGAACTGTTCCGAGATCAAAATCCAGAGGTCTCGTGTGACTGGCAGCCAGTTGCACTCTGCAAATCTGAACTGGCGATGGAAGACAGCTATTGAAAATGGCCATGGATTTTCCCATTAAATATGGTGATTTTCCGGTACCAGAGGGTAAATCATTCGCTTATGAAAAGAATTCAGAATACCCTTCGGGTTTTTTCAAACATGGCAATGGAAATTCCGAACTGAAAGGCAAAGGTGGAAAAACCCCATCTACAGATGGGGATTTTCCATTCTCCAACTCCCAGAGGGAGTAACCCCCTTTGGCCGAAGCCTGTCAACTTGCCAAGAAAAGTTGATGGGACCCCGGAACAGGACTCAGGAAACTGGAAACATAACATGGCTTTCTTTGTATGACATTTTTTGAAGTGCACCCCTCCATATATGAAAGCCTGTCGAACCCTGACTAAAATATGTTGGAACACATTCCCTTTTTATATGTCAGATATCTACAGCAAAACAATATCCTAAGCATCACGTGTATTATATATACATATGTACGTATTAGTATAAAGATATATGTAAAGTTATGTGTATAATTCATTATCATTAATCATATATTTAATTGTATATAATAGACATATATCCCGGTTGTATCCTCATGATCTCCCCATGCCCCGCTGAAAAAAGGGCCTCGTTGCCCGTCTCCTGTTCGAAGTCATGCCGCAGCTGGCGGATGACCTGGCGCACCGATGAAGTGATGCCGGTATCTTTACCCGGTAAAGTGACATAGCTATTGGCCATGGCCCATTTAGTTCGTTGATTTACCTACGAAAAATGGTGATTTTCCATAGCTATCTGGGTAAATGATCATATTTCACTGATCTGAAATAAGACAACAAATGTTGGGCTATTGTGGGATAATTACCCCTACTAACCATGATTCCAGGGTTCGGGAAAACAGTGAGGTCGTTATAATTTGCCCAGATAGCTATGGAAAATCACCATTTTTAGTAGGTAAATCAACGAATAAATGGGCCGTGGTCAATAGCTATGTTAGTTTGCTGGAGGGTATCTATAAAGATATGGTGATAAATAGAAAATGATGATGTATAAATGGCAATAAATGGAACATCTCTATATTGCTTCCCCATCATATTGAGTCTCCAAATCAATGGTGATCTACACAGTGATATAACAAATGGTGATAATTGGGGAAAAAAACAATGGCCATTTCATCTATAGTGGAAATCACATTCCATAAATGGAAACTTATGGAATCAATGACCTATAATTAATATCCATTGATGGAAAGTTAATATCTCCAAATAAATGATGATATTCATGTATCCCAGCCAACAACTGTCCCAGCCATCAATCTATCCATAAATGGTGATATGACAATACCCGTATCCTGCCTTCCTTATATGCAATCATATTATGTATATATATATATATTATGAATATATATATATATGAATATATATATATGTATATATATATATGAATATATATATATATATGAATATATATATATATATGAATATATATATATTATGCAGTATATAGTATACTATACTATATTGATGGTATGTATCATGTATCATTTGTGATCTGGATAGGTTATAAGATGGATCATTTAGAATTTAGAATAAATCCCAGGTTTGAAGCCCTGTGTTCAGTGGATTCCTCTTACAAACCATCATAATGGTGAGGTTCAAACTTGTTCACTATCAATCGAAGGATCGCTATTCAGCTATTCATTATCCAACATATGGATGATATGTGATGGCAAGATATGGCAAGGAAATCCTATCATCTGCACATGGAGATATTGAAGGTATGCACCAGTATGCACCATCTAAATCATACTGATCTAAGAATTCCAAAAACTAATCTTGCAATTCTCCATTCTATTTTCATTGATGTTATTAATACTCAACCAATGACCTATATAAATTCTATGCCTGATGGGCAGCGCCTCGGAACTGATACGGAACCGGAACGCCAAAGAGGCACAAACGACGGAGCATTTGGATTACCCTCTGGTAATTTAGCTATGGAAAATGGCCATAGAAATAGTGGATCTACCCATTAACAATGGTGATTTTCCAGTTCGCTATGTTAAATTACCAGAGGGTAATGAGTGTTCCCTTTTAATCCCCTCCCAAATGTTTCTTATTTGGGAGGGAAGGGGGGGTGGGCAGTATTAGGAAAGGAGTACTATAAGCAGCCAGCTATATTGAACATGGCGCGCAGCTTGAGAATCGGATGTACTACTGAATGTAATTGATGTAGAGGTTTTCTGACACTTGATGACCCAAATACCACCCAAAATCCAAAAAGATACACCAAAGATAGCCGCTAATCAAACACGCTTGGGAAATGCCCCACCTCACCTCCGAAGCACCTAAGCCATGCCGTTGCCCTAAGGCTTTGTGTCGCTGTCGTTGCGCTTCCAAGAGACTCATGGCTGATCTTCGGCCTCAGGGAAACCCAATGGTCTCCTATCGATCCAATATCCCCGTTGGGAAATTCCAAGGTAAATCCCCTACTTTATTCCCCATGTAAATATAAATCCTCTAATTGCACTAAAGCCCATGATTTCTCGGGGATGAGTTTCACATAGTCCCACTTCATCACGTCTTGGATCGCCTGGGTGGGTCACATTGGACCTGTGTCTGGCCGCACATGGTGGGCGTCTGATGAACGAAGCGTTGGCAACTGTGGCTGGCTTTTTTACTGCAGGTTCATTTGGATTTCAACTCGATTTCAACGAGCTTCCAACAGATTCATTTCAGTCTAGTTGTATATCTCAATGGATTGGTTTAAGGGAAATTTTACAGGAAAGCCCTATATTTAATGGGAAAATCTATGGTTTCCTGTAGATTTTCCCTTAAACCAATCCATTGTATATCCAATTATAGCCATATTTCTTCATCATATGATCAGCAGCGCTTCGACTTGCGTCACATCGATTTGGTAGCAGTGGGATGATACTTCCACTGCCTTCACTGCCTCAATCAATCACTTGTGCCATGTCATGACTTGACTAAGAAAAGCTGCAGAGCTGCAGAGCTTGATATGAACCGGATATTTTTCATTGCCATGTTTGATTGGAGGGTAAGCATGGAAATTTAGCAATATTTCAAGCACACGTCAGTAATATTTGAAGCACATGTCATCTGTATAGTTGACCGTCGGGCTAAACAATATCTAAACCACCAATCGGTTCGGATCTGCTTGCGAACCACCCAGTCTTTCAAGAAATTGCCTAATTCAATTTTCCCTCTCGGACTTCTGCGCATTTGAGCCTCTGCACTATTTGCAAAAGCTGAATGTGAAACCCATGTGAATGTGTGTGCTCTGGCCAATAAAAACAGCTACAAGTGGGGTCTATGTCGTCTATACCTTCCTTGTCATGACTTTCCGCGAGCATCCAATGACATTTCTGGATGATGCCATGTTTGCCTGTCATCGGAGGCCTTTGCACTCCAACTCTACTTGATATTGACCATTGGATCTTGCTTCAGCCGCTCCAACGTCGTATGGGGCACCTCAGAACTCGAATGGGCTTTTTCTGTTGTGTGTGTGTGTGTTGTCAGTTCAACAACGAGTGTCCATAGACAGAAAGCATATCCCCAGGGATTCAGTTCCATTCCGACAGTATGACTGGGGATTCGATTCACATCCTATTCAACCACGGTATTGGCCTCAATACATAATTCGAAACGGAGATTTTTGGATCCCCAGATTATTGTTCCTATAGCAAAACTCTTTACCAAAGAGCAAGCCGGGAACCTTCCACACCCAATGCTTCAAGTTGCGGATTATTCCAATGGGGTACCCAAAAATCTACGATAGTATCATCGATAGTATCATCATTTTCCCACTAGAATGGCATTTCGTGTGATTTCCTAAGTCATTGGGGGTAACCCCAAATCATCCAGTCGTCGTGGCTTGGGGATCCAGCACCATGTCCTCTCGCCCACTAAGCACGTGGCAAAGCGCTCCGTCTCTGTTTCGAAACGGACAGCATGGAGGCATCGTCTGCACCTGTTGATTCCAAATACGGCATCTCGGCAGGCCTTAAAACCACCATGTTTCTATGGTTGAACCATGTTAAACCGCCAGCCCTCTGGTCATTTAAATCAACATAGCTATGGAAAATGGCCCATTTATAGATGATTTATGATGAATTTACCTATTAAACATGGTGAACCACCATGAATTTCTGTGGGTTCAGTCAGCATCTACAATCGTTCCATGTTATCCATGTTCAAATCCCAAACATCCCTGGTCCAATGGTCCCTGCCTCTCATTGTCAGCCAGAAGAGCCTCAATGCTGCCCTCATGAAGGTTCTGCTCCCGACGCAGGGCCTGTGGAGATTCCTGAATGGATGACATATATCCATTCAACAGTGTATCTATATTATGTAAGTCCCCAAAAAAGTGGTATTTCGTGGAATATCAGCATATCTATATAAGTGGCAACTTCCATAATTTGAGATATGTCATGGCTTAATCTATACTGCTTATGCTTGAGTTGGATCTTCGTTGAATGGAAGTGAGTACTTCTATAGACATATTGACATACTGTGAAAAACTTGACTTGGATCTGATGTTGAATGGAAGTGAGTAAGTCGATGA